TCTACCTACCGACATCTCACACACACACACACAACACACACACACACACACACACACACACACACACAGCGCCACGCCTTGACAATCGTCATTCGATACTCAACACTCAACAATTGACAACAACAATGCCCGTCACCGAACTCGCCCGCCTGCGCCTCCACAAGGGCACCACGGCCTCGACGCCGTCGTTGCGCGCGCATCTCGCGCAGGCCAAGACAGCGATGGAACAGGCCAGCGGACATGAATTCTGGTATTACCACTGCATCGAGGACCCCGAGGTGATCTTCATCCTGGGATCGTGGCCGTCCGTCGAGTTCCACATGCGCGAGTTCATCCCCGGCGCAGAGAACCAGGAAATCCTCCGCCTGCTTGGGGACCAGGTCACGGTGGAGTGGATGTTTCATGTCGACATTGACCAGCGCGTCGACCCGCTGCCGCTTCGCCATGACGTCCTCACGGTTGATCGGTTGTTCGTCAAGGACGGGCACAGGGGCCAGTTCGCGGCTGTGGTACAGGACATCAGACACGCCTTGGAGTCAGTGGTGGGGGAACCGGGGCGGATCGCAGGGGGATGGCGCCTCGACAGAGGATACGATCCTTCAAATGAAGGCGAGGACCTAGAGGAGCAGCAGTTCGTCCTCTTCACTGGCTGGGAGAGCATGGAACAATACGTGGAATGTACGGATACGGAAGGATTCCAGAAGTATAATGGTCAGGCCAGGAACCATATGGAGGGATCAGATGTCAGTCATGCGAGATTGTTGCATGTTGGGGAGATGTAGCGGGAGAGGAAGAAGAAGACTCCTGTCTCAAAGCAAAGCATGAACCGTTAGTGATGTGAGGCGTTAGGGGTACAGCTTACCTTATATCTGCGATGTATACGGAGCACACAACTTGACCACCACTTGACCTGGGTGTATTTGTCAAAAGTCTTGATGCTGAAATTGAAAACCGTGCGAAATGCCCATCCCATTTAGGGCCTTTTGTTTGTCTGTCAACCTTCAGCTTCAATCGATGACATACATTACCTGTCATATGGTGCATTTGGAGGAAGTCTCCAATCCATTGAATGCTGATACAGCATCACAGGTCAATGTGCATCCTTTGAAAGGTATCGCTCTGGTTCTCTTGAAGAGTTCGAGCGCCGTCCAGCAATGGTTCGAAACTGCTCCTTTCAGGTCATTGTTGTTTACCTGATTATATCGCGAAAAGTAGAGGACAAACTCTGTCGGGTCTTGCTTGTGAAGCAGAGAACTGAGAAAGTCTGTGTCTCCACGTTCGAGTTGTGATCGAGTTTCATCAAGGCTCAACAGAAGGGCTCCAGTGACTGGACTAGCGGCAGCAGTTGTCTCATCGATGATAGGGCTATGAAGCGTCTCCTATAGGCTTCCAGCCATATCTTTCTCATTGAGGATCCCGAGCTCCTGTTGTTCTTGGTGTACAATGGGCTCGAGCGGTTCAAAGGATTCGAGATTTTCATCCACGGTAGATATAGACTTCGGGGGAGTCAGACTGGGAGGATGCGCCGGCATAGTAGTAGGAAGTGGCGACTGAGGGTCCAAAAGACGAGTATCTAATGGTAAGAGAGTAGAATCCTGACGATTTGCTGGCTGATGGCTCGATGGCTAATCAGTTACTGCCTGAATGCGACTTGGGGGTAGAACATTTGATGATTGATGACTAGGTTGAAGATCTTGACTAGACGAGCTAGTTGGTAATAGTGCAATGCCATCGTCGAATCCTGGTCGCTTCAATAATGGCCCATCGTCTGATGACCCTGCGGCCTCTGCGGCCCACTCGTGGTACATTTCCATGAGTGTACTGCGGCCATATCTTTCGCGAACTTGGCACTATTCATGATAGCCGTCGCAGTCCCTACCAGGGGTCTTACCGAGGAAGAATGAGACGTCGCGAGTAGTAGTTCGTTGAATATCATCTGCATGGGCAACAATAGCTTCATCTATGATCTTCCTCATTTCCTGATGACTCGGCTTTGGGAATGGTGACTGAGCCTGGATGAGGCGATTGTCATTTCTTGTCTCTTTGTTTGTGGCCTTGTATACATTCAAGGGGTTATCTTCGTCCTTGTTGTAGTTTTGCCCATTCTCTTGGTTGTATGACCCATCGCTCGGGCAACGCCGCTGTTATGCGTCTACATAAGATGCTTTGGAAGCTTTGCGAGGTCCGTTGCAAACCCTCTCCGGACATCGTGTAAGACTAAGCGAGTTAGGAAGCCAGCCTGTGTACCGAGAACATCGAGTGTGTTCCGAACCTGACCAACAGTGGCTGCTTGGTCAATCTTGAGTAATCCATGTTGATGTTCATGAATTTTGGCGATAGCGGGATAGTGTGGGTATTCAAATCGCAATGTTCGATCTCTTCGTCTTTCAGCAGCAGGGAGGACTTCGGGTAGTGTTTGCCCATCTGAAAGAATCCATGACGCAGGCAATGGGCCACCCGGAGGAGAATGAAGTCGGCGCAGTTATAGTCGTGTACGATTGTCGTTTGAATACCTGAGAAGATTGTAAGTATTGATGAGTATAATGAAAGGTTAATATGACTTCTCGCTTTTCTCGAATTTGAGTGTGACAGGAGCGCTGATGTTTGTCACAAGCTCTTCGTCACCGCCGTCTAAACGCAAGAGGATATCTTCATGTTTGGCATACATTCCCTTCTGGTTGTACTATCCGTTTGTGCCAACGATATCTCCAGCACGAGAGTCGACCGCATCATGAGGACAATAGGAAGGACTCTAGCGAGAGAGACGTCAAAACCTGGACTTCTCTCTTGGAAGATATGAGTAAACCAGGAGATATTCGGTCGCCGAAGGACATGAAGTGTAATATACTCTTTATGTCGCCAGACTCCGCGATAGAGGCGCTGATCGGTGACGGCTTGGTTCATCCAGCTGTTGATAAGAGAACCGATCGCGTGGGTAGGCGCCCAATCTGGGTGTTTGGTAGTAAGATGTTCCTTCAAAAAGTAATGCCCGACTCAAAGTCTGCTGTGGGGGAGAGTTTTTCCTCATCCTTTTGGTGATGTGCGCATCAGGAATTCATCTTAGAAGCGAATGATGTTTTCACCTGGTGGTAGGCCTGTTACACCATTTCGTTGTCTAGATATCCATGTTTGCCATGTATATTCTCATTGATGGCATGCTTCATGTGCTTGGACCCCTCCTAAATGGTATCGTTAAAAAAGCCTAGGGTACAGGTTGGTGGAGGTCAGTACTGGCAATCAGGGGACCGCTGGTGCTGTATCGATGATGTATACTCTGCAACGGCGCCTCCTTGACTCTCAACAAATCTGGAAGTAATCTCCACTTCACAGGCCGAGCTGCTGCCGGTACGAAGGACATAGGAAATGTGTGGTGGTGTTCTGTCAGACGAGGACATTATGTATTGCGTAGACTGCGGCGCCGTAGGTATTAAGTGATACCTGCACCTCCGCACTTGGTATGGTTCGCTTCGGAAGGGTCGGTTCATCGCTGACAGAGTCGGGGCGAGCTCAAGCTGCCAAGTGGGAAGCTTGACGCGGCCACCAACAGCAGTTCCAATGGTACAGAGTGGTAGAAGGAACCTTGGAAGATGAACGAGAGGACGAGGGGTGGATGAGGGAAAAAGGCACACTAACCCAACGCCAGCTATCTGTCACATGGACCTTGTCCCTCCTCCTTCCAAGAGGTTGTGGTGATAGTATTTCATAACGTATCCCTCTTACTCCTGCTGCTCCTCCCGCTTCAAATTCTCCTGCAGCATTATCGTACCTGACCTGAGACAGACCATTCAAGCACAGATCAAGAACAATCTGCATCACCAGTGGACCTCGTACTCCATCATCAGCCACTACTAGCAGCAACTGCGCCACGCCATCATTTCCCTCCTCCTCCACCCACCAAGCAACTAACTAGCCAGGTCTAGGCGATAATCATCATCGTCAGCAGCCTCCTGCTTCCGCCAGGCAGGCATCCAGGGCATCGGGCATCGCTCAATTCAGACTTTTTGTGGGCTTGTGGGCTTTGCGGGCGCTTGCCTTGCCGCCCACCTGACGTTAACTGCTCTTACCTAACAACTTTTAAGGCTTCTTCGGACAGTCAGTCAATCTGGCATTCTTCGCCTCACCTCTTCTTTACCAAAACATCCCCACTGTGCGCACAGTGACCGATCGAACCGGCCGCAGCTATTCGGTCACTGAGACGCCTAGCCGCTCATTTCGGGATCAACCCTCTCGTCGCCGTACCATAGTCGGGGTTTCCAACGAACTCAGTGACGGCTCCCGCACCCAGCGGTCCTCCGAGAACATCTACAGAGGTTCCTCGCTGCAGTCTGCGCCCATCTACAAAAAAGGAGGAAGTATGTCGAAAGTCGTGAGAAGTGTTAAAAATGTCACCAAGGGATACAGTAGCGTTCAGGTCAAGGTGCGAAATGGTAGGTGTTCGCTCCTAGCGGTCTTCCCTCACACACTGAATCAATGGCGATAAAGCTACCTCCAACGATCCATGGGGCCCGACGGGTACGGACATGGCTGAGATTGCAGCCCTCACATTCAACAAGTAAGATTTGTTCAATGACAAGGGTGCTTGCCTGTGCTGACTCTATTTGTATAGCCCGAGTGACTTCTACGAGATCATGGATATGCTCGATAAGCGGCTGAACGACAAAGGCAAGAACTGGCGACATGTGCTGAAGTCATTGAAAGTCCTCGACTATTGTCTGCACGAGGGCTCGGAATTGGTGGTCACCTGGGCTAGAAAGAACATTTACATCATCAAGACATTGCGAGAGTTCCAATATATTGATGAAGATGGCAGAGACGTGGGACAAAACGGTGAGCAGTTTCATGGCCCCCATTAGAGCCGCACATGCTGATTGATTCAGTCCGCACATCTGCCAAAGAATTGACTGCACTCATCCTGGACGAGGATCGTCTGCGCAGCGAACGCTCCGACCGCAAATTGTGGAAGGCCCGTGTTGCTGGAATTGACGAATATGCGACGCAGGCCATCGCTGGTCCTACCTATCCTCAACGCAGTCAAAAGCGTAACGATCAAGCAGACGCTATTACCGCCAAGGAGCAAAGAGATCTTGAGCAGGCAATTTACGACAGCGCCCAGGACGAGGCTCGCAGGCGTCGAAACGAGCAGGATGATGAACAAGATCCGGATGTCCAGAGAGCGATACAGCTCAGTAAGGAGGAAGCGGAGCAACGTGCCCGGAAGCTTGAGGAGCAGAACGCTGCTTTACTTGTGGATGACGCGCCCACGCCACCACCAGCGCAGAATCAGCCAACTGGATACAATCAGGGCTACCAACAACAGCCTGCTGTGGATTGGTTTGGTAACCCACTCCAACAGCAACCACAGAGCACCGGCTTCTTGAACAACCAATACGCCCAACCACAGCAGACGGGGTTTCAAAACGGGTTCGCCAATGGCTTTCAGCCTGTCCAAGCGACAGGATATGATCAATTTGGCCAGCCATCATTCTTGCAGCAGCAGAACACTATCCAACCTCAGCAGACTGCGTTCCAGACCAACAATCCGTATGGTGTGCAGCCTTCTGGTGACCTGTTCGGAATCCAGTCACCTCAGCAAAATCACCTCCAGCCTGGAACAAACAACCCTTGGGCCAGTCCATCACCCCAAACCCCGGCTGCACTAAAGCCGTTGCCTACCGGGTCAAATAATCCCTTCGCACAGAGAGCGCAGCAGTCATCCCCATCGCCCTTCGCCCGGCCAAGCACTCAGCCTTCATTGGGCACTCTGTTCGAGTCACAGCCCACTACGCAATTTACCCAGCCTTCCCAACCCAATCCAATCACGAATTACTCAGCACCGCAGCCGACCTTCCAGCATCAACCCAACCCAATCACAAATTACTCAGCACCACAGCCGACCTCCCAGCAACAACAAAAGCCAGTCAATCCACAACATGCCAAGCTCAATGCCTTGTTGGCTTCAGGGGAAGGGCAGGATACATTTGGAAACACAGGCGATCTGCGTATTCCAGCCCAACATACCGCACCAGGAACGTTTGTCAATTCGGCTGGGCAAGGTCTCGATCGCCTGCGCGCTGCACAAACCGGCACCAATCCTTTCTTTTCAGCCCAGGCTACCGGGTTTGGCCAACAAATGCCAGCTCAAACCGGGCCAGGCGGTGCATTTGCGGGCGGGTATGGTCAGCAGAACAATCCGTACGGAGCTCGGCTGGCTGGTCAACAGGGTGGGAGTTTGATTGACCTGTAAACCTCGAGGAGTGGTGCTTATGGTGACATTTGAAGGGGTCTGGCTGACAGATGGAAACGTTTTGCAACACGTCCCGCTGTGATACGAAATTGTCCTCTGATAACCCATCGTTTTATACACGACGTATTGCTTGACAGGAGTTTATTATTCGGACTCGAGGATCAACTGTCTCTGATGATTGCATAATGCCCCACCCCTTCAACCCGGGATTTGTTCTGATGAAGATGTTCGAGTAGGCGTCCAAATCCCGCAAGGCTGAGAGTGTTCAAGCGTCTTGGTATCACGGAAGCTGAGTAGCTGTCCGGCGTCCGCAAGAGGTACCGAGATACATGCATTTGTGCAGATACCACGTTCCTCCCATTCCAATAGCGAGCTTACATTCGAAGGAGTATTTTTAGCCGAAGCTGGAGCTTGTTTTCGCTTGGCCAACCTGACCAGTCGCAGTTCTTGAGACGTGTGTCTGCTATTCGTGTAGGTGCATGAACTAAGCCGAGTAGCGGAGCCTCGTATTATGATTTATTGAAGGGAAGCCGCAAGAGGAAAAGTCCCTCAGCCTCAGCTGCCCCAACTTCCAAATGCAGACGGAAGTCGCGCTAGGGTTTGATTGCTTTCGCGGGCCTTATGACGCCTGCGTTTCCCTTTTGTTTCGCGTCCTTAAAGAGATTCCTCCACCCTCCTCGTGGTTTTCTCATTGCGGAGGAGTCGTCCGTGCTGCATTTGGCCATTGTCAAGTGCGTCCGTTCTTTATTGATTTGCTAGTTCGCCCTCATTTTCCAGATATTTCCAGGCCGTTACCCACCACAATATACCATCTCGCATTGGTTACCATTAAACGTCGCAGAAGGAAACCGCAAACCACCAGTCACCCCCACCGATGCGATCGCATTTCCAGGTTGTAGCCTGCCTGGCGACACTCTTTTCGTCCTCACTTGGCCTCGAATTCACCTCTCCAAGCTCTGACTCGCGCATAGACCCAAGCAAGAATGTCGTCATTTCGTGGTCTCTCAGTTATACGGATCCCTCTACCATCGACCTCAAACTTAGCAAGTCCGATTCGGACACAGATCTGACAATTGCGACGGGTGTCGTTTCATACACCGGGTCATATACTGTGCCTGCCGGCACAATACAAGGCTCAGGGTCTGGGTATAAGATATTGGCTGTTGGAAACGGGGACACACTTGCCCAAATCACCGGGTTGACTTTCGGTAGCAAAAGTGATCAGAGTTCAAGTGGAGACAATGGGCAAGTGACGTTGGTTACAACAGCAACTGTCGTTCCAGTTGCTTCCACCACTTCACCTATCGGTGGTGGCACAGATAGTATCGTCCCAACGGCAACGATCAATTCTGTTGGCGTTGTAACCCTATCTGGAACAGGGACTGGAAGTCAAGTAACAACGTCCCTTTCCAATTCGCGCACCGAGAGCAGTTTTGCTACTAGCACGAGCGAAGCAAGTAGCGAGTCGAATGGCGGTGTTGCGGCAACCACTGGAAGCACAAATACTGCCAACGGACAGAATCGACGAAGTGGTGAATTCGTCCTCAGTGCTGCTGGTGTGTTGGCAGGTGTCATTGCTCTTCTGGCATGAGCGTTGAATGCATCTACATACTTGCTTGTACCTACATTGTATGCCTGGTTACTATGTCCTGACACTACTACTATTGCTGCTCCATTCAGTGCTCTAACCGCGATGTATAATTCACAGTCACGATATGTCGTGCGATTGGAGACACGGTTTGCTGGTTGACCTGCATTACCAAGGTGTTTCTGACCACTTCGAAGAGCTGTATCCGGCTCGAGATCGCGAACAGCCTTGAGGTATGAAACAAACACAGCCTGTCCTTGAATGAGCCATGAGATACTTCAATCCATTTTGCTGCCATAGAATCGTCTCACCGAGCTGATATTTTCTATTACGATCCAGTGTTACATGCCTTCCATGTTAGCCGTCACCGTGTAAAGGCTTTGGCACGATGGCACTTATCATCGGATACCTCCAACAGCTGTGTCGACCAGGAGGTCTTGTGAAGGGGACCCAGCGACACGTCATGCTAAGTGAAAACCACTCGTACCAAGTACAAAGAACAAAGAGACTATTCAGAGATGTGGGTAATTGTTATGCAGTGGACCTTTCCGGATATGAGAAGGCGGTGCTGGCTCCAGTCATCTTGTGTGTCGCTTAAGCTGCAGCAATGGCGGGTCTTGTCGCAGGCACTTATTTATCCCTCAATCGTTGCTCCAAGCTCATTCAAATCTCCGGTTGCGGGCTTGCCAAAAAGCCCAAACATCGACTCCTCTAACTTGAGGTGTAACTTTTGTACAAAAGGCAATGCTCATCCAGCAGCAAACTGTGGTCTGCGGTGCCACGAGCTGGCTTGGGTCATGTGGCAACAAAGCAAGCATGGGATGTTGCGCAGCCTCAGAGGTCTCGACCAGGGGCGCCAGGGCTCAGGCTGAGGCTGAGGCAGAACAGCAAACGACTCTGCTCTTCTGCCTTGGCCACACCTTCTCTTAGGATATACCCTGGCAAAGGTACAGTAACATGTCTGTCTGCAGAGTCTCTAATTGCTTCCTGTCTTTCTTGAAGAAATCCTGCAAACTTGATCTCCTGCCCTCGCACCGATTACAAGCAGAATACACAGCTCGCATCATCCGGTCTACACTCCCAGCAGACCGCGCTTGCCACAATGCCGACACGTCGCGCTTCTCGAACGAGTACCTCTACAAAAGTCAGGAAACCTGTCAATAAGCAAGTTCCATTCCGCAAGAAGGGACCTCCCATTGCGGAATGGGACCGGGTGAAGCCTCTGGTCAGGCGATATTATATCGAGGAAAGAAGGAAGCTTGCAGAAGTTCGGACATTGTTGTTAAATGAGCACAATTTTGATGCAAAGTGTGTTCAATCAAGCGTCGGAAGGGCCATGCTAATACCTTAGTAGAGAACACATGCTGAAAGAGAGGTTGACTCAGTGGGGATTCAGGAAGAATTTCAAAAATGCCGAACACGAAGTTGCAGCAAAAGAAGCAAAACGTCGGGCAGACCTAGGCCTGAAGCTCCCAGTAGATATGGACTTTGACGGCAAACCATGTGCTTGGGACCGCGTGTATCGTCATTTCGGCAAACAGTACGGTTGCTCGTCGTTGGGGCCCGGCTCTCAGTGGGATGCACTCATTTCTAAGGTCGCCCTGAAAACATCCATCGACGACCACAACATCGAGATGTCGTTAATTGAGTTGAAACGCTACTGGTCTGTTACAATCACACGAAACGAAACCCTCGCCTCAATCAGGGCGAGCCGTAAGGCTGCGCGGGTTAGATACAACCCTGTCCATCTCGAAGTCAGACTTCTTGGGGCGCTTGATCTACTGAGAAATGGCCGTGCCGATCAGGGGTGGCGAGAGATGAGGCAAATGTGCGCTGCTGTGTTCAATGTCATCAAACTCCAGGAACCAAGCCTCCTTCTAGCCGTTGTTTCCATTTTTTCGTCCAGCTTGTGGGTCGACCACCCCGAACTGTATATCGTTGTCGCCAAACACTTTCTATCTGCCTGCCACGTGTACCTGAAAGCGACGCATCCCTTGATCAGCGTCTTAACAACGCTCATCAATCTACCACTGGCTTCACAAATTGTCGACGACTTCACAGGGCTGGCTTATCAAGTGATGGTGGATACTTCAGAAGAGCACAAGGACCAGGTCAAGCTTGATAGCTACTACATATGTTCCGTGGAAGAGTATCTCATCGCAAAGCTTGCCAGAAAATTGGACCGATCTAAAGCTTACGAGCTCGTCCAGACGAAATACTCCCACTATCGCCGAGCTCTTGGCCCCCGAAGTAGCCACACTCTGTCGACGCAACTTCATCTGGCAAAGATGTACCTATTTGATGCTGCAAGGACGCAGGGGCCAGATGCAAAACACCGAAGAGAGATCTCTGAGCAGAAAGGGAAGAAGATTTTGTCTGAGATTGTCAAACAGGGGAAGAAATACCCCAGGGACCGCTATCGCACAGGCGCATACTGTATTGCTGCACAGGATCTTGCCCGTCATCTTTTTGCACACCAAGACTACAGAGGCGCGCAAAAGTACTACTGTCTCGCATTGCTTTGGGCCTCTAACCAATTTGACCGCCCTCATCCATTTATTTCACTTATCCTGAGAGAGTTCGACGCCCTCCAGAAAATGGGAGAACTGGGTCTCGTCGACATTGAAATGCCGAAGAACGAACAGCACAACCAATGTGGAGATAAGGCTCGAGCGCAGTCGTGTCAAGAGATGGAGGCTTGTGAAGTATCGTGCAACGCGCAGTTTGAGTCTGTGGAAAGTATCGAGTCCGAGGGACTTCTTGAAGTCAGGTCTATTTCGCAGAGCGAGCCCACTTTGCCTTCGAATTTCACTTCTGGCGCTACACATGACAGCGGGACTGGGGTGATCGATGGAAACATGTCCACAGGATCCAACCCTTTTGTCCACACGACTGAGGAAGACTTCTGGGCCCAGTACATGCAGGGCACAGATGACTCTTGTGCAGATGGTCTCCACATCACGGCACTCGATGATTTTTAGCCTCGGGATGGGGTTTGTTGACGCTTCCATTACCCCTGCACCAGATCTCTTAAGCTTCCTCAATGCCGGCTTCGATAATCGCGATCTGCAGATGAGCGACAGTGAGCTTCCACGCTGTACCGAGTTCAGGGATCTCAATGGTCTTATCCGAGAATGTGAATTGTCTATGAACAGACTGCCTGCATACAACGAATGCTTGATTGTCGAATTTGGCTTTCGGGACGAGGTTGGGTCCCTTTCCTCCCGCCCGGTAGCTGGACCCTCGAAGTGGATTTCTCGGCGCTTAGACTTTTTGGTCTGCTACCACTTTGAGATAGTCTGTGCGACAACTACAGGGATGACCATGTTACCTCAATGGGAAGGACACGGACTTCATGCACGTTGTTGTTCTAGGGTGTTCAAGGACTTGAGGGCATTCACGCGGCAGATTGGAAATTAACTCGCACAAGATGGGTTTGCCACACCGTCCTGGGTTTCCTGTCGCACTGACCTTACCCGAACGCTCCTTTTCTGTCGTGCGGTTCTGTTGTGACATTATGTCCCCTCGATATCAAATTGAGGACCGAGCTCGGTGAAATCGCATGGAGGTGTGCAAGTGAGGCGATGGTCGCAGTCTGAACATCATGTACTATCGTTTTGGTCATCGATACCAACCCCAGCTCTTTACGTCCAACAGCCAGCAACTGAACGGCGGATTCCTCCGGCGCTGCGACATTCAGGCTAGCTGGTCGAGTACATGGTCTAAGCATCACTTTCAGTTCTGCACCAGTGCACCAGTATGACGTGTTCTACTCTGGCTTCACTCGGGAATGGGATTCTCGGGAGGTGTTTTGTGGGTATCGTCCATGTCGAGTCGAGAAGTGAGCTGAGTTTCTTTTCAAAGAGAATTTCCTTTTGTTTGTGGTAAGCAGCTGGAAACAATTAATTACTAGAGCACCAAGTTCTGAAAAGAGTCGACAGACGCAGATCTCAATGGTTCTTGGGCTGTGATTTCGGTTAGCACTCTTTGCACGTGGTCAGGCACGTGCTGGGCTAGGCTGTATTATGACTAGTCCTGTTAGGGAAGTTATCCTTGACAGGCGCCTTCTATGTTCCTTTGGTCCTTGTGTCTCTTCTTTCTGTACCTCGTACAATTGCACCGATGGACAGCATTCATGAGCTGGAAGCAATTGAGAGTCGAAGAAATGCATTCCTTTCCCTGGTCACCGGGACCTCTCCTTTGCTTGTCTGCCGCTGAACCTCCATAACACCCTTGCTCCTCGTATCTGACCTGACCGCCACGGGACGGTCGACCATGATTGGACCTCGACAAAAGTCGTTGTGCCAGAAGCCGGACAATGCCAGGTGGCTCGCCTGTTCCAAGGCAGCCTCACTGTGCACAGTCCTAACCTGATTCAGCATGGTTGTCTCCGCAATTAACAACTTTCTGCTAGAGTTCCCAGGTGTTCAAGAGATGTATATATTCTGACCCGGTCTCGAATGTGCTTCTGACTATATGGTGATTTGTTCATTTGCTCGTAACGCCTTCTCCTTGTGGACCGATTACTGCTACAACATTTACTGCTTTCTAAGGCTTTCTCGGCCAGCCACAAGTCTCCATCAGGCTGAGGTTGGAGTCCGTGACCGTTTTACCTTGTGCATCACTTCCTCTCCAATCACATGGCTCCTACAAAGCCCAGGAGGTCTCGAAAACGCGCTCCGAGCAAAGCAGAGTGGGATCGCATCAAGAAACCATGGCACCAGTTGTATATCCGCGAGAAGCTTCCCCTGTCCGAGGTATCTGAGCGACTGGCACGAGACCACAACTTTGAAGCAGGGTGAGTTACAAACAGCTGAATAACGTTATCTGCTAATCCTAGAAGGCTGTCCATGTTCAAAACCCGGATGAAGAATCTGGGGACAAGGAAAAACTTCAAAAAGGAAGAATTGGGCGCTGTCGCAAACGTTCTCGGGATCTTTGTGCAGGCTGGCCTGAGAACGCCGACCGCCATTATCGATGGCCAACCAGTTCCGATACAACGTGTTAAACGCCATTTCAGCTACCTGTTCCCGCGCGATACCTTGCTCAACTCGAAAACTGCAGGGTCTTTTCCACAGACAGCCTATCTGCACTCTCTGACGGGTCCCCTAAACCAAAACCATGGAACAGAAGCCGAGCGCAGTGGCCAAGTACTGACTATGCCAACGATCCTTTTAAAGCAGTCTGAAGATATGCATGATCTCGAATTGACGTTGATTCAACTGAACAATTACTACGCGTGGCGACTCCAGCAAAGCGAGGATTACTTCAGACAACAGGTGTCCAGGGCCGGACATTATGTCGAGCCGGATAGGCCATATATAGGCCAACTATCTGAATCTATCGTTGTTATCAGACGTGCGCTCATCCACGGGGGACTTCGCGTCGGCCAGGCAGCGATGAGAGATTTTTGCACTCGAGCAGCGGCATCACTCAGAGAACAGCATCCCGTGTTGCCCACAATTTTGGTGCGTAACGGCCTTAACCATGCAGGCGGTACCATTAGTCAAGGAATCTGCGAAATAAACTCCTGCCTGCTCATTCTGGCCAAACGTCTTCTTCAACCCAACCATCCCATATCAATGATTCTAAAAGTGATTCAAAACTCCAAGGCACAACATATGCCCTCGCGGCTCCTGCTGAATGTGTGCTACGACGTTGCCCGGAGACAACTGGAGCACGACTCCGGGCTGGTTTTCCAACTCGACCATGGCATGACCAGGACTACAGCCTCGCGTGCGGATTTCGAAACAGCATCCCAATGCTGGCTTTCTTTACTGCAGCGTACCGGTGACAAAGTGGGCCAGAAGCATGTTTACTACAGAACGGTGCTGTATGAGATTGGACAACTGAATTATCTTCATGGTCTCGACGAGTCGGCGTCAAAGATTTTGCTGCAATCCTTGGAGCTAGATGATCAGCCCACTCAAGGTAATTCGGCGTCGCTTTGGATCACCGCGTCCTCCATGTTGCTCCTCGCAGACATTTGCGAGGTCGCAGAAGACCTCTCGGGGGCAGAGGAGTGGTATCTCAAGGCGTACAATATTGCTTGTCAGGTCTGTGGCCCAGAACATCATGATTCATTAGATATTTTGTACCATCTTGATCGGGTGCGGGCGATATCAAAAGGAGAGGGGGCCACGGTGTCTGAGGTTGGTGATGCAGAAGATGAAGACGTGCTTGACCAGCTTCAAATGGAGCTCAGGTGAGTGCAGCTGGAAGAAGTTGAAGAATCTGAAAAATCCGAGAGGCTCAAGTTACATGCTGAGCCGTGGAATGATTGGGACAATGATGCCTCTGGTGTGGAAAGCAACGCCAGTCTCTCAGACCGTGAAGATATTGAGGAAGGAGTCACGGCGATCGACAAGACGCTCAACCAGGACGCCCACCAGAATTCCCACCAGATTTTCCACCACCCAAGCGAAGCTACAGACTCATTTAAGAATCCACCTGTCATACAGTCATCCTGGGACATTGAGAACGACCTTGAATCTTGGGCAGAGCATGAATCATCAGAACACGCAGAGGGTCTGGAAGTCGCCCCACAGGATGGAGATTTTGAAGCATTTGACCAGAATGAACTGGGTTCCATGTCAAAGTGGTTGACTGATGCACACGGCGTGAGTGATGGAACTCTCCCAACATTCGTACCTGAGGATCTTGCTCTCCCACTGTCGCTACCTGAAAATGGGCAAGATTTCGCGACCACTATGCCATACACTGAGGCTCTCCTCCCAACTCTCGGCAACGACATCGAGTTCCAGGAATTCGACAACGTGGGGAGTACCAACTGCAACTTTGACACTGACCCAATGATCCTCGACCCAGAAGGCGACCTCAGCACCTTCGACCTTGGCTTCTTTAACGATATCGACCTGCAAGCATACGACGCCATACAAGATCAAGATCAGGATGTCCACGAGGGGCAAGATTTCTTTACCTTCTAAGATCTGGGTACACTGTGGGCGTCGGGAAGGGAGGCGCAGGGACAATACAGAGGGACGGGCGCATTTTTGAGAGGTACAGGTCAAAAGTGGGCTCTTGGAGATACTAGGAAGGGAGAGGATGGATCAACAATGGACTCTGCACACGTTACGGGATTGGTATCAATATGTCAACGACGAAGGATCAAGGGAGTATAGCGCAGTGGACAGGGACAAGGAGATCTCGAGAGGGATATTTGCTGGCACGGCATAGTTGGTACGGGTGCCCTTTTCGGAGTATTAGGTTATCTACGGATTTTTGTTTGAGTGTTTGACTCGTCTAGATTCCTAGTATCTATCTAACCGACCCGAACCTACCCTACCCTACATATCTAGGATGTAGAAGGGTTCTTTCACGGGCATTGGTATGGTGGCCGTTTCGTCGATATCTCAAGTATTTCGCGGCTCGATCGATGGGGTTGCGGCCCACCTGGATGGGTTGTGCTCCTGTCCTGGCTCTGGTTGTGGCCCTGGGGAGCGTGGTTTGATTTTGACATGTGATCTCGGCGTGACACACACGGGTAGATGGGTAGATGTCATGGATAGCTGGCACCTATCTATCATGTTGGGATGTGGGCTGAGAGTACCAAGTCCAGATCTGCAGCGCGTGGCGTATTTGTGTTGCTTGCCAACTATCCTCCGTCTGTGCGTGTGTGTGTCTGCCCTCCCGTCGATGGTGATTCTCACACGAGAAACCATTAGGGGCCGAGCATGCTGATTCGGCCTGTTGGTGGGTAGGCGGGTTGGTGGGTGAGAGGGAGGGACGGGTTCGTTGTCTATGTGTTGTTTCGACTGGGGCGCAATGACTCTCGATACGCCTGGGCGAGATGGATTTGGTGCGTGTTCAGTACGGCAACAGCTCAGGCTGTTCAGTTGACCTCAGAGTTGTGAGTGGACCTTGGGATGCTGTGTCGCTGTGGCCCTCGACGCTGGTGTCGATAACTCGCTGTCCGTGATCTCACTCGGCAGCTAATCCGGGCCATGGTCGTCCCTTCCGTTTCGAAAACCGCAGTCTGCGTGCGTGCATGTATGGTACGTATTTCAGCGTGCTGGAGACTGCCCTCCCTCCGTCTATGCAATCCCCGTAGAGACCGCAGGATAGCACTGCATTGAGAAACTCCAGGTTCGTGTCCAACACCCACTCTGCCACTTGTCTCCCCCACGGAATATTTTACCACCCCCTCCCTAGGGCCATCTCAGGTAACCAGACAAGAGTCGATTCACTGCTTCACCTTCCACTCAAACTCGACCGGCATCTCCATTCCCACCCGCCGCGCCGTCAGCCGCACCCGCTCCTCCTCATCCATGCCCATCCCCGGGTTATATCGGTGCAGCAGCGTGCCGTACATCCTCTGCGCACGCAGGTACATGACGAACTGCTCCAGCTCCTGCAGGCGCGCGAGCTGGTTGTCCGTGACAGCCGTGGCTGCTCCATTGTCCGAAGCGGAGTTCTGCTGCTGCTGTCCCTCCCGATACGACGACAAATGCGTCCGGATCGAGGCGTGGAGGGGTGATCGGGGCAGTGTGTGACGTGGTTGAGGTGTCGGGGGCAGTTCGCGGAGGAGGCGTCGGTAGAGGGTCCGGAGGGACGGGGCACTGGCGGTGGGAGACATTGGTGTAAAACTCAAAGTTGAGAATGAGAGGATTTGAGGTTGCTATATAGGATAGAGGAGTGGCCACCTAGATGAACTGGTCGAACGAAGGTCGGTTTGTTGAAATGCGGAGGAAAAGCCAATTGGGAAATTTATTTTGCGGGCAAAAAGGCGCAGGAAGCCAACGCCGCTTTTAGATGAGATTTACATATTGTCTTCATTTTGAACATCAGGTCGAGCAGCAAGGCATTATACAGAGGATCTCCAGTAGTCAATATGTGCTTTGAGACGCTCATCACGCATAAAAGTTGCCTACCTAACTGTATCGCGTCTTCATCCGAGGTCTGCTGGAGCGGCATCGTCGACTTCTAGCACCACATGCGAAGCAACAACGACAATCATCCCCAGACTACTGCTCGTTCAGCCACTTGTACACGACCCGCAAGTCCTTCCCAGCATATCTCGGGTCACTCGCAACCTCGTCCAAGGTCTTCAGCGTCTCAATCGACAGCACAGGTTTCGCACCCACCATCTTGGCCAACTGCACACCCAGCGTCAGATCTTTCTGGCCAAGCTCTATCCGGAAACCACCGTTGTAGTCGTTACTCGCGGCGCCGCCGGGGGTTATCCCCGGTACGGGGTTGTTCTTGAGAGTGATCCAGCTCATACCGCTGCTGGAGTTGACTGTGTCGATCAGGTCCTCCATGTTGAGGTTCAGCTTGGCTCCGATGTTGAGCGCCTCGCTCGCGACCAGCACGTTGTTGATGGACATGTAGTTGTTGATGGTCTTGAAGGCCGTCCCGGTCCCCACGTCGCCACACCGTCGGATACACGTGCCCATGTGCTCGAGCAGAGGCTTGATCTTGGGGAAGACGGCCTCGTTGCAGCCGACCATGATGGTGAGCGTGCCTGCTTTGGCTCCTAATGGGCCTCCAGAAATAGGGCTGTCAACGAACGTGAGTCCGCATCCCGACGAGGCGTCTCGGACTTTGTTGATGATTTCGAGGCTCATGGTGCCGCACTCCATGGCAATCTTTCCCTGGGACGGGTCTGCCTGCTTGACACCAGCGAGGACGCCCGTGGATGGATCGAGGTAGACACTGTCGCAGGCGGCATCGTTGGGCAGGACCGTGAAGATCGTGTTCTAAGCCAGCTCTCAATTTAGGAGTGCCATGCGATAATCGGCGTCGAAACAAATACTTACGGCCTTCTGAATCGCTTCGGACCCGTTGGTCGCAACGACTACCGGTCCCACGGCCTTCATTTGTTCTTGGAATCTCGATATCGCAGCCTGGGACGTGTCGCTCACAACAAGGGTCATGTCCTTGGGCATTTTCGTCCGCAAGTTGACAGCCATGTTATAACCCATATTGCCGAGGCCTGACTTCCGTTGGCACGGTGTACACCCAGAGCTGAGGAAAGGGGATGCTTGCCTATGAAGGCGATGGCTTTCTCTGGCGCCGCCATACTGTCCCTTTCTCCTGTCCGTTTTAATCAAGTCCAACACCCACCAGCGTATCCTGAGTGAACCCCAGCTCCTTTTCTTACGAGACTGACACTGAGCAAGATCTCACAGCTATCGTCGTCGCAAAATGGTGTATATCTCTCGAGACAGGATTAGTCTTGAACACTCATGTCTCAACCAGCACGAGACCTCTTCTCTGCTCCTCATCCATATTTTCTAGCATCCCAACCCGCAAATGTCGGAGTATGCCGCTCTTTGAACGAGGGTTGCGGCGTGAGGAGAGATCTGATGCGCTTACACGAGGCGACCTTGTGTTTCTCCGCATGTGTTCCCATCTGTATCGTACGGGTGGGTAGGTTATCCTCGGCTGGAGAACGGAGAACGGAGAACGCTTTAGGGGTAAAGGGGGAGGTCCATGTCGCCCTGGCTGGCACTTTACTCCAAGCTTTGGGTTGGAGAGTGTACATAAGCTGTGCCATCGAGTCAAAGTATGTATGTGCAGATTGTCCCCAGCGGGGGTTTGCAGGTCGATGAATCTCAATGACCTGGTTTCCAATCCCATAAATATCCAAGTCTCGCCTTGGCGTCTTTGGAGACGGAGCTCAGCCTCGTCACAAGAGACTTCTACTGTCTGTACCGACAGTGCAGTCGCACAGTAGGTAGCCTTGTCCCTTATCTATACCCCTACCTTGTCTTCTCTGGCTGGGTCTACCTCTCCCACGGCTACTACTTTACCAGTTGGAGCAAAGCCACATGTTGAGTTGATCGTAAATTGTACCAGGTACTCCCCAAAATTGTCATTCCGTCTAGGATGTTACTTGACACCACAGTCGTCAAGCCAGTGTATTCTATAGCAGGTGTTGGTACAAATATCCGTGCAGCTCCACCGGCGAGTTTGCCCTCCATCGGATCTAACGACCATGCCGACTCAATGTTCGCCACGTGGAACGCCGACCGGGATCGAATCCACGATCTTTGCCAGACGTGTTCAACCGCCAACGTCCGTCCCATCGGTCTTCTCTGCGCCCGTGGCTGTCGATCTCACCACCCGCCACTTCGTCCATCAAGTCCGCCTGCTTCCTCAATAGCACGGGATCTGTGCTTTCCTTTCCCTCGCGAGGTCTCTCGTAGCAGGAGAAGTTGAATACCTGATCCTGAACGGCCTCGTTCTTGTCGTCCTGGAGGATATCGATATTCGAACCGCTGATGCCTCGACTGTGACCATTGCGGAAGTCGTCAGTGGCAATAAAGTCAAGTTGTAGCACGTGGCTCTCGATTCCGGCGTAGATCGTGGGCGAGCTCGGTGATGGGCTTGACAGAGAATAAACGGAGCCGCGGTAGCGCTGAGAACGTCTGCGTGGATGTCGTGGGAGTGGTTCCCAGAGTCTTTGATCCATGTTCACTATGGGGGTGAGAAAGATGTTGATATCTCTCTGCGGCGTCCGCCGCTTGACGGTCTCTGGTGGGCGTGCATCCAAGTACGAGTATGTCCTAGCTCCCGGCATGCGGAAATCAAAGGACTTCAGGCACCCGTTCTGATGGCTGCCGGCCAGGAAACGCTCGTGACCGATTGGGAGAAGAGAAAGTATTTGGCCGTCATCCACAGGGTCAACGTACTCGGCCACTGATCTCCGAGGGGCTCTAATGTCATAGAGGCGAGCAACCCCATCGGTCCAGCCGGACAGGAATAACTGTCGAGAGGAGCTTCCGCCGACTCCCACGTCATCTAGCCGGGAAATGGTGTTGGCACTGTGGCGGCTCGTCCATGGCTGGCTGGACTCATAGGAGGATAGAGATTGTGCGATGGGTGTTGAGGAGAGGCCAGTCGGGTTGATGTCGTAGATGTCGATCGGGGCGCGCTCCCGACCCTCAAGAAATTGGTGTGCTATTGCGATCGTGTTTCCAGATAAAAACTTGACACACCGCATGCGTGAGCGGTAGTTGTGCATCTTTTCCACCTTGGTGGAGCTAGAAGGCAGCACAGTTGGAGATGGACTATGCACTGGATAGAGGTGGACGCAGTGGTCTCCACAAGCTGCGAGGACAGGCTCAGCATTCTGACTGACATCTAGGCAGGAAAATTCAGAAGGGAGATTGGTATAGCGAGATTTTAGCGTAAAGATATCGGGTTTGGTGGATGTCTCGATACTGATGACTTCACTGTGAGTTCTCTGAAAGAGAATTGTCTCGCCGCTTGCGTTTTGGTTCTGATGGGGTCGTAAAAGCCTGACATCTAGAATGTCCGTTTGGGGTCTGTGGTCTTCTGGAACTTTGAATGAGCTCCAACTCGTCACGCCGTTCTGAGTCGTTCGAAGTCGTAGTCTTCCTGCTGCTCCCCATGCCAGCACTTTTTTCCGATCTTCCCACGATCCTCCGCGCCAGGTCTCATAGCTGTCAATAGCTGGACGATAGCCTATTGGATAACCGTGGGGCGATGGGTGCAGGTAGTCGCTGTCATCAGTTGGCGGGCAGCATTCCCTGGCGATGAAGGCGCGGCGATCCCATGCCCGCGATCGTGATGTCAACGTGCGCGCCACATCTTTCCAATATGGTGGTGAGTTGATTGTTGGAAAGGCTCTTTGCACAAATGTCCGAAAAACACCATAGTCATCTTCTGAGATAATGGAATGGGTCTTTTGGTTTGCGAGCGAGAGGTTGATGATGGATGACGCTGTAGGCAAGTGGCCAACGATCTGGTGGATCACCTCAGCAGGGAGATCTTGAATCATTGGAGAAAGAGTCGTATGGTAAGGAAAATCAGAACCTCTTCACCAGCCTGAAGGTCTCTTTGATGTTTTCCAAGATAACGAATGCAAATTGCCTCCCGACTTCGCCATGCCGTGAGCATCGAAAAGACCAAATTCGCCGCTTTGCGGACAGCGACCAATTGACGTAATGCTTGGCGGTCTTGGCGCAGTCGTCAATTCTCCGCGAATCAGCGTCAGCCTCATTTTCGCCTTCGCGTTCACCGCGCTTCTCACCATCCAGACGTCCATCAAATTGTGTTCGATCGTTATCAACTTGGGCTTGTTGGGTGACGGTGGGGCTGTGCACTCCCGGTTTTGTCCTGTCATTAGTCGGGTGGAAGCAACATGGCCTGGGATGGCTACCATCAAGGCCATCGAGGCCAGATCAGTTCACCAGATCCAATCTGGGCAAGTCATCGTCGACCTTTGTTCCGTGGCTAAAGAACTAGTCGAGAACAGCCTCGATGCAGGTGCCACTACTGTCGAAGTTCGCTTCAAAAACCATGGCTTGGACTCGATTGAAGTGCAAGACAATGGCTCCGGCATTGCTCCAGCCAACTACGACACTCTCGCTCTCAAGCATTACACTTCCAAACTATCCAGCTTCGATGAACTTTCTAGTCTCCAGACCTTTGGTTTTCGAGGCGAAGCACTTTCTTCGCTCTGTGCCCTTTCCAAGTTCTCAGTTGTCACCGCACAAGCGGATGAAGCGCCCAAGGGCAAACGGCTGGATTTTGACTCCTTGGGCAAGCTCAAGTCGGTGACCGTTGTTGCCGCTCAGAGAGGAACTACTGCCAGTGTTGAGAATCTGTTCGAGAGTCTCCCTGTGCGACGCAAAGAGCTCACCAAGAATATCAAACGCGAGTATAACAAAGTCTTGGGCTTGCTGCAGGCCTATGCCTGTATTGGCGTCAACGTCAAATTCACGGTCAAGAATACGATGCCCAAAAGTAAAAGCATGATAGTCTTTTCTACAAAAGGCAATGCCACTACCCGGGAGAATATTGCAAACGTCTACGGGGCCAAAACACTAAGTGCACTGGTTGCCTTGGACCTCGAGCTGGATTATCAGCCTACATTGACACAAATGGCCCGAAAAGACAAGCATACCAATATACGTGTCAGGGGCCACATTTCCAAGCCTGTGTTTGGAGAGGGCCGACAGACGCCAGATCGACAAATGTTTTTTGTCAATGGCAGACCATGTGGTTTACCCCAGATCGCAAAAGCCATCAATGAGGTCTACAAGGCTTTTAATGTCTCTCAGTCACCATTTATATTTGCCGATCTTCAAATGGACACCAACGCGTACGATGTAAATGTATCGCCTGACAAACGAACAATATTGATCCATGACTCGGCATCGCTGGTTGAGAGTCTAAAGACTGCACTTAATGAAATGTTTGATCAGCAAGAGCAGACTGTCCCTCAATCCCAACTTGTTACGTCCAAGCTGCCTGCTTTTCAGAAATTGAGCTTCCTACGCCAGGCATCTTCGAGTAGCCCCGAATCCGCAAGTCGACAAACCTCGTTTTCCGAACGCCCAGGTCCAGTCGACGACGACGAAGATGGGGATAGATTTGACGAAGTTGAGTCTCGGACCGCATCGGTGATGGATGACTTGCAAAAATTCTCTCGTACCGCAAAGGACGTTGGATCGAGCGAAATATTGCAACCTGAAAAGATAACACCACGCGATGGACCTGCAGAAAAAGAACTTGAAGAGATCGCTCAGCAAGATACATCAACCAAAGAGTCCCTTGGAGGGGACGATGACCAAGAGGTGGTCGAGACCGCGGAGATATTACAGCAGGAAGTGGAAGAGGAAGAGGCATCGCAGTTCGATCCAGTCAAGTTGCATGTCAGTGATTTCAATGCGAGAATGGCTGAAGCCCAACCTAGGTTGAACCACCAGTCAACTATACGCCAGGACGGTATACGGCAAACAGAAGAGATCGAAGCTATTGTGCCAGCAAAAACAGGCTTAGAAAAAGGACCCGTACAGAATGCTTTTGACCGCATGAGGCCAAAGAGGCTGTCAGAAGAAGTTGCCACTTTCACGATCGGAGACAAGACTTTTACCACAATATTAGGCAGTCAATCTCCTAAATCGCGCGAGAAGCGTGACACCCCTGGCAACCTGAGCAGTGCAATCAACACACAGAAGCGCACCAAGAGCCCAGGAGCCTTTCAATTCTCTCAGAAGTTGCGCAGATTTGGTGCGCAAGGGCCCGACATTCCGGATGAGGAAGAGGGTGACTCGGACGAGCAGTCTGACGCGGAATTGGTCGACGCTAATAGCGAGACGACGGAAGATTTTCCCGCTGAGCACGAATCCGATCTGGACGAGCAGAGCGTGGGGAATGAAGATTTGGCCGAGGACGAGTCAGAAGCGGCACCAGACACGGAAGGAGACTCCGACGCAGACTATATTGATGACGAGGAGAAGAAAAGGATTGAAGAAGCCAAAGTCGCCGAGCTTATTCAGGCAGCTGAAGCAAGCTCGACCGTACCAACAAAAGAGAACTTGAAACGAGCAATGAAAGCCCTGGCAGGAGGACGAGCCAAGGAGTCTACCACGAATTTATTGGCAACTATTGAGTTCTCCATCTCAAGCATATCCAGTCAAATGCGTCAGTATGTTAGACCAGTGGATTCCAGTATGAGCCGTCGATCTTCGCAAGTTGATGGAAAAGACAATGATGTGGAAGACCCGGAAACAAGGCTCTCACTGACTGTATCGAAGCCAGATTTTGCACAAATGAGGATTGTCGGACAATTCAATCTAGGCTTCATTCTGGGTGTGCGACCGGCTAAGAAGTCTACGGTTACGAAGACCCAAGCAACACAGGATGAACTGTTCATTATCGACCAACATGCGTCAGATGAGAAATACAACTTTGAAAGGCTGCAAGCCGAGACTATTGTGGGCAACCAAAGGCTCGTCCGACCAGTGATACTCGACTTGACGGCGGTGGAAGAGGAAATCGTCCTGGAGAACAACGAGGCTCTGGAGAAGAACGGTTTCCTCGTCGGGATCGACACCAGCGGCGACAAGATGGTTGGACAACGTTGCCGCCTCGTCAGCCTCCCACTCAGCAAAGAGGTGGTCTTTGGTATGAAAGACCTGGAGGAACTCATTCAGCTGTTGGCCGATACACCTGTGGGCGGTTCTTCTGATATTCCTCGACCCAGCAAAGTCAGAAAGATGTTTGCTATGCGAGCATGTCGATCGAGCATTATGATCGGCAAGACACTGTCCAAGCGGCAGATGCAAAAGGTGGTGGCAAACATGGGCACAATCGATAAACCCTGGAACTGCCCGCATGGACGCCCAACGATGCGACATCTATGCAGTTTAGACACGCTGCAACCATGGTGTGAGGGAGATGATGAAGGCGCAGGGGCAGCCAGTCTAGGGGTGGCGTTGCACAGATTCGTAGCGGAGGACTAGAAAGAGGTTGGATTACTGTGAGAGGCGGTCTATATCAATGGAGCGGATCAAAGGGACAAGGCACCAAGAGGGAGATCCAGACGAGGGACAGGGTATGGGGCCTCCGCATCTCATGCGAGCGTATCGTGGTGTTTGCATTATTTTGTGTTACTGTGGCTGATGGTCTCCGAGTTTTCCCATCTGGCCGGTTACCGATGATTGTCCGAGTGACGCAGTTTTGAATGATTCCCAAGGCACAAAAGAAGCAAATGGCGCGGGCTGAAGCGATGTGCCTCGGCTCACCGGACGTGGAACTGGTGGATGCACCCTCTATTCCGCAAGTCGCAGTTGGCAGTTCGTGGGCGGTACTCGGTCTCTCCCTTCGCAACCTCCAAGCACAACACAATCTTGTCCCTTCTGGCTTTCGCCGCGGCAATTCATCTTTTTTCTCGCCTCGTGTGCCTTCGCCCTGCATCTCTCGTCCAATGCTCGCCGAATCCCCTCCGATCTAAAAGCTGTCGCGTCACCTTCTATCGCTCGCTCTATCCAGCCATAGACTTTTTTTTCTATACCAGTTCTGTGTCCCTCCTTTCAATTTACACTTTCTTGACCTGGTGTTCTTGGGGATGTTTCCCACACTGCCTCGACTAGGAGCACAGACGACCCTACGTGCCATTTCTCGTGCCTCTCCCACTTCGGCTGCTCTCAAGGTAAAGGATCATCTTTCAATGCCAGTTGACGTCAGGTGGGGGAAACTGACAGAGTGACAGTCGCTCGCCATGGCTCCCACAAACAAGCGGAAGGCCTCGAGCAAGGCTCAATTCTGGGTGACCGAGGGTGAGTCTGACTATTGGAACTTCTTGCGAAAGAGCATGTCTAACAGGAGCGGATGGCTACAGAGTACCGGGAAGACCTCTCTAAAGGTCCAATGCTTCGTTTCGAAGAGTCCCTACCCAGACTACCAGTTCCTCCCCTCGAAGAAACCTCCGCCCGGTACCTGAAAAGCCTGCACCCTCTCCTGACCAAAGAGGAGTATGCTGCCTCGGAAAAGGCTGTCGCTGCACTGAACAAACCAGGAGGCATCGGCCAGAAGCTGCAAGAGAGGTTAATAGCCAAAGCAAAAGACCCCAACGTCAAGAACTGGATAATTGACTGGTGGAACGAGTCTGCGTACTTGGGCTATCGTGATCCGGTCGTGCCGTATGTCTCGTACTTCTACTCATTCCGCGACGACCGTCGGAGAAGAAACCCTGCGAAACGTGCCGCTGCCATAACGACCGCGGCCTTGGAGTTCAAGAGACAGGTCGATGACAAGACTCTGGAACCCGAGTATATGCGCAAAAAGCCCATGGCCATGAGCAGCTACGAGTACATGTTCAACACCTCCCGCGTCGCCGCCCTTCCCGTGGATTATCCTATTCAATACCCTGCCGAGGGCAACGAGCACATCATTGTCATGCGCAACAACCAGTTCTGGAAGGTTCAGACCCATGTTTCGGGCAGACAGCTCAACACCTCCGAGCTCGAGCTTCAATTCAACAAGGTCTACAAGAATGCCCAGCTGGCCGACCCCGTTGGTGCCATCACGTCTTTCCCCCGCGACCAAGGCGCCACTGCCCGCCAAAACCTTCTGTCCGCGTCTCCTTTGAACGCCGAAGTCCTCAAAGAGATCGAGTCTTCGTCGTTCATCGTGTGCCTGGACTCCAGCGCGCCCGTCACCCTCGAAGAGCGCGCTCACGTTTATTGGCACGGCGACGGCTCGAACCGATGGTACGACAAGCCTATCCAGTTCATCGTCAACGATAACGGCACCGCCGGCTTCATGGGTGAACATTCCATGATGGATGGTACCCCGACTCACCGTCTCTGCGATACAGTGAATGCTCTCATCACTCACAATAAACTCGACTTCGATAACCCATCCGTCCGCTCCGACCTGCCCGACCCTGTTGCCTTGAAATTTGAAACTTCCGCAGCTGTGCTTGACGATCTGGCCGCCGCACAGTCGCAGTTCCGTCAAGTCATTGGTTCCCACGACCTCCGCGTTCAGGCATACCAAGGATACGGCAAGGGACTGATCAAGAAGTTCAAGTGCTCCCCCGATGCATACGTGCAGATGGTCATCCAGCTGGCCTATCACAAGATGTACGGCAAGAACCGACCCACATACGAATCTGCCGCCACGCGAAAGTACCAGCTTGGTCGAACAGAAACCACTCGCACAGTCTCGGACGAGAGTGTGGCTTTCTGCAACGCTATGGCCGACCCCTCTGTCTCCCGCGAAGAAACCGAACGTCTCTTCCGCGCAGCTGTTCAAGCGCACGTGCAATATACGGCTGATGCAAGCGACGGCTATGGCGTGGACCGTCATCTGTTCGGTCTGAAGAAGCTCATCCAACCCGGCGAGGAGACACCTGAGGTCTTTACTGATCCCGCATACACCTACTCGAGCACCTGGTACATCTCGAGCAGTCAGCTGAGTTCCGAGTACTTTAACGGTTACGGCTGGAGTCAAGTTGTGGACCAAGGCTGGGGCATTGCTTATATGATCAATGAGAACAGGTATGTCTGCTCTTTTACCTCCACTGCCCTCCCACCCCTTCGTATTTCGTCATCTACTACATTTCTCGCTAGTAGTGCATTGTTCTAATAACCCGTTTAGTTTACAATTCAACATTGTCTCCAAGAAACTCGGCTGCGAACGGATGAGTTTCTACCTCAACGAAGCGGCCAGCGACATCAGAGACATGCTCCTACCCAGCATGGAGACGCCCAAGGCCAAGCTGTAAACGCCTACAGCACGACCGACCTTTAAACCCTTTTCCTTTGTTTGACGATACGGGCCGCGTCGTAGACGCTAGCATTGGTCCCGGCTTGCCTGCGGCGAGCATCTAGAACACACCAATGCGGGAACAGGAATAACCAGGACCGGAGAGCGGAAGGGGATGTGAGCGTCCTTGCTGCGTGATCGTGCGTGCTTGACCAGCTACCGGACAGGTCGGAGAGGGTCAAAGGGAGACGATATCGTCCCAGCACCTGGAATGCGCAAGGAGGGAATAGATCTTTTGTGTGATGTGAGCTTTTTCCAGCTGGGACTTTGATACCCAACTATCGTCGTCGTTGCTTTTCCTTGTGTTGAGGCAGCACAATGCACATATGCCAGATACTCGTGCGTCGGAGAGATGGGGGAGAGATGGCAAAGGGGAAGGCAAAGGCAATGTACGATACCAGAGTTGATATTGCCCCGATTTACTTGCATTTTGCCCGGGTGTTTATATTATTGACATTGAAAAACTCACAAAAAGTCGACGTCTCAATTTTCATTTTCATATTCATTGGTTTCTTGGTTTCCCGCCCCAGACTCGCCCGCCGCGCATCAGGACTACCTCTTCCGCACCGTCCCAGGCGTAACGCTTTACCACGTCGACACCTTCTAGTCCTGCACCTCGGGCGGCGTGGTTCCAGAGGATTTGCTTGATGCGGCCCTTTAGGGCGGTAGTGGAGTTGGGGGGTGAGGCTGGGGGAAGAGAATCGTTTTGGGCTATGAGTTGTGATTCAGCACCAGAACTTGTGTCGTGATCCGTGGCTTCTTCCATCATGACCCAGACCAATCCACGAGTCGATCGGCTCATACTGTCCACCACGCCCTTGGTCGCTGGCCTGGTGCCCACCAGCACGCCGATGGCCTGTCCCAACCCCGGATTCGACTGTCGGGGCTCTTCGTCGCGGCGACTGCTCCCCTCATCCCCCTCGTCTGTGGTCGTGCTCACCGTCTTATCCTGAGAGAAGATCATGTCAACCAATGCTGCACTTCTGCTCGCCCTGACGGCCCCGTCCAATTCCCTGACCAGGTTCGGCCCAATCCTAGCATGCCTCCCCGACAGCCGTTTACATTGGACCAGCACCTTGAGCTGCAAGGTCTCTATGCCCTCGAACTCTTCGACCCCGGCATAATTGTATCCTCGACTTTTTGTGTTGTGCCTCGTCTCTTTCCATTCGCCAGTGTGCGACAAGATGGGTATCTCCCAGATCCCTACGAGGTCGACGCCGCGATCCCCTCTGCCGCCCACTCGATGCAGATCAAACCCATAGGGTCGGAGGGTGGACTGTGCGAGGTATTCGTACGTGGTGCCAGTGTAGACGGTGCTGGATCGCGACAGACCGGTGCGGGCCGCGTGGGCGTGGAAGGATTCCAGAGAGTTGTGTGAGGAGGAAGAGTCCAGGAGGGAGGCTCTCGGTGGTGTGGAGAGAGAGGGCGGTGCGTTCTTCTCACGGCCCGACGGGGAGTGATGGAGCCATCTGGTTGCTGACTGTCTTCTCAGCGAGAAGGGTGGATGCTCCGTATGCTCTCTTCGGCCACAATCTGGGAGGGGAGAGGATGAGAGTCGCGATGCAGTCACATTTCGGAGAAGATGCGAGGTGATCGTGCCATATGTGCGGCTGCTGAAGGAGCAACAGCTGCCGAGCATACAGTCTTACATTCCTGAGAGGGATTCAACAAGTGCTGGTCAAAGGTCGAGGGGAGTGTTGCGTTCATGCGCTTGGGGACTAGGTGTAGTTGCTCCGGAGAGTCGACTCACGTGATGCCAAGACTCGCGAGGTTCAGCCAGAGCAGATATGAACTACAAAACTACTACGTATGTGGCTGTCTCGTTGCCAACACGCTCGTCACCTTGGATGTTCAAAAGAGTCTCTCCAACTTCCACGCCTGGCTGACCTATCCCCGAACCACTGTGCCACGGACGGCCGAACCAGGACGCACAGTAGGGTGGGTGTGTGATGTTGTTGGACTAGCCGTCGGCCCAATCTTCTTCGGCCAAATGCGGGTCAAAGTCGAAAGCTAGGATCTAACTACTTATGGAAGTTCAGGTTGTATCCCAGCTCCTCGGAATGGAAGTCTGCACACTCTGACGGCAAGAATATATCGAGTACTTTTGTTGTCCACCCTTTGAACTCAACAGTAAATTTGCTTGAGTGCTGCGGAAAGGATGTCAAGTGGTGGGAAGGGGCACCAAGAAGACCTGGGGTTCGAGTGCTCGCCGAGTAAAGCCAACAATGTATCAACCGAGCTCTGTGCCGGACCCCGCATGCCTTCAAAGGCCCAGAGTTAACAGATAAAGTGCATGCTTCTGGCGTCAACTTGTGGCCGTCCTGCACGATCTGCTAGAACTGCCAAAGACGAACCCTTTACCCTGGGCCCCCGGCGGCTGTCACTTCTGCAAACGGACATCCAGATATAATATACATCTGGTGCACCACCATTCGTGCTTCTATCATTCAGTACCGCTATAGTTTTTGGCGCATCCTGCCCTTGATCGCGAAATCATGGCGTTGGAAGGAAAAGTCATCGCCGTGACGGGAGCTGCGTCAGGGATAGGACTCGCCGTCACCAATGTCGTAGCATCCCGGGGCGCAAAGTTGGCGTTGGCTGACATGGCAGAACGGCCGTTGAAAGATCTGGTCGAGGACCTGAAGAAACGAGGTGTCGAGGCCGTCGGCACTGTCCTCAACGTGACTTCGGACGTGGATGTGCAAGATTGGATTGCCTCGACCGTGAAGCATTTCGGAAAGATCGACGGCGCGGCCAATGTCGCCGGCTGGGGTGGCGGCTTCGTCAACCTCGAAGACACCGACAACGCCACGTGGGACAAGATAATGGGCGTGAATGCCACAGGAACGTTCTACTGTCTGAGGGCAGAGTTGAAGGCCTTGGGCCGGGGAGGAAGTATCGTTAACGTGGCATCCCTGTCTGGGATCCGCGGTCGCACTGGATTAGGAGCATATGTCGCTTCTAAGCATGCAGTAGTGGGCTTGACCAAGACGGCGGCACGAGAGGCCGGTGTCAAGGGCATTAGAGTCAATGCCATTGCCCCGTACGTCAATTTCTCCCTGCACCACCCCTCTCCCCCTTTGTCAGGTTCTTTGTGAATATACCCGAGTTCCACTCCTTTTTGCTAATAGCCCGCCCCACCAGAGGCCCAACCGAAACACCCATGCTTGACGCACTGCTGAAAGGGCCGACGACCACGACCTCCAGCAGCACGCTCAACACGTACTCCAGCCTTCCTCTCGGGAGAATGGCCCAGCCGGAAGAGCAGGCCCAAGCCGTCGCCTTCCTGCTCAGTGACGACGCCTCGTTCATCACGGGAGCGGTGCTGAGCGTGGATGGAGGTGCTGCAGCCTAGCGGCGTCTCATCGCCATGAGCTGGGTGAAGGGACTTGGTGTTGTGACGCGGGGAGCGGAGGCTTCAAAAAAGTGCACGGGAAGAATCGGTGGTGGTGCTGGTGGTTGTGGTTCAATAACAAATCACCCATGCTCCAGAGAGTCAGGCTACGTTAGTTCAAAACAATGAGGGCGAGTTATTGCCAAACTGTAACCCGCCTTGGTCTGAGCGTCTCGGCGAGACACGTGGAACCATGGTTTCAATTCCCCGTTTGCTACAAGTACACACATTCATCGATGCTCGAGCTCATTTAGAGTACCGAGTAGTCAGTCAGCAACAACCCATGAGAAGAGAACACTTGAAAGTAGCATCTGCCCGAGACACACCACCGTGGTCATCGTGCGAGGGCCACGGTATTTTTATTTAATGTGATTGAAAGGTATCCCTAACTTTACACAAGTCAACCTAGTTCACGCCTTCTAATCTCTACAAGTTCCAAGAAAACCGTGTGGGTGGTTTCACCCCAGGGAATTGCGCAGCTCTGCAAAATCGCACTGGAGCCACAGCGCCGCATCCTGCTGCTGCTGCTGCTGCTGGCCGCGACTTTCCAGCGAGAACAGGTCGTCCCACCAGAAATTGTCGACCGTCTGACCAGGCCAGCATGGCTCGCATGGGGCCTTGTCTCGGGCGGTGTCGATTTCTCGACGATCGGCGTTGGAAGAAGAGGGAGGCGACGAGGATGACAGCCTTTGCGGGAGGAGTTGCTTCAGCCGTGAAAAATGATCTTGGCTGAGATGGCTGAACAGCGAGTATGCCCACAGTGGCGCAGGCCAGTATTTGCGCATCTCTTCGAGGATCATCATGCCCAGCGCGAATTTGTTTTCGGCCGTTTTGTACCGCTGGCTGTCCTCCGGGGCCAGTTTGATTTCTTCGGCCATTGTGATCATCGAGTTGATGATGGCGGTATTCCTGTTGTCGTGTTTCGTCAGCCGTCGAGCTGGTCCGGTCAAGGGGGATGATGATGAATCCAATTTGGGCGGGAAAGGGGGAAGCAGGCCAGTCAACGACCGTTGGTATTGAAATCCCACCGGTCTTTGGCCAGCCACACCCTCCACACTCACATAAACCCATGGGAGTACTTCAAGAACCCCATCGCCAACAAATCTTCAAACATGTTCAGGGTTCTCGACGCCGAGCGCACGATCAGCATTCTTGCCTGCTCCTCTGATGGGACGCCAGGGAGCGTCGACGTGGCGCTCAAAATCGCCTTGTACAAGTACCGGGCGTTCAGCGCGAGGATCCGCTCATAATTGATCCGCAGAAACGTGAGCCACATTTCCTCCACGTCGGTGTCGTTGTCATGGGTACTTTCTCTCAATCCCGGCACATTCGCGCAGAGGTTCACCAGCACTGGAGGAGATTCCCGTGCAAGTCGATTCTGGAACTCGGCGTAGAACTCCAGCGCGTTGGTCTGGTGTTGTAGACTGGGGGATTCCCTTTTAACCAACTGGTCCACTATAAACAGCAAAGTTAAACCCCCGGACACAGCAGGCTCGAAACTGGCGTCAAGGACTCACTCATCACCGACAACCGAACTAGCTCGAGCGCGAACGAGACGTGGACACGGGAAAATGCAGTGAAGTCTATGACGCCTGGTGGGCTTTTGCTAGCCGGTTCGACTGGAGTTGAGTCCAAGAACTCGTAGAAATCGTTTACAGTCAGGGGTTCCACGTTGATATCATCGCGCCTCAGCAGGAAAGGCGTCCCAACGCCGATGGCGACGTTGTGTTCTCGGGACTGTGGTTGCCTGTTAGCACCGGCTCTTGAATGTGATGTGCTGATTGATCCTTCCCAGGAGCTTGTCACTCACAAAAAGGGTCCAGAAAATCCTCCGCCAGAGGGATCTCTCGTGAGGGGAGATTTGCGTCCATTTGGACATGGTGGCATGCATACCCATGGCCTGCGCCAGGTTGCAGGCGCACGAGATCCAGTATCGCGTGTCTTTGTCTTCGTTGTAGTCGGACCACCATGGACTGATGAAGATGACGGCCTGGATCACGAGCAGCTGGTCCTGTTCACAGTCGAGAAAGTACAACATGGCAGCCCGCCGGTAGAAATACTCTTTGGCGCTCATCCGCGTGTCAAAGCCGGTTTGCTTCAGGGTGTCATTGTCGACATACTGGGAGGCGGAAAAAAGGATGGCGTGGAACAGCAAGGGTGATAGGACGACGCCGCCGAGGAAGGAATCATAGATACTTGCTAGCTTGAACCGATCGACGACGGGGAACTCCGGCAGCACGTGGTCGAGGAAGGCCACCATGTAGGTGTTCATGATGCCGTTCGGAGGGAAGAACAGGACCTTCTTCATGGATCTCAGGTAGAACTCCTCCTCGGGAGGGAGGTCACTAAAGGGGCTGATGCCAGCCTCGTCGCTGACAATGCTTCTCTCAATCCAGCTTGGGCTGGGTAAACTTGACGAGGGATACGATCGACTTTGGTATACTGTAGGCAGCTTCGATGCAGGTGGTCGTTCTGAGTGGAAGCGTCCGTGGCTGGTCATGGGTGAAAGGCCCGAGTGGTTGACGGTCTCACCCGCGTAGACGACGCGGTTGTGGGATCTTGTCGCTTGTTTGGCTGCGGTCCGGCCAGCTATTCCCAGAAATCGCGGAGTCAACGAGGGTGATGCGGATGGCAATGAAGCACAAAATTCGTCCGCCTGATCAAGAGGGCTGCTCCAGACCTTATTCATGGTGTCCTCCATCTCGACGGATTCCAACGTGCTGCGAGTCCGCCCCCTAGATGACGATACGTTCAACCTAGTCTCGAGAGGAGACAGCTGAACCGTACCGCGGTCACTCGGGGGAATACGAGCAGCCGCCTGCAAGTCCTGTATGGACTGGCTCTCCGCGACCCGACCTGGTGGAAGGCATGTCTGGTGGTCTAGATCATCAGATACGTGGGCATCAAGACCGCTACCACAGTCTACCTTGTCAGCCGGTGCAGACTCCGGTCCCGTTTTTGATCTTTTGTATCTTCTGTGAGGTTTGCATCAAGTTAGCGAAGCCCCGGGAGTCTTTCGCTTACAGAAGACGGTCAACATCTACCTCCCAACTCTGCCCGGAACAAGCTCGCACAGCGTGTTGAGCGCGACACAGCTGGAGCAGGGGTCCCCATGGTCCTTTGTCATTGCATCGCATCGGATTTTCCGTCTATGGCAGACATAACAAGCTCGAGACGCTCGTTTCAGAGTTGTTGAGCCAACTGACGACTGCGTCCGGGTCAGTGGTGTTTGCGGGCTGTCTGACATATCCGATCAAGTGTACCGCGTGCGTAAGGTTGGAAGCAAAATATCGACATCGTCTGCGACAGCGATATACCGACGTCACCCCGGCCACCGTCTGCCCGCCAATATTCCTGGCTTCCCCAGAGCCCAGACCCCAGAGGCGGGCAGCGCGGAGAGGGACGGCATGGATCTCGGTCCGTGGGGCCGTGTGCTCTACTTCAATCGCCTTATTCCAATAGTGTACTTATAACAAGCATCTGACTCGCATTTGTATACGAGGTCACAAGGCAGTTTTGGTTTCAGCCGAGCCGAGCTGAGCTGTTGACGCAGAATATCATGTTCGGTTGAAAGTCTTGGCGCAGTATTTCGCCCGCGGCATCGACCTGAGCCAGCTTCGGGTCAAAAGAAAAGGTGAGAGAAGGGTCGGACGAGTTGACAATCTGGCACAAATCCCAGCCCGTTGTTATCACTGGTATTTGAATCATTGCGGCCAAAATTGTCTAGTCGTCGATGGTCGAGAAGAGGCTCCATTCGTGAGCCGAACCGCTTGAGCACCAAGTCGGCATCCCCGCACTGCTGAATCCACTCGGGAAATGGGTTAGGCCATATTAGGTTGAATCTGCTACAAACGGTCAGGTTTGACCCACTCTCCCACCACGCGCGAGTCAGTCGAACTTCAGAATACAGTAGTTTAGGTTATCCCGTGTTGGTGTTGGTCAGAGAACGTACCTCGAGAAATACCACTACCAACTCCCCCTCTGAAGGCTATGAGTAAGCGTCGATTCGGCTCGGGTAACTCTGACCAGAGTAATGACCGCTATTGACCGGGGTGTAGGCTGGGTTGGCAATGCTTTCATCTATTAAAGTGGCGACCACACTGGTTTCGAGGCGAGCACCCACACTCTAAACAGTGTACTTTCAAAGGACGATAGATTGAATATTCCATGCATGATGACTGTACCAAAGTACGAGGATCGAGGCCCGGTTGACTGCTCAGCACCGCCAGATCTCGCACAACTCAAGGATAAGAGTGTTATTGTCACGGGAGGTACCTCGCCCTCCACCTGGTCGAAATTGGCCGCAGAGTTGACTCGCCTTTTCTCGTACAGGCTGTAGTGGGATCGGCAGGAGTTATGTTGATGCACTTCTGAGTGCAGGGTAAGACAACCTTTTGCCATTCATGATCAGGACAGCGGCTGATCGACCATCACCTCTCCAGTGCTTTCGTCACTATAGGTGACTTGAACGAAGCAGAAGGGTCACAGCTCGTCTCGCAGTTTCCGGGGTATTTGTCCTTGTTCTGAGTGGTAGGCAGTCGCTAACTTGTAGTAGGCAAGCCGCATTCGTCAAATGCGATGTGACTTCATGGGATGATCAGGTACAACTCTTTGAAACAGCCATGAGCAAATCCCCGGTAAAGAGCTGTGATATCGTCATGGCCAACGCCGGGGTCAGTGGACTTGACGATGTCTTTGACCTGGATGGTGAGTCACCTCTAAAGAACGCAGTGTTATGGAACTTTTCTGAACGACCCAGATCCATCCGGACCCCCAGTCAAGCCAAATCTGCGGATCGTCAATATCAACCTCATCGGAGTCCTTTACACGGTCAAGCTGGCGATGCACTATTTCCGCAAATCGCCGGTCGATGAGCATCGTGACCGTTGCTTGATCCTCCAGGGCAGTACTGCGGCATACGTCGATCAACCAGGGACGCCGCAATACTCTGCATCGAAATTTGGAGTCCGAGGCTTGATGAGAAGTTTGCGTCGAACGAGCTGGATGCAGGATGTGCGGGTCAACTTTCTATGTCCATGGTAAATCCTGTGCTATCTTCCCACATACTTGTGCTTTGGGCTAACAAATACGCGCCAGGTTCACCAGAACCCCCATCATGAGCGAGGAAGTTATACAGCGTTTGGAGAAACTCAATCTGGACTTTGCGACTCTCGACGACGCGGGCAGAGCAGCCCTCCGAATTGCAAGTGACAAGACGATGAACGGTATTTGGGCCTAGCCACATATCAATACTCACTCCCTTTTACTTACGCTATCATTCAGGCCGCGCCATAGTCATCCTCCCGCGGAAGTTTGCGCCTGAGGGGTTCATCGATGTTGCGCGAGATGACCTGAAAGCGCCTGACCCCAGGGCAATCTGGCAGTCAGAGACGTTGAGAGTCAGTCATCGTGTCGCGGTAAGTCTTGTCGCGCCCCTTCATCCAATTTGGTCAAAGACTCAACGTATATTAGGAAGCCGAAGGACACAAGAAAGCAGCTGGTTGAGAATCTCAAGGGGCTGTCCAAAAAGGAGGGTTTAACGGCAGCAGACGCTTCCTAGAGCAGTGATGTTGTGGGAGGCATTTGATTTCACGTCCCATTCGGAGGGGAAAGAATGCGAGGAAGTGACTTTGACAGATACCAACTCGGGGGTAGAAAATGTGATATATTTCGTTGGAGAAGAGACAGTATTGACATTCGACTCCATAGTAACTCAACTCACTGAGTGCAAGCTATATACGCAACAAAGATTCCCTTGTACCCTGGCAGAGGATCCCCAATAGCATCTAGATGGCGGACATTGACGGCCACGTGAGCCACAATTGTCTCATGTATCTCCTCGTGTATATAACCCTGGCTGGAAACGTGTCCGGCCCGCTACAGCCTCCAATATTGTGTACATGGTGATTACAAATTTAGGGACGGTAAGTGAGCCGCGTTCCGACGAGCCATCGGGAACTGAAGGCCGGATCTATACAAGGGTGTACTCTACACAAGTATTATAGGTAGCTAGTTGGTGCAAACCTCACAGACCGGCTCACCGACACGGACTCTAAGTGCTGTACCGAGTATCCACTCTCCCTTACTCCAACATCTCCTTGCTACTGGCACACTGGCACTACTGGGAATTAATCTCCGCAATCCTGGGGAATTCCCCCGCCTCCCCCAGACACACGTTCACCTCCCTGCTCAGGCGGGCCTGCTTCGATTGTTTTCCAACTATACTTCGGCTCGCAGAAAGTTCAAGACTAGACCTCTCTGACCCGGACCATACTCCTCATCGCCGAAACGCTCCATGTACATTGGCCCGAGGTAGTATGAAAGGATTTAGGTTCAGACCGTGGTTGAGGCGGTTGGCGGTGGACTGATTTATAGATATACTTACCATGGCCCGTCGAAAGGATCTTGCTGCCAAGTTTGACACTTTCAGACCATTCCCTTGTACCTCTTGCTGGTACACATAGTTCGCTTCCAACATGACGGCAGATAACGTTCGCAACCACGGTGGAAATGCCTACAACTTCATCATCATTTTCACCGTGGCCCTGGGCTCCTTCGCCTTTGGATTCAACGCCGCATCCTTTGGATCTGTCATGGGGTGAGAGTGACTTGAAACCATTGTACCGAACCTCTGGACTAACGGCGAACCAGTCTCCCAGGCTTCTTCTCGTACTACGACATCTCGTTGATTGACGGTGGCTCGGCGTCTAACCGGATCTTGGGGGGTAAGCCAGAATCCCTCGATGTTTTCTGCTACGAAAGTCACTCACTCGTGGGCGATATAGCTGCCAACGGCACCTATTATGGAGGCGGTCTGATCGGTTGTCTCTTCGCCGCTTGGCTGGCCGACAAATACGGTCGTATCCGCAATTTACAGATTACCTGTGCCATTTGCGTGGTCGGTGCTATTATACAGAGTGCTTCGGTCCATATGGCCATGTTTCTCGTCGGCCGTACTATTGGTGGTGCAGGGTATGGCTTTCCCCCCCCCCTTTTCCGATGGCCCCTGGTATTTGTGTACCAGGTAGAAAGATCCGCCGTCCAAAAACTGATACTGATACAATCCGACCCAGGTCTGGAATGATTGTTGTTTCCGTCCCCATTTACCAATCCGAGGTCTCGCCTGCCGCACAAAGGTGAGATGATCATCCATATTTCCTGCACCTCGACGGATGGTCCAAAGTTGCTAATATCCAACATTAGAGGTCGCATGGTCGGCCAACATGGCTTTTTGTTGGTGGCTGGATACGTGAGTTGCCCTTTGTTCTTCTCCTTCCCAACAAAACCCTAACAAGCATTTCAGGCGGTTGCAGGATGGAGTGGTTTTGGGTGCTATTTCCAGGCGAATCCCCAGATCCAATGGCGTCTACTTTTGGCACTTCAAGGTACAAGTCGTCCATATTATTCCGCACTTTGTTGAGGATAGTTCTGATCGAGGTCTTTTGATCCAGTCGTCGCCCCTCTTGCCCTTATCGTGGCCTCCCCGTGGGTGCCTGAATCTCCTAGATGGCTTGTTCATAAGGCCAAGGACGATCGGGCCATGGACATTCTGAAGAAGCTCCACCACACGTCTGAAGACGTCAACGACTTGATGGCCCGCGAGGAGTACTATCAAATCCATGCGCAGATCGAGTACGAAAGGACCAAGCCGAACAATCTGTGGGCAATGTTCAAAGTTCCCTCATACCGGCGTCGTCTGGTAATCTCATGGTGCCTTCAGTATGTTTCTTTTCCCACCCCCCCTCAACCAGATAGAGCTGACTGTTGCAGATTTTTGGCCCAATCTACCGGGTGTGTTGTCGTCGCCAACTACCAGGTATTGCTATACAACAACCTAGGTCTTCACAACTCGATTCCACTCCTCCTGGCCGCAGTTTACCTCTCCTGGGCTGCCGGGTGCAATTTGTTTGCTGCTATGGTAGTGGACCGCTGGGGCCGTATCCTCATGATCACAGTCGGAGTTGTAAGCACCAATCTATAAAAGGCCTCTTCTGAAAAGTCACTGACCTAACCGTCTCTAGTTCGGCTGCCTCGTGACGCTCTCCTGCACCACCGCCATGATTGCCTGCTTCGCGGGGACCGACAACAAAGTAGGCAATGGATTCGGGGTATTCTTCATCTTCGCCTTGGTCGGCTTCTATGGCAGCTGCATCGACGCGAACTCGTTCATCTACTGTACCGAGATATTCCCGACCCACGCGCGCGCACAGGGCCTGTCGTTCGCCTTTACCGGCTATCTAGTCGCTGCCATCATCTACAACGAGGTCGCACCGACCGCTTTCGCCAACGTCGGCTACAAGTTTTTCTTCCTCTTCATCGCCCTCATGATTGTGGGCCTCCCACTCTTTTGGTATTACAGCCCGGAAACCAAAGGCCTGACGTTGGAGGAAATCGCCACGTTGTTTGGCGACGAAGTCCTCATTGATCTCTCAAACATGACTGCCGAGGAAAGGGACAGGCTGGATCAAGAGCTGATGAAGTCTGAAGGCCCGGACTTTATCAAGGAGAAGACTCTGGTCATCTCGGAGGAACGTGAATACAAGGGTGCCTGAGAGCCTTATTCTAGGCTTCACAGTGAAGATGGGCACTTCTGATGGAGGGCTCTGCAGGTTGAAATTCTCTCGACTAGTCTAGTTTATTCGAGGCCCGGAAGCCCTGTATCTATTTTTGTTGACGTCTTCAAGCAAGCAAGCCATATTGTGTATGGGTCCGCCACTCCATTTCTATACTATCCTCTAGTTGCGTCAGTGAATAGTCATGTGTATGGCTCTCCAGGAATCCTTGGACTCCGACCGATGGTAGCTGTGCATTCACCTTCACCGTAAGCCAATCTGCTCCAATCGACTAGACAGGGTATATGTAGTGCTTGATTTGCCTTTGACAGTCGAGCACCACAGAGATGGTCATTTCCGTCTAAAAGTATCATCTAAAACACACACTCCCAAGGGGCACTGAGCCCGTCCACATCTCTCTCGATACGAGAATTATGCGGCAAGAATTATCGATGTCCTCCTGCCGTTGCTGGAACAAAGTGCGACATTACCGCATGTCTGCTTTTCGGTGCCGATCACTCCGAGCCGAATTGCCGAGCCAGTAACAGCGTATCGGGATTAGCTTGACTTTCCTTGATAGGAATAGTGAGTATATCCCACCAATAACAAGGGGTTATGGTCGCCTAGAGATATCGACTAGTGCCAGGAACGGCAATAACAGTGTACGAGTACCAAGTACTCGGTAGTGAAGGAGGAATCAGCGATATCAGGAGGCACTACGACAAACAACAAATGGCACGGATACGAACATCAAGAGAATTGATCTCTGTACAAAATCGCGGCCGAGTTCGCTGTCCCGAATACACTCCCCCCATCTTTTTGAGCAAATTCCACCAACCAAAGGATGGCGGACTTGTGTATCGCAGGCTTCGGCGGCGGCTTCACTCGTGGGCATCTCTTCGGCAAATGCGTCTTCGGGTTCCTGCTCGACCGTTCTTTTGGTAGAGTGCGCCGGCCTTCACCGTTCCCGAATTCCTCCCCCAACAAATATCGACATGTCGGCGTGTGCCTACGTAGCTGAAGGACTCAACTTCTTTCGCGTCATGGTTGGAGCCGTTATCACGAAGAGATGTCGACGCTTTTGAAGGTGAGGGATCCGCCTGAATATAGGTGTATGCTGCTTCAGGTATTGAAATGAAAGCACTGCCGCGTTCATTGAACTTCACCTCAGTTAGCGGCTCGAAAAGCCGGAATTTATTCACGACTCATTCCCATTCCCCAGGTCCGTCCTGTATCATCACCTTGGTCATTGGGTTTGGACTCATGACCGTTTTCGCATCGTGGGAGCACTTTGGACAAGTCAAATATCCGCCTATGTCCCAGACACATCTTCATGGCACCCTTTATTGCAGCCATGATCAGAGGCATGGAGTACCATGTAATCAATGTAATGTATTGTTATTATGATATTATAGTGACGGACCTGGTCCTTGAGAAACTAACCTGGGACTAGATCATTCCCGGTATTCCATATCAACGAGCAGACTTTCTTACCACAACCAGGTCTAGGCGAGTTTCTCGCGCTCTTCCCTTCGCAGTCTGAGAGTCTGCTTGTGGCAAAAGCTGCGACACCCAAGGGGTGTGAGCGCGGCGGCTTCTTGCGCTTAAAGATGATCCGGAACGACCGCCTTGCAGACCACTGCTGTCTCCATGAAAGGAGGGTCTTTTGCGGGATTTCTTGGTGAGACTTGTGCTGTGTAGACGTACACCCCGAGTTTTTGCTCACAACGACGAACCCAATTTTCGGGTATCATATCTGAGAGCAAAGCCCGTCCTCACCTTACTTCCCCGCCCAACGGTCCGGGGTATGGCCCAATACTTGACTGGGGAAACGGCAAACGCGGAGCAAATGGTGGTCACGCAGCAGCCACAGTCTCGGAGACGGAAAGCATTCGGCATCCTACCGCGGGTTGGGCGAGTATCACATAAAAAAAACGTTTTGCTCTGTTTCGGTCAAACGACATGACGAAAGGCTCACGGTTCCCTTTCTCTTATGACCAAAATGTCTTTCAAGGGTAAAACAGTTGCCATCACGGGGGCGGCGTCTGGCATCGCCCTCACACTAGCAAAACTCTTAGCAGAGAGGGGCGCCAGATTGGCATTGGCGGATCTGAACGAAGCGGCTCTCAACAAGGTCGTGCAAGAATTACAAGGCGAGGGAGTCGAGGTCGTGGGCACCGTTCTCAATGTCGCCTCGAGTGATGCGGTGGATAACTGGATCAATTCTACAGTGGCACACTTTGGCAGGTTGGATGCCGCGGCGAACCTGGCCGCCATTGACGGTGGATTCAACGACGTCAAAGACCTGAAGGACGACACTTGGGACAAGGTCATTGCCGTCACGTTGTCGGGCACCATGTACTGCGTGCGGGCGCAGATCCGGGTCATGAAGAGCGGCGGCAGCATCGTCAACGCTTCTTCCTTGTCAGGCACGTTTGGTCGGCCGGGGCTGGGGGCATACGTCTGTGCAAAGCACGCCATTGTCGGATTGACCAAGACGGTGGCGAAGGAGGTTGGACCGCAAGGGGTCAGGATCAATGCTGTCGCGCCGTGAGTAATACAAATCTCGACCGTCCTGCCCGGGAGGGGTTTTTCAAGCTGACGTCTCATTAGCGGTCCGATCGATACACCCATGCTGGAGAAATTACTGTCAGGTCCCCGCTCGTCAGGTTCGAGCCAGACCACGAGCACATACACCAACTTGCCTCTGGGGAGAAAAGGCAGGCCGGACGAAGTGGCCAAGTTGTTTGCATTCTTGCTCAGCGACGAGGCGTCTTTCATCACAGGCGCCGTAGTTCCCATAGATGGTGGTGCTGCCGCATAGTGTCGTTTAGAAACACTTCCTCTCTGCCCGGAAAGGGCCCAGCACTTCGTTACTTTCTCTCTCGTTGTGTTGATACACTGTCATCCTCGTAACTACCGTACACACCTGAGAATCAGAAGGATGGAGTTTCTCGGCCTCGATCGATTGTCGCAAAGACAGAGACAGAGACGAGGCGTCTTGTCTTACAAAGAGCCTTTGGTCTGAGATACACAGTCGGCACATTCGGCTATGTTGTCGTCCGCAGTTTTGGCCCTTCACGGCTCTCGACGGCAACCCAGCCGGGCACCGCGTGACCCGAATGTGTGCCGTGGGATTCTCAGAGCATTTATGCGTCGAGACGCGAGGTGGTGCACTCGTCTGTATCCCTCTCCTGGTTGGCAAGTTTGAAAGAGCTCTGGACAGATCGAACACGTGTGCTGTGTTGTCTGTTGTCGTTTCTACCTCATGGCAGACGAAATGAAATACCTGATCATCGATCAGACCGGGTTTGGTCTTTCCTTGTCACAAATAGCGAATAGGAGAGGGAGGAGAAGTCTCGACACACAAACAGCCACCTGAGCCCTGGGCCAAAAGTGGCAACAGAAACCCAACTCGCATGAAAAGGCTGGAGAACCTCCATGCCGACTCGCTCACTCAGCCCAGCGGAAAAACACAAGTTGCCCACTTGCAACTCTCCTCCGAGTTCACATGCTCTGATACTCGGTTGTTCCATCAGCCATACATGTATGAAAGGCTAATCGCCAGAGAAGCTACACGTTCCTGCTGATGTGCCCGCTATCTACCTAGCTCGGGCGGTGTGCATGACTAAACCCTCCGAGACGGGGGTGGCGTATCGTATATACATACATACCTGACGACACAGTCAGCAACACGATTCGCACGTAAACCTCGTTGGTTTCTCCAAGTGTGCCCCTGACACGGTATGATAGACTGTACCTTCTCCCGGGGGGAAATATTCCCAGGATAATGGCTCGTGTTCACTCCTGGCTAAATGTGAGACCGTGCTATGCGTGTATAAACTACCGTGAAAGCACGATGAGGAGGTCCGTCTTCTTGTCTTCTCTCTTGATATATCACAGGTGAGTTCGGCAGAACAGGACAAAGGACCAAATACAAACCCAGGAACACGACATCACGACATCTCGTCATTTCAAAACACACCCATATCATACTCGGTTCAGTTCGGTAATCAGATCCGCTCCAGCCATGACGGCGACTACTCCTGCCCCCACCTCGCCACCGACGCTGAACCACGTCCTCAACCTCACCCTGACGACGACCGCGGTGCTCGACGCCGGCGCGACCCCTCGCGGCCGGATCAGCTGGGTCGAAACGCCCTCGGGGGAACTGACGACGCCGACCGGCGAGAAGATCGCCACCGTCATCCCCGGCGGCGGCGACTACTTCACACGACACGTCGACGACCTGACCATCGAGGTCGACCTGCGGGTCATTGCGCAGACGGAGCCAGACCCGACGACGGGGTCGACCACGCTGTTCAGGTTCCACGGCGTCGGGTACGATAGGCTCGCTGGGCCCGTCATGAGCGCCTTGGATGGCACTGTTGCTCCAGCCCCGGACACAGATGCAGACGCTGCCACAGCCGCAGCTGGACCTCTCGCCAATGAAGAAGCGGAGATGCCCTCGCCGCTATACGGCTCCGAGGTGCTCTGGTGCAACACCTCCAGCAGGGAGTACTGGTGGATGAACTTTGCCGTGCTGGTCGCCAAGGTCGCGCTGATTCTTGGGCCTGCGGGAGTTGAGAGGGTCGAATATGCGATTTACCAGGTCGTTGTGTGAGGGGTCAGGGATTAGGGACGGGACGGGATAGAGTGCAGGTCGAATATCGTTGTTCATTAGAACACGTCGCTGCCGCTGCCACATCGGTAGGGACAGACAAGATGTAAAGTAACATCCTACGTACGAGTGACTGGCACACTCCCCAGCTACTGTGGTACTATCCCAATATCTCCAGAGTACATGATGGCTAGCTAATCAAACCCAATGCCAGCTCGGTCTTCGCCTTGAGGTATAGGTAAGTGGCAGCCATAGCCATGGCAATAGCCGTGATCGTAACTCCATCACCTCCGCCATCACCATCAACACCAGACCACTCCATGACCGGCCCCGTGGAAGAGCAGGACGCCAAACCATTGCCCTTCAAGTCCCATTTGACATTTTGCCATCCTTTCGAATCATTCATTCAGAGATGCCTCTCAACCCGACCCAACCCAACCCTCGTAGCCACATACATTAGTCATAAACACCTTGCATTCGACTTTTCGTTGATATTGTTTCTCATTTTCGTAATAGTATCAGTAACAGCCGTCGTCAGTTAAGCCGTTAACTCGTTCACCCCTCTTTTTATTTTATTTTTGGACAGAGCAGGGGTCGAGGTACCACAGGATGGATGGAAGATACTGCTGCGGACAAGTGTGACCAATCCACATTACCAGCAACACCCAAGAAGACGAGTGTTTGACATCCACTTGTGGCCCCGACCGCGGAACTCTTGTTTATTACTTTTGTTGAAGCGTTGAAGTCTGACTGTCCTCGGACGTCGCTCGCGAATGTGAGGCCGAGGAATACGCCGACTTGGGCTGTTGGATGTCGACCAACTCCGTGACTGTGCCTGTGGGCCCTTTGTCGAACGAGATGGGTCCGGCCAAGTGCAACGACGGTAGACTGCTCGTTCGCTCGTAGAGGGTTCGCTCCTCTGTGATCTGGCTTCGGGTAGCAGTGTCTGTTCGTGAGCCCGTCGATGTCGATGCGGAACCAGGTGCCGACACGGAGGCAAGCCACGACTTGTTGCGTAGGTCGACGGAAAGCATCTTGACTCGTCGATAAGTCATGCACACTCTCGCCTTGAGTGCACCCGCACAGGCGGCGCAGATGCCGATGTGGTTCTCCACGCCCGCCCAGATGAAGACCAGCGCGTAGTTTTCTGTAAGTTGACATGGCTTGTTAGCAAGCTTGCAGTGATAGACCCTATGTGAAGGGATGAGAAGGGATGCGAGGGGAGCATACCTGAGAGGCTGTTGGGCGAAGTATCAATTTCGTAGACGGCGACGAGTCGAAAGATGCTAGCCAAGATGACACTGAAGTCAAGTGTTAGCAATGGAGCTCCCTGGAAACGAGAGCGTTACCACATACACGAAACAGACAGCGAACAACGCGTATAGGCTCCACCGGTGTTCACGAAGTGTTTCGACCTTCCACAGCAATACCATCGGTATCAGGTACATGACCACATCATTGGCAATCATGAAGCTGGCATTGAAATAGAAGTAGGATAACAAGCTGATGCACTTCCCCTTCTCGAGCTCGCCAGTCGGATCTTGGTATTGACGCCAGGTGTAGCTCAATGGGATGCATTGCAGCAATACGACGAACACAGAACTGAGGCCAAAGGCAAAGGCAGAAAACTGCATGAAGTGGATAAAATATCTCTGGGCACGAGTCTGTGCCAGGCCGTAGTAGAACGTCAACCATGCGTGTTTGACGAACATGTTGCACAGGAAATAAGGGGGAAAGGCCGCAACGATGAGCTATTTTGATGTCAGCAGCCGTTACAGGGAGAAACAGCGTTGGGAAAGGTGGAGACTGACTTTTTGCAGAGTTTCTCTGGTGAGGAACTCGACAGGAGTGATGGAAGCTCCGAGCCCTTTGGCCGCGGCTGAAACACATATCAGTATGACAACCACAAAGCTTCAGGTTAGTGTCTTACCTGCACAGACGATCGAGGTCATCAGCAGAGCGAAGAACTGCACCGTGATGAGTGAGGGCCTGAAACAGCGAATTGGGTCCATCGTACCGCACTCAGTACCAAAAACCCTGCGAGAGGTCAGCCAACGCCTTCGAATCATTCGCCAACTTTCCTGCAAAGCACTCACATTTGCTGGCGGTCAACCGCCCAACGGTCGCCAATTGCCTCTCCAACTCGATCGTCACAGAGACGATGGTGGAAACAGCAAGCACAAGGCTTGTAGCCACGAGGACGGCATCCTTTGATTCCAACATGTTTGAAAGTGCTGCAGGTCGCCGTGCAAAGGTAACCTCAGAGAAAGGTGTAGACCTATCCGAGCACCCAAGGGTGTCAAACACCCGATATATAGACGACACTCGCACCTTCCTGTAGCACCACAACCCAGTTGCCCTGGCTTTGGTAATATTTTCATGGGTCCGGAGAATTCCTTGCCACTTCCATCCGTGGCGAGGGCTGTAGAACAAGCTCGCACCAGAAGAGTCCAAGTCCAAGATGTCAGTTGTGGGCTAGCGAAGGACCGCAGACGAGTCCAGCCAGTGGCGACTGCGAAAAAGGGTTCGGATGCCTGGTTCGCAAGGGATCGATTCAGAGTTCAGGGCTGTTTGCTTTCTCCGTTCGTCCTCATGAAGGAGGGAGGGGTGGAGCGCACGACCTGTCAACTCGGAAATACGGCGTGTTCGTGCCGTCGAGCCATGAGAAGTTGGTTTTAATGCTATACAGGGCCAGACATGGGCCCAGTGGGACTTGACTCTCCATGTATGAGTAACTCGTACCTACCGATGCGCCTGGTTCGTTCCTGTTAGGCTTTGTTCAGAGTTTTGATTCTGGTCCAACCCGTCGTCACGCACCGGCACGGAAGGGCGGTCCCAAGTCCCGGCAACCCATTAGCCAGGCCCACCATGGAGTGGCGAGGCTCACACATACTCGTACACTGTCAGGTCAGGTCAAGAATGAGAAATTGATTGCCTGTCAAAGTCGGGGCTAGAGGGATGGTACAGAAGTTTCAGCATATCTTGCCGGTTGTCCTTGTCCCAATATGCACCTGTCAAGTGTCGGATGTCCGGTTCTGGGAACGACAGAGAGTCCTCCCTAGAGAGAAAGTCAGAAGCATAACTTCCAACTGCCATGCGAGGGGATGGGGGTTGTGGATAGTGACGAGAACAATAGAGTTGCGAGAACAAGAGTCCAGCGAATGCCGGATGACCGTTCCGAGCTTAAGTTAGTAGGCAGTTGGAGATTAGAGTCTGGCTCTGGATCGTCGAATCCTGGGGCTTGTGTGTGGGTGTGTGTGTGACGTGCAGGAATGGTCGTAGTAGCCAAGTTGAAAGTACTGCGCCTCTTGACCCTTGCAGACCACCAGGTTGGGAGCGTCTAGGATCGCAAGGGGCTGAAAAGCAAGATCTGTAAAAGGTACAAGACACTGGCGATCAGCTGCGAGACCAGGTTCAACTGAGCTCTATCTGACAGCTCCAATGCAAGCTGCGAGTCGATCTCCTGTTGTGAGTGGACGATGCAGCGGTCTTTGGATACCGCATTGACGGCATCCCAATGATGAAGAGGAAAGAAGTTGAAGCGAGGTTGCAGCCAAGACAAGATGGGTAACCTGTGGGCTCTCATCCTTGTACTGTCTTTATGTGGTTTGGCAAGATCAGCTTTTCCTCGCATCCGGTGAGGGCCAGCCACAAAGGTTTGGTTGGTCCAACCACTCAGAAGTCGAGAAGGTATCCTGTCACTGTGCAGTATCCCTTGGAAAGCTGGAATTGCATGGCTTGCACCAATCTCGCTGACAGTAGTTGACACTTTTGCTATTAGTGGGCAGTGGGCACTCATCTGTCCGTTGCATCCGGATCCCTTGGTTGGTCCAGATTCGCGTCCCTCAAGTAATGTTTCTGATTGGTGAACTGTTGAGCTCCGCCCTCCGGAGTAAACCTGGGGAATACGTCGAGGGATGCTCGCCAATCATTCCCACAGCTCCGGTGCTTCAACAGATCACACATTGTTGAAGTGACCTCATGAGCTGTAAATTTCAGAGTCTGTACTTGCCATCTCACCGAGTAAAAGGCCTGCTGTACCTGGGTACCTTGCATTCTATCTCAAAAGGCCCCCAGCTAGGGTCGAGAATGGAGCAACTAACAGAGAGTTGTGGGCAGGCCCGCGAAAAACCTTGCAGCCCATCGACTTCGGGTAAATCGTCAATGGTTTCCATCCGAACCTCGATTTCTTTCCGAGATCGACGCAATCGGGCTTTTGGACGACTCGATACGACTCTCTCATGCTCTTCTGTCCATAATTGGTCGCCTACCGAGTACGCCGTAGTGCTCGGTGTTCAGCGGGGCTTCTTGAGCAACTGCAATATTGAGTTGCCATAGAAGCGAGGAGCAGCGTTGTTCGCAGCAGCCATTTGTCTTAAGAACGTTGCCATTTGTTCAACGGATTCTAGGCATTTTGTCGGGGTTGGAAGGGTGGAGCCGAGTAGCTCGCAAGCTTATATTTGGTAGAGAAAGCAGCATGCCATCGGGCATACCTGCAGCGGCCATATTGATGTTTTCGAGTTTCGGTGGTGTTATAACCATGACACATCGAGAACAGATATTGGCTGCTTCCAAAGACTTCACCAGGGATGCTCTGGCAATTCGGCCAGGGGTTTGTTGAGATGTCGTACGGGTGTCAAGAGCTGATTTTGCTTTTCAAGAATATACCTGCTGCCGAAAGTAGTGGTGCAGAGGCCGGTAATTTGAGCGTCGAAATCCACGGCTCTAGTTTTGAAAACGTCCATATTCGAATGGTTCGATGGATTTCTCCGTGGAGACCCCATCATTGACCCCAGACCGTAAGGGCCCCGTGCATGTCTCCCTGCGAGGCTACCACTTGCTACGTATCCATAGCACCAGCTGGTCTACACCACCGGCCTGGAGCACTTCGACCTGCTTGTTGCCGCAGTTTGAAAAATCGGCCTCGTCGAGGACACGAGCCACACGTGTTGGCTTTGGCAAGTCTCTAGCAAGGCAGCCGCTGGACTGATGGTGCTATCTTCTCTGGTAGACGGAGGCATGCCGGCCACAGGGAAATGAGGAGACATAGTCACTAACCAAAGCCAGTCAACGCATCTCAATAAGGCCAGTCCTTTTGGTCTCTCCGTTTGTCTTCTGCTTTAGCACTTCTTCTAGGTAGACGATTGGGCAATAAAGGCCGACTCGCCTCGATAGAATACTTCGGACCCATTGATTCAGGAACCTTGGAGGCGGAGGACCACTTGCGAGTCCAAACATGTTTGCGGGGGGGGATGTAGGCATAGAGGACTGCAGAGGCCGGCAATTTGTTCCACGAAGTATGGTTATCCTCTGCTAGAGGCCCGCCAATAGCCCTGATGAAGCCCGAGATGGGTCGGAAAAGTTGTTGGCGGGTACTGGCACTTTCCGATATAAACTGAGATGCCATGAAACCTGCACGATCAGCGAGTGACAGCCTGTGTTTCGACATATCCAGCAAGTTCCTGAGGTCTTCGTTGCCAATACCAGGCATATAGCACAGGATCTTCTCCCGGTATGCAATGGGTTGATCAGTGTGTCTCCCCCACAGGGCACATACATATATTGACGCTTGCAATTCAATGAGCTCCACTGAAAAGTTGTTGGATACATTGGCGGGGTTCTACTGGGCCATCCCCCGGCAGCGACGGCGTTTTCATCCGATCCAGGTTGTGCCAGGGTTTTGATAACGGTTCCTGGGGTGTACTCGAGCCAAAGACATTCAAGGCTCGATGAGACGGTAGGTTGGGGCGACTCGCATTTGTTGTGCCATGAACTGCTTGCAGGATACATTCGTCTCTTTTTGGAAGAGAGGCTTCATGGGAGTATGCCAGAGACGATGCTGGGTCGACTACAGGCGAGTACTGTATGGAGTTGGTCGAATCTCAAGCTCTAATCCAGATCTGCCGCTGGTGCAAATCCCCCGAAGTGAGCGATGAGATTGGTGGCTGCTGTTGTCCCTTTCGAGGGACACTGAGGATTCAATTTCGACGGATTCTGGAGCCCTTGGACGTACGGGGACTGTGGACTCCTATACAGCGCATCTGCGGGCCTCAGGTTAGCAAAAAGTGGTATGAAATGGTTTGATTGTTGCAGCTTTTCACCTTGGTCCGCCGATGCAGAGAGCATGCGAGACGTGTCTGTGGAGTCGATGCAGTCGTCGCCATGGTACCCGATCAACAGTGTGGGACATGAAGTTTTGATGCAGATGCTCATCTGCAGTTCAAGCAGACAAGGTGAAGAAAGGCGCAAGATATGGAAAGGTGCATCCCAAGTGTAGTAAAGAGTGAGGGATGCAAGTGGATTTACCGAGGAGGAGGTTAAGCCAGCTAAGCCTAGAGGCACCTGCAGTAGACATATTGGTGCCTAAGATTAATGGTTAGTCAGGGACCGCTAGTTGAACCGTAGCCTAAATCTCACTGGCTATGTACCTAAACTGCAGTTATGAGGTTTCCTACGCACCAGACTGCGCTCGCTTGGTGGCCGCAGGCTTTGCTGGAACCACCGCCGCCTTGCGCAGCATTTACAAGTATTCCATCAATCAGACTCAATGTCCTTGAAGTGGTTCTGTCCTTGTATCTCTTCCGATGCTAGAGCGACAGATAGAAAATGTCATGTTCCCGCCCCTACCCTCCCATCCATCTATCTCTGAGGTGATCTGCTGAACATCGTCAAGGTCTCAGACACCGAGCCTCAAGCTAGCAACCCTAGCGAACACCCTCGACCTCCCCCTATCCATCCTGATCACCCGAGACCTGCACCACGAGGTTGTTGACGGGCAGAAGCGCTGTTGCTTCCACTACAATGCCAACCCCTTCCGTACAACCTTCAAAAGCAGAGATCCTCACCCTTACTTGAAAATGCACTTCTTCCTAGGAAATATCTGACGAGATTTGACGTGATATCTAGTATCTTGGGAGGAACCTAACACTTCGTAATGTCGCTGGAGGACTCTTTCCCAATTAACAATGACTCAACCAGTCGGGTATGTCAGCACACTCACAACTCGGCGCTCAGGATGCCGTGTTGGGTGAAAGATAGCAATCCGCAATACCTCAGGATGTTACAGGCAACCAGTCATTAAGTTGCCGAACGAGACCCCGACCATAATATCCCCTGCCAGAACCTTACCAGATCATTGCAAAGATGGATAGGAAGCAGCAATGGCCTCGGACTGATTCAGCTGGTCAACCCTCCTTTTCGCCGTGCCAGTTCGAATATTCATTCTCTGACCGTCGCCATCCTCAAACATGCTGTATCCTGAAGGAAAGAACTCCTCGACAGTACCAAGGCAGGACAATGTTTGCATGCCGAACTCACCACGGTACCCGCCGATAAGCTTCCAGAACTGTTTGTGTAGAAAGAAACACCTCCAAATACCAGACGTGCCACCAGTGCATATAACCGACCTGCTGGAAAGTAGGCATCACGACGCCGCAACAAAGAAGCAGACCAATGCAGCGTGGTTTGGCTGAGATCCTCACAGATTCCTGGCAGTATTTGCGCGTAGAGGTACCGTGCGGGAAACGAGGAATTTGGGGGTGTCCCAGGGCCGGTTTCACTCGAAGCGTATTTGAGCTACCAGAGCACTAGAATGATATCATATCGTTGTCCCCCTCACCATGGCTTGATGAGCGGAGCTATCGACGACAATGGTGACTTGTAGCTCAGCGCACTGCAGAGCAGAGGCGAGATCCTCGTAGGTGGGAGTTATGAGTGTCTGATACGATGAGTAGAGTGGAGCCGGCTGCCAAGACCCAACACCACGGCAAAGCTACCAAGTACTCCGTACTTGCTCTTCCTACCGTGACGAGGCTGAACATCCAAAAGGGGGCAGAAAAACAATCCATCCAATCCCCCCCAACCACCACACAAACATGTCAAGGCTGTCCAAGATTATTTCCTACGCAGGATTTTCAGGACGATGTTTTCGTAGGGTCCCCCTCGACGCATCTGACGAGAGCTTGGGACAGGTCAAGCAGAAGTTGGCCAAGGGACTGTTGGCGACGACCCGGTGAACGGCAACGGGAGCAGACTCTCAGAACGCCGAGGATTGCACGAATGTTCTCCGGCGCTGGCGACGGCAGAATCGTGTTGGTCATGCCGTTAAAGGCTCATAGAGAGAGGGGGAAATGGTCAACTACGGTAGTATGAAGGATGAAGGATGAAGGCGAGGAAGGAGGACGATACACTTTGTGGTCATCCGAGATTCGAGCCACATTCGAGTGATGTCGCTGCCAAAGCAAACACTCCTCTAACTGGAGAGTTGGTTATGGGCGGAAAAGACGCCACGCCGAGACCTCGAGATCCCGCGTCTCCCAATCACACAGGACTCTTTTTCTTGCGAAGCCGTCAACAATTAAAGGGGACTTGGTTGTTTTCTCACCGCACAATGGGACGTGAGTATCGAGAAAGAAATACATACAGTACTCGGTAGAACGAACAAAATGTTTGAGGCTGCATAACTCGAAACCCGAGATCTGAAATCCAAAACTTTTGATTCAGTTATATATGATACACGAAGTAATATCCCAAGGCGCCACCCATTGTTGGTGCCAAAAAGGAGGGATCATTTCCCTCCCCTCTACGCGGTGTGTATGTGCGTGTATGTGCGTAGATATATGTGTGTAGTGTGCGGTGTACTCGGTCCTCGGTATACATACCTCTGCCTCCGGCTGTGACTCTCTCTCTCAGACTCAGCCTCGCGCCCACCACCACCACCACCACCACCAGGGTGCGGTCCAAACAACACAACCAACCACCCACACCCATGTGACCATACCATGTGAAGCTCCACAATACCACCAAAAATTCAACCGTTTATAAGTTTTCTCTCCCCAAATCCTGTCACACAAAGACCCCCTTTCCCACGACAAAGGGCGAAATCGAACCCCACGAACCTCCCGAGTATCTGGCGGTCCTGTCGCCGACAACAGGTCCTCGGATTCGAGCCTCACTTCGATCACGCCACTCACAAATCTGGGATCTGTCAGGTCAAACTAACACCGGGTTAGCAGGCAGCAGGTCCTCGATTCGAACCCCCGATCCCTCCTCCTCCTCCTGCCTCCTCCCTCCCTCCTCCGATCTCAACTTATAGAATTCGTAGTATAACCGGACGAAAAAAACCAACCCGCAAGGGCGAGTTTAACTTATCATGAACCAGAGTTGAGCTGCTTCATGACTAAGTTTTTGCTCGTTGGTTTTTTTTTTTTCCTTTTTGTTTTATTTTTTGGCGTGTGCGCGTGTGCGCGTGTGCTGAAAGAAACCAGCACATGGTTCAAGCCTGTAGATCATGATCACTTCCCTCTAATAGCCTTCGTCCTCGTTCTCCTTCCACTCGCCGCAATTTTCACATTCGCCCTTGCACTGATTGCCAGTTTGTGAATCCTTGCCCGCTTCTCCCACGCAGAGCTCCTCCCTTCCGCAACCCCTAGCAGTTCCTTGGCGACTCGTTCCGCCAGCTTGTCTTCTCTTCTCCCCTCCGCGGCGGTCAATATCCATTGGATAGCTGTCCTTCTGCGCTGACGGAGGCGTAGAGGAACAGGAATCGGCATGGAGGCACCACCACCCAGTAGACCTCTTTGCTGGCGAATCTTGACGAGAGGGGCAACGGAGTCGACTATAGCAGTAAGGTAAGCGACAGGAGATAGGGGAAGAGATTGCAGGGGCAAAGGACTGATGAGGTCCTTGTTGGTTGGAGGCGCAGACGAGGTTCGAAGCGCGTCAAGGATGAATTGCATGTTCTGTGTTCAAAACCCTTTAGCACATCTTGAATCGAGGACAAGGACAACAGAGTAACGCTTACCTTCTGCGCACGACTCAATTTGCCGTCCCTCATCAGACTTCTCGTCACCTGCTCCACCACCGGATCATATCTTCTCTTGAAATTCACCGCTTTGCCCAACGGCTTCAGATCTGGTAGCCCAAACTTGTGACCGAAGCCGGCATCCGGATACTCGAGGCCGACGACTCTTGTGTCCTGGAACTGCACCAAATGATCCCTGGGTCCTTCCAAGCTCGACACCGTCTCCATCTCCGCGGCATTCCTCCTGGCAGCGGTCGAAAAAGAGCGGGTGCCCGAAGGTGACTTGTTGTTGTTGTTGCTGCTATTCGATTCGGCCTGCAGCTCTTGTTTCATGACTCGAGGCGCTTTGTCTTGAGCGTCTTTGTCGCGCTTTAGGATCTGCACAACCAAAATGTCAGCCACCGCCATATGTAGAACCCGTAACCGGACTACATTGTAATTCGAAGCAATTTGTCCGGGCGTCTGCCACCTACCTCCTGCACTGGCGTCCCCTGTTCCACATCTGGAGGCGTGTTCCCCATCGCCTTGTCAACTGCGACTGCTTCTTCCGTCACATGAGGCAGCTGGTCCATGGTGAGACCTTTTGCCTGCGGATGAAGTGGCGTTGTTTTGGGAGACTGGTTCTTGGACGTTGCATCATCGCTGGCTGCGCGATGCTGCAGACTGGGAGCAGGAGCAAATCTTTTCTGCGGAACTGTGGGCTTTGTCCTGAATGGCACCGAACGGGCCGTGAAGAGGGATAGTCGAGGCGGCATTTTGCTATTGCGTGAAATGCGGCTGAGACGATGATTCAGAGTTTTGGAGAGGCTGTTCTGAGATCAATGTTCCTGGAGCGGAGGTGGAACCTCAATCCGCAGCCAAGGGCAGTTTCCCCTTCTGATCATATCTAGTTGCCGCTTTACTTGATCACATGATGCTCCTCGTCTTGTCTATAGATCGACACAGCTTGATAAATCAACGGAGCAGAATGCACAACTGTGTTTCTCAAGTTTTTATTGATCATTCTGTGATGATTTCAAGCTATTCCATCTACATATGAAACGCTGAGTCCCTACACTCCCGAAAGCCGAACCTAATAAATTTTGTGGAAAACCTGGGTATCGCGAGCACCACCAAGTCGAGAGGAGCATTGACTTGTGTCCATTCCATCCAACGCCATCTGATCATTCCCTGTTGTTTAGGGGATCTTTGCTGGGGCAAACCCGAAGAGAAACGAATTTGACGACCGTTCTTTTTCGCTCTTTTGCCGTTGCTCTGTTCACACTCAACCCACAACCTTTTGCGACAAGCTGTAGAAAAAGCTTTCGACAAATGAAAATACAATGTAGAAAAGAAATTGAGAACGAAGGTTGAAGCGTCCTCCTCTTCCAATCTCATACTTGGAGATTCCTTGCGTCGAACATTTGTCACGCACCACCACTGCCTCCGAAGAGCTTCCCCAAGTTGAGGCCGGTGCCCGCATCATCCGGCAAGACATAAAATGCCAAAGCAATGATGAAATACATGCCCAGGCAGAGTAACCCTTCGAGGTAGTTGGACTTTCCATCTTGGATCAGGAGGACCACGACCAGTGAAGCCAAGAAGAAGCTTACAGTCTCAAAGGTCTCAAAGTGCAGCGTCATGGGTCGGTCCATGATCCAGCCCAAGACGACCAGGAACGGGGTGACAAAGATGGCAATCTGTAGACTGGAACCAATGGCGACTCCAATAGCCAGGTCCATCTTGTTCTTCCACGCAACTATCACAGCCGTGACATGCTCGGCAGCGTTTCCAACAATAGGGATCAGAATCAGACCGATGAAGGTCTTGCTAATATGCGCTTCTTCCACGATAGCGTCAATGCTGTCGACCAGGTATTCGGCGCAGATTGCGACAAGGAGGGTGATGAGCACCAAAACAATACCCGCCGCCCAAGGTCCCAAAAGCTGGGGTTCCTCGCCCTCTTGTTCTTGCGCTTCGGAATCGTCAAAAAGGTTGGCATGCGATTTGAGCTGGAAGTACAGGTAGGCCACGTAGATGAGCAGCAGAATGATCGACGTGCCGCGCGACAGAATCATGATGTTATCATCTTGTGCCTTGTTGTTGGACATGACAGCGTACAAGGTGGCGGGGATGATCAGCGATGAGGTGGCAACCGTCATGAGCGACGACATGGTCGATGCCACAGTCGAGTTGAAGCTCTGTTCGGGATACCTCAGGCCACCAACGAAAAAGCAGCATCCCAGGACGAGGAGGATGTTGGACAAGATACTGCCCAGCATGCTAGCTTGGACAATGCGGATCTCGTTCTTTTGAAGAGCAATGATGCTCACCTGTTTCCAGCATTAGCACTATGCCTTGAACTGTCATGTTACCGTGTATGCTTACGATCAGTTCGACGGCATTTCCGAAAGTCGCATTGAGAAGTCCTCCAATTGTCTGTCCCAAAGGAATAGCCAGCTCTTCCGTGGCGAAGGCGAGGAGGGATGCCAGAGGGATGATGGCAATGAAATTGAAAATGAACTGAAGCGAGGGCGCCCAGTTCAACACACCCGCCAGGATGCCCACGGGCACAAACACCAACAAGACATTGACGTAGTTGGTCTTGAGAATCTCCCAGGTCAAGTGTAGCACCAGGAAAGGGTATTTGATCCAGACGTTCTCATGTTTGTGAAATGGTGTCCCTGAATCGGTGGTAGTAATTCGTGAAAGGAGGCCGGTTCTTTCGTTGGGGTCAGCGCGGCCGTTGATGCCGCCGTCTTCAGGCATGTTAAGGATGTCGTCGCGGGAAGGATGCGCGGTTTGGGCGAATTTCTTGCGGAGAGTGCTCGCAGCTATAGATGTCTTGCGCAAGGCCGCCATAGCAGGCGACAATTCCAAGTCAGCCAATACTTTACTGGGTTTTCTGGTGCGGAAGGGTGACTGCGATCAAAGCAACGGGAGGAAATACCAGACATGGGAAGGTATGTGCTGCGGTGGGAAGGGAGCTGGTGTAATATAGCACATGCACGTACCCATTCGATATCCTGGGGGCAGGAATTGTCTACCACCAAGACAGCGCTGAGCAGAAAAAGAAAAAGGCCCTGTCAAAGCAGTGGCTTGTAGCTGGGGCAAACAGAGGAGAAAGGAGCTCCTGAGCCAGATGACGGCCCTCGTGGGAAACGATGCAGGAAGCTTTGATGCCTCTTGTCTCCTTCTGATGTATCCGCCAAGTCTGCTTGGCGAAGGTTAAGGCGCAGCGGACGAGAGATTTTGCTGTTCGGTAGGGATGGGCGGGTACAAGTGAACTGTGGCGGGGAGGGGGAAGAAGCAGATGGTCAAGCTACAACTCCGAGATGGAAATTCGGTGCGTGGTGAGAGAAGGAACTGCGATACGTTTGTGACGCGAAGGACAAGAAGGTCTGCTCCCCACCCGCAATTGACCGTCAACCCATCACATCACTCAGCATCATTGCACTAACTTACACAGCCACACTTGGCCTATCCCTCGACCTTTGCCCACTCCGCGATCGACCTCTCATCTCATCCATGCCAATCCTCCCAAGCAAGGGTCCTAAGCTTTTCGAAACCTACCTTCCGCAACCAGCAATAAAAAAAACATGGCTCGAGTGCCAAGCAAGGTGTGACACATGGAAGAAATGAAAGCAGAAAAGGAGGGGAATATACAAGGACAATACTTCACAGAGGAGGCGCTTCTATGGTTCCATCGACCCGTACGAGGGACACTTCCTCCAGTCACACGACTACGCGACGACAAATTCTGGGGAAGAGGACAAAAGATCGGGAAGGCGAGAGCCAACCGACTAGGGCGACCGCGGCTATAGAAACAACGGCGTCGAATCTATCGCAGTCGGCTTCGCGGCCGCCACTCATTAGCAACTAGAACACAAATGCATCCATAATTCTGTGGTAATCATATAATACTCAGGCGGCACCTACGGAGAACTGTACTCGGTACTGAGTCAATTGTCCCGTACGAGATACATATTCGCTCACACTACCCTCGCCATAAGCCCCAGCCCCAGAACAATCAATGTATACTCGTCACCTAAATTAAACAAACCCGCATTATTTCCGTGTATCGTCATCATAGACATTTCTTAGCCTCATCCTGGAAACTCAGTGTCTGATCAGGGTCTATCGGTCTTCGGAACTAGTCAATGCGCTCTGCGCGCCACACTTTCTCAATTGAAATAAGACGTTGGCTGATGCTCGAGGCTACCTGACTCCCAATAGTTCATCCTCGCTCGCCATTGCCTCTTTCAGAATTGTAGACGGCCTGTGAGGGCAATGCCGAGATCACATCGGGAGTATCGAGTAAACGATATTCTCAAGAGACTGACTAGCAGCCTTGTAAATTACATTCACAAAGGGGCATGCTGCTTAATGGCCCCAGCCACGGAAATAGACCTTCTCGTCATACTATACAGATCCCATCAACTCGCACCCCAAACTCCGGGTTTGCATCTTCCATATCGGCCACCTTGAAGACGCCAACTTTAGAAGCTGGACGGTATTTCGGTGTCGGCGCTTTTGGCTTGGGGATATGGCCCGACTGAGCCACGATCCTCGCTCTCCTAAGCAAGTCATCCTTCATTTCATTCCATCGCTCCAGTTCCTCTCTCCGCTGCAGCACTTGGTACAATGTGGTATCTGTCTGTGCTCGCCAGTACGACGTCTTCCCAGTGGAATCTTGAGTGGTAGTAGTAGATCGCTTGAGTCTGACAGGCCTCGCTGTCTTTGCCATGTCCATCAAGCTCGCAAACACCTCCTTCGAACCGGCACGCAGTTGTTGAGTCCTGGCGTCCTTGATTGAAGGTCCCTTGAGATGGTTGGAATCAAGCCAGTCATGCTCGACAGCTTTTTGTGCCAAGTCGCCAACAGGTACCATGAGTCGTCGATTCTCGGACTTCAGGAAGCGTATTGCTGCTTGCAGACTGATGATCTCCAGCTTGAGTTGATCAACCTCCGCTTTTAGACGCAGCGTCGCCGACTCGTCTGCAAGCCCAAGTGGTAGGCCTTGTCCCTCTGCCATTCCCTTATGTTTGATTGCCTCGAGCTCCATCTTTTGACTCTCCTGGGACTCGAGGAGCGTCTGGTATTCCGTCTCAAGCCGCTGGACATTTTCAACAGCCGCCGCATTCTCGGCGCGAAGCCTAGTGATCTCTTCTTTCATTTCTTTCACCCCTTCATCCTTAGCCTTAGTCTCCTTAGCTCTCGATTCTAGTAGTTCGACCTTGACTTGCTGCTCTTCAAGTTCTTTGTCTTTTTCACTGATCCTGATGGTCTGTTCTTGGATCTTCAATTTCAAGCGACTCATCTCCTCCTGCAGGTCTTGTGACAAAGCCTTTTGCGCCTTGACTTCACGAGCGCGAGCCGTCCAGGGCGCAGGCAGTTTCTCGAATTCAATAGCGCAAGATATGTCTGCAGACTTCGCATTCAAGTCATCGATCTTCCCTTGCAGGACCTGTAATTGCTTCAACAAAATCTCGAAGACGTCATCAGGGCTAGCTCCTTGTGGCTCATTCTGTTGTTGCTCTCCAGATGCGACCGCGGTCATAAGCGTGATAATTTTCGAGTATGAGAGTGCTTCATCCATCTCCATCTTGTTGAGTTCCTCGAACACTGATTCCCCAATTCCTTGGGTCAAGTGAGACAGTGCTTCAGCGCACAACTCAGCTTCAACGAATTTACTCCACATGGCCTCGCCCAGGCACATTGAGCGTGCCCAGAGATCGCTGATTGCATGCATAACCTTGCCAGAAACATATTTGATCGTTCGAGCTTTGATTCCAAGCTGGTCCATTTTCTTTTCGAATAGTATCGACTCCTCGTCGCCATCGTTCGGCGCCCCTAGCTTGGCTTGCACTGCTTTGCTCAAAATCTGTGCTCGACTGGCAATGTTATCTGTGTAGTTCTCAATCATCGAGATCGATGAGTTCATCTCCATTGCTTTAGTTTCGTGCGTGTCGGGGACAAACTTCTCAGACATGTCGACCAGAATGTCAGCCATGCGTTGGAGGTATTCGGCACCTTCATGACCGAGTTCATCGCGGCGCAACGCCTCCACCCAGCTAGTCATTGCCTGCTCCACAGGCTCTAGCTCAAAGGGGGCACCAGCGTATCTCATGAAGTCATCTATTGAACATGTCGACAGGTGTTGCACGAACCGCTCACAGAGATTTGAAATGAGGCTCAACCTCTCCATGACGGCAAACACTGCCATGGGATTCTCATGCAACTCTGCCCTATCACGCATTCGATCCGCCAGGATGACTTTGCACAACTGTGCCTTTGACCGGATTCTTTTGAAACATAAAAGAGCCAAGATCGGTTTCTTGTCGACGTCAAAGGTGTCTGGGACGAAGTGCTGTACGATTTCCAGATGTAAACTAGCTTGCTCAGCGCGCATCTTACCAAGCTCGAGGTCAATGGCCTTCAATTGACTTTTTGCGGCCGAGTTCTGTAACTTGAGGTTGAGATCCATCATCGCTCTGGACTTGCTGCTCATCTCATTCGCCTCGAGTTCGCTAATCTCGCGTGAACGCCGGAGTTCGTCGATATCACTCTGAAGACCCTGCACGACGTCCCGGAATTTGGTTAGTGTATATTCCATGTCTTCGATTGTCTTTTCCTGCTCGGCAGCTTGTCGATGTCTGTCGTGCAGCATGGCTTCGCTTTCATCCAACTGGTAATGCAAACGCTTCTCTTCTTCCACGTGGAATGCCTCGAGCTCGTCTGCGACTTGGATGTGTTCCTCGAGATCCTGAACCTGTCTCTTCAACTGTTCGATTAAGTTTCGATTCTGGTCACGCTCTTGGCCTAGGGTATCCAAGATTTCGTCGTTCGCCTCCGCAGCCTCCAGCTGTTCTCGGAGGTGCTGGTTTGTTTCTTCCGCCCGGCTGAGCTTCGCTGCAACCTCGTCATACTTCGAAGCTGTCTGGCCGAGCTCATCTATGGTTTCATGGAGCTCCTTGATTTCGTTCCTCAAGTCGCCCTCATTTTGCTGTGTCACGTCCCTGAGCATGACCAGTGCCTGGCGTAACCTCTCCGTCTCTCGTTCCATCTGAAGCCAGCCTGCACTTGCCTTCTCTTCAGGGCTCATGATTGAAGCCAGCTCCCGGTTCTCCTCTCTCAGAATTTCGGCTTCCAGCTCCAACTCCTCGTGCTTGAGCTTCAATGCCTCCAGTTCACTCTCAAACATGTCAGCACGCTCTTCGGCCATCTCCTTGTCAAGTGTCGCAAGCTCTAGTTCTGAGTCGTGTTCGGCACCACGGTCGGGCACTTGAGTAGCACGAGCCTCTGCGTCCTCATATTTGGCTTTGAGTTCTTGAATTTCTTGCTGGTTGCTTTTGAGTCTTTTCTGCAAAGTCTGGATGATTCCTTCGTAGCGTGTCGCTTGGCTTTGGAGTTCCTGTACACTTTGTATCTGAGCTTGGTCCTCCTGCCTCTGCTTCTGCAAGGTCCGAACTTTCGTTTCCAGTGCTTTAATGACTTGTGCCTGTCGCGATCTGTCTTCAGTAGTAGAACTGAACCCATTCCGTGAACCAGCCGGTGGTTGCGATCGGGAGGTGGTAGTTGCCGAGATTCGTGCTTCGATGCTTGATGGCTCTTGATCTTCAGCGTCTTCAGCATCCGGTGAAGGAGTCGGCGCCGGTTGTTCTTCCACAACCGGGGGTGCTTGTTTCGCGCCAATGCTCTCGGCAACAGGCTCGGTTTTCTCGGGTCGAGGAGGAGCTTTGGGATTTATGGACAATCGAGAAGCGGCCATGGAAGAGCGTGGTTGCATCGAAGAAGGCCTGGTCGCTGGGGTTTTGACAGGACCTCCTATTGATTGCCTACTTGCTGAGGCGGTCGGCCTATGTACTGAAGCCGGCGGGGCCATTGTAGATTTCCCAGCCAAACTCAGCCTCGATTTCGTACTGGAATCGGACGTTCGCGCTGTAGTCGCCGGAGTGCCCGTTCTTGGGGTAGAGGCGGACGAAGTAGCAGAGGACGGGGCAGGCTTCGTAGGAGATTTGATCGGAGACTGGTAACAAGGAGTTAGTGGGAATTACAGGCATATGGTGTTTTGGCTTACAGATACCCTCATCGACCTTGAGCCTGTTGTCGTTGCGGAACCGGCACTCATCAAACTCTGCCTCTTTCTTGCCACGTCCGCAGCAGCTATGCTCGAGGGTCTCGGCTTCGCTGCGGGTCCATTGGAAGTCGATATTCCATTGGCCTTTGCACTGGCAACTGGCTGGCTAAGGATCCTGACAGCCGACTCCTTACGGACGAAGATGCCATGTCCCGGAGCGCAGTTGAAATATCGCTCCCCTTTCACGGAACCATCGTTCTTGCCAGTGTCATCGGCTAGTTCGAGGCCTAGCCATTCCCCCGAGGCAACATGTATCTGCCCGATGTAGCGGACGGTGCCTTGCTTGCCGTCCTGAGTCTCGACCTTTTGTCCAACCTTGACATTGAGATCTGCCATGTTTGGCACCTATTTGTTCGCCGCGGAGTTTCATGACAGGAAGCCAATGTCGACGAGAGACATGAGACGGAGGATGTCCAACAAGTTGAGGCAGAGGAGAGCGAATGAAGGATGCAACAACAACACCAATTTTTGCTTGTAGGACAAACAAGGAAGGAAGTGTGAGCAAAAGTGGTTTGACGCGACTTGGAAGCCCGCAAGGGTCGCGCCGCAGGGAAAACGAGAAACGTTGGGGAGCCGCTTTAACTGATGCACGTGATTGTCTAGAAATAACTTCTCCTCATCCGTATTAATGTAAGGGGTGAGGGGGTCACCAGACCGCCAGGGTCGCCTTCACCACCCAGTCAGCCAGTCTTGCTTCAACACATGTACACATACACCATCCATTGGTCACGGGCTACTCGGTCATGTGGATTTGAATTGTACTCTAGATAGCTTTCTGGGGTATATATTTCTTTTCAAACTTCACCACCCAAGCAGCAGTAGCAAATTCTCTGCAGGACTTCATTCAGGATCATTTGCAACCACCGCCAACGTATATGATTCGCGCAGGGTATCTTGGAAAACAAGAGACCTAACGAGCGTTTATCAGACACAGAAGAAAAAAGAAATCGTCTTTTAGCAAGGCCCAACTTCTCGAAAACAGCAAACATGCAACTCATTGCTTGGGTTCCATAACAAGCGGTAATCCAGAACTGGCTGCGCCCTCCTCCTTCTCTTCTTGACTTTTTTTCGTAGCATGAAAGGGTATCTCGCTAGACATAATGGCAGATAATCATAACTGCATATCGATGTCGGGGTATCATTGGTCATTCACTTTTCTGATCAACTCAGACTTCTCCAAAGCCTAGCGTAAAGGAAGATTCAAATTGCTAGCAGGCCCGTTCGCACTGCTCAGGATCTGATTGTGGTGATGCGGCCCAATTGGTGCCGGGTAGGATGAAAAAGAATGCGATGTTGGTGGCCTGCCCGAGTCGAAGCTCGCGCGAGGCTCGTGCTTGGGAGTTCGGTCTCCGGAGATGCTGCCACCCGTGCCAAAGGGGAACTTGTCTTCTCGAAAACGTGATGGCCAGCCACCACTGAGTGTAGAATTGGAAACCTCTTCCTCGGGCAGATTGACGCCACTGTCGTTCCAAAAATTTCTGTATCCGCTCTCCCGACTCTCCATGGAAATCAGAGATGCCTTACTCGCGTTGGAGGATGCATGCTTGAAGAATGTTCCGGGAGAGTTGTTCTGGTTTTTGCGGCTCATGAATGACGAGAACGACGAGATGCTACCAGGCTTCCGGAGACGGTCAAACAGAGAGGCCCGCTCGGAGGACCCTGATGTGTTCTCTCCATCCGCAAAGCTCGATCGGGTCGGCGAATCAGTGGAGTGAAGGGAAGGCGCATTCTGCAAGAGCTTTGACTCGAAGAAGGGAAGCGAGTCCTCGAACGAGTCGGACTTCGGACGAGGAATTGCCCCCTTGACAGTAGTGGCGTCGAGCCCGTGTGGCACCAGCTGTGATATGAGGTAGTCAATAGCGTCTTTGAGACCGCCGGCATTGTTCCGCGTGTATGTGAGAACCAGTCGTCCTTCGGAGGGACCAACAATTCGCTCAACCGACGCCGTAGCTGACTTTGGCAGACTGCTGAATTCCGGGTTCGCGTGCACGTCTACTTCGTACTGATCCCTAAACTTCTGACGGAGATCGTTGAAAAACTCCGGGCTGCTGAAGAAAGCATCCAGGTCGTCCGACTTCTGAAAAGCAATCTCGTGGCTTTCTGGAACCATCCCCAGGAAGGCGTCAACCGCTTGTGGCACTTGATATTCTGGACCGGAAATGGTGACCACGTCACTGGCTTGTTCAGTGTTAGGGAAGTCAATCTTGCAGTTCCATTTCTTCTCCAACTCCTCGATCTCGGGTAGCCTGGCGATCAGTTCGCGATGGTAGAGTCTATTGATAACCACGGTCTCGGAGACGAACTCGGCGTCCTAGATTTTAATCATCTGATAAGGACATGGACGTATCACTCAGGGAATCATCTTCGCTTACTGCTTTCTCAACCATGTCCATGATCTCCTGCTTAACCAGATCCAAGCTCTGTGCATTGCGTGCTGGTGTACGGCATATAACATTGTCGACTTTAATGTCATCGTCATCCTTACCCACTCCTCCGCGGTCCATTGCATTGGAGAATTTCACGAAAACAGAGTATTTCTTCATAATACGTTGGATGTGTTGACCACCAATGCCAATGATGCGCTTGTGGTACTGGTCAGGAACATGGAATGAAATGGATGCCGGCATCTCTTGCTCCACAAGATCCAAGCCATTCTTGGTAGCCTCGTACTGAGTGCCAACCACGTCGATGTAAAAATTGTACTCGTTGAAACCATCAAAGATGATTTGAACATTGCCTGCCATGACGGTTAGCTTGGGTTGGGGTCGGCTGCGGGAAATGGTACACACTCTGGCCCATGATCTTGTTTATCTTGCCGTTTTTCTTGCCACTTACGAATTCTTTGTGCTCGTTTGCCAGCTCGATCTTGACACGCATTTGATATGGCGTTCTCTTGACGAATGGAATCTGGTTGATGACCATCATTGCCGCTTTGACCGCATCATCAGAGCCGTTGATGGTGAACGTGAATTTTTCGAAGCTGATCTCCGCGCCAGAGTTTGTGCAAATGTCGCTCAACATGATCCGGATATCTTCGGGGGATGGAGAGCGGAGAGCAGGGCCCTGTGAGGGATCAGGCATCATGATCCACCATGAGGCACTGAAGAACTGGCCAGCCTGTTCATCGATCGTCAGCTGCTTGTAATAGATAGGTCTGGACGCTCGGGTGATATACAAGTGCCATAATCTCCTTCACCGTCCTCTCGACATGAAGGACTTCGGTTCCCTGAACTCGGACGAGTCCACGCTGGCTGCCAAGCTGTGGAAAAAGGACATGCGAACCGTTGGTTTCCATGATTTTCCGAACTTTGTCGAGGCGATCGAGTAGGATGTTGTCGATTTTGCTTGCAGACACCACAGCGTCTTTGGAGTAGAGTTTGATACCCATAACCAGCTCTTTCAGCTTCTGCTTTGCCTGGTTGATCCGTTCCTGTGTTTCTCCTGTAATGAAGACCTCGTCCGCAGCTCGACGCGTGGCATGAGGGGGTACGTATCCAAAGACGCCAGGAAATGGCGGGGGGAAATAAATCGCAGTTTTTGTAGCCGATTCAATCATCTTGATGTTTTTGCCGGTACGGCCTGAAACCAAAGTGTGCATCGATACCTCGAGTTTGATCACGTCGATCTTGTGCTTGAGCTGTGCATATGTCAGTCAACGTCCAGATGAGACCATTCTGGAGGATTTACTATCTGGTCAATCATCATCAATGCCCGGGTCTTTGCGTGTTCCACACTTTCCATATCTCCAAAAATGTTGACTCGATAACGCTGATCCAGGCCACTATCAACACCGTTGCCGTAAGAGGCATTGGCAGCAGACGATTCGGCGTTACGAGGTTTGAGGAGGAAGATATCTGTTCCGGTATATTTGGCACAAAGGTCAATGTGACTAAGAACACTGGAGCGGATTCCAGTTTCTGCCCCGTCTAAGATCAAGGCCGGGTCGATGTCGACGATAGCAGAGCGCTTGTACATGTCAGCAGCAACCCTTACCAGCAGTCGGCTGAAGGGAACTCGAATGCTTCATACCATCATAATCGGGGTCTCGTTCAGAATCTTAGACCTCATTTTGTAGACCAGGTCTCCGTCTCCTGATATGCAGACATTTGTCACTAGACCTTGGGATTTTCGATGTAGCGCTGGACCAGCTTTTGGCTCCGACGACGTTACAGTCGCTTGTATATGCCCTCCGCTCTGGTCACTGATGTATGCACACAAAGACCGCAGTCTCTCCTCGTTTTGAACGTGAACAGGCAGTTTGTGCGTAGGTGTGCCTTCTGGAGTACCCGCTGGAAAAGTCCATCGTTGGACAGCACCAGGGCTCGAGTGGAGGATCTCGTCGGGGTTGGGGCCAGCAAGGCTCGAGGCAAAGGGCACGTTGAAGGAGAGGTTGACCGAGGTGGCTTCGGATGCCGATGGGGAGACAATTCCTGGCGAGCCTTGTGGACGTCTCAGTGGTTGCGGCGTCGACATGTCCTGGTGGAATCTAGACATGCCAAATGCTGCAGGAGTCATCCGTTCCCAGCCATGCCGGGCCTGGCCTGTGAAGTTGCTGATCTTGTGCATCTTCGGGCTTGGGATGACTCCCCAGGTCATCGACGTTCAGAAGGGAGTGGGAAGGGAAAGAGGATCTATGGTTGTTGCATCGAGAAAGATCTGGAACGCAGAGTCAGGTTTTCGTAAGGGGGAGAGGTGGGAAGCTCAAAGAGATGCCGTCACAGAAGAGAAAGTTTGGTGTCGGCGTCTCGCAGGAGTCGAAGGTGAGGTTGGAATGATGGAGAGAGTACGAGTAGCTGCGGGTTGCAAGTCGTAACTTGAGTTGGACTGGACTCTGGACTGTGCGTCGCAGACGGGTTTAGTTGGACCACTGGCACTGGCGGGAGTCTAGCCGTCCGCCGCACAACTCAGTGCTCACACAACACACACTCGCAATCGAAGGGTCAGGGTGGAACAGTTTGCCCCCTTCTGAAAGGACAGGAACATAGGGCCCGGCCCATGAGATGCCCCCGTAAGCTCACATAACTATGCCACAAGCAAGCAGATGGGATGAGCTTGACCCGGGGCAGCTGCGCTTGCCAATGGCTGTAGGCCTCTAGGCTGTGCATAAGGAAGATGACGAATGGGGACGCGGTGCTGCGGCAGACGCATGGACGCATGATGCTCTGCTCCGCCCCCACATCCATGTCCTACTGACGAAAAAAATCAAGGCCCGATACATTACCAGATATTACCATGGGCAGCCACAATCATCTGGCTAATACTGACAAGTACAGGAGTGAAAAACTTGCCTCGTCTGCACATGACCTGTTTGCCTGTTTAGGGGGCCTTGGTTAATGATCACTCTCCACCAGTACAAGTATACCAGAAGACGATGAGGATTGTTAGTGTACGTGTATTCGTAATTCAACGACCAATATGAGCCTCTATGTATCATTGTATCAAGGGGGTATCTCCATGTCCAAGTTCCCAGTTGCCACGCCCAGAAACTCCGTCGTCATTTTGCTGATAGGCGCTGGTGGCGCCCTTTATCGGCGCTACTCCCGATGCCCCGCAGCAGTTCCCTGGAATTCCTTGAGCTTGCGCGACAATAGGCCGTGGCCAGCCTCAACTGGAGTGGAAGTGAAGCCTTGTGCTATTGAAGAACCATTGGAAGCCGGCCATGGCACAGGCGAACTTCGCGAAGATGTTGAAGGTAGAAAGCCAGGAGTGGGAGAAACAGTGCGCTCCAGATCGGACCCCTCATCTTCCATTCGAGAAGCTTGCCCCACGCCCGTCGAGTCACGGTCGAATGTCGAGGTTGTCGGAAGATTGAATGAGGCACGGGTTGAGCTTCCCGATGGCATGAAATGGGTGTCCGTACTGCTTGAACGGACGACATCGCCCAGCTTGCCAAAATCAGAAGAAGCTCGCGCCTGTGATTGAGCAGGCAGTTTCTCATCTGCCACGCTCGAGCTTCGCGAATACTGCCCCACCGCCGGTTTATAGGCAGTGAATCTTGGCTCCGGCAGCTGAACTTCGTTCCGTAGCTTCTCCTTATCGTCTGGCACACGGTTGGCAAACACCACGCGGATATTATCGTAGAGATAAAAACGTCCCTTTGCCGTACAGCAAAATTTGAGGTGAATGAGATAGCGCAGGATGTCCTTGGCGCTCAGAGGATCTCGAGCAGCCAGGACAGCTTGTTTGTCCGATATCCCTGCTTCAAGGATGGGGCCCGACGAGTAACTCCGCTGTCGTACAAATGTCTTTGTGCCAGGCAGCATCCCTTCCAGATCGTACGGAACCAAGAATAGTTTGACTGCCGTCTTGTTGGGGTTCTTTATAATGAGCTGCAGTTGTCCTTTCTGGGGCACCCTGTACGCTCCACCGGCAGGAACTTTGGATGGCGTTAGTGTGGTTTCCTTCTTTTCTCGGGCTTCCTTAGCCAAAGCCCTGCCAATGGCTGTATTCTCTGGCTTTGTAATTTCATCCGCTAAGGCGTCGGGGTCAAGGTTGACCTGGGACCGCCGCGTGCGACGGCGTGGCTCCTCTGGTATTTTCAAATTATGCTCCAGGTCGATATTGCCAACATAAGGACTGGGATTGTCGTCCGAGATTGACCTGGATGCACTCGCAGAAGGATAGTTATAGAAGACCGCTGGGAATGGCACGGTTACGTGGGCCGGGCACTTCAGGCTGGCTGGACAATTACCCTTTCCCATAACTCCGATTTGTGCCACAAAGTCAAGAGGCTTCGACGGAGGAGTAGACATCCTGCCTCGGAGAATTGATTCCTCGAAAGAGCCGACCATCGATGCTCGATGCCGCGCGGATCCGTCAGCGGCCAGCGAAGTTCGGCGTTGTTTCAACCAAGGAGGTACCTGTGGAGCCATGGATGCTTGGTATGTGAAAGAGCTCAGAGAACGACGTGGTCGGTGCCCGTAGGGAGTTGAAGGGCCATCACGGTGCTGCAAGTGCATATAAGGTAGCGGACGACTGAAGTTGGGCGTGACAGCGTCCACTGGAGAGACGTGCAGGGATTCAAAGGCGTTGGGAGGCACTGTTCTCCTTCTCGCCGACCGTCCGATTTCGGTCTTCTGAGGATCCTTTGGCGAGAAATCCAGTGTAGGGTTATTTGTCGCGTGAACTAGGGGGCTCGTCGGGATTCTCATGACGAAACTTGAAGATAAGCTGCTTCCCAAAGAAGGGGCACGCGACCTTCTGAGTATATCCGAAGGAGAACTCTCCTGCCACTTAAAGCTCAGGGTCGGCGAAGTATCTGCCTGCCAGAGTGGAGGAGAATCATTATAGTTGAGCCCAAGATCCTGCCTCCTAGGCGTAGAGAGAGATGCATGCTCCTGGGAAGTCTGTGTTGTCCTGTCCCAAAAGTCACCGAGAAAATCGCCCGTATGCAAGGGAGACATTGAGCGGCGTAAAGCATCGGCCGCAGAGAGTGGAACTGGTCTTGTTCCTGCGTCCTCGATTCCCACCCGAGATCTTGTGCTTTGGTCAGGTTGCACATCATACATTTGCGACAGCGAGGGAGATGTCGCAGCAGCGTCTTGGTCGGCATTGACTCTGGCACACGTAGCCTCCAACCCCGACTTCGGGACCCATGTTGTCCGCTGCCCCCTCTTTATACATTGGATCAATTCCTCTCTATCGCTTGTCCGGATTGGTAACTCATTCTTCTCTCCATGCTCCTCTCGTTTCGAGGTATTATATCTCTCCGGACTTGGAGCATGCTCAAATGGAAATTGTTCCTCCTCGTTGTCATCATAATGCGGTGTGCTGTACCGAGCCATTTTTGAACACAGTTTCCGTCTTTTGGCTGGAGATTCTGAAAATGGTTCACGGTCCCAGACAAAGGGCATGCTCGCCTCCCGCCGACCACAGACGCTTTACCACACGCACTAGAAATGGAAGGCTGCCAAGATGAGCCCCGACTGAAAAGATTTGACAGGTGGAAAACATCACGACTGGGCCACAAAGACCAGGAGAGACGACGATTTCCCCAGTTACTGTTGCATGGTCGATCGGTTGAGAACTTTGGTGGTCGTCGACGGTGTGTGGGAACGCTTGGAGTTGGAGACTCCTTGGACTGCACTCTCGAGGCAGACGGGTAACGGGAACAGGTCAAGGTCAGATAGGAACCAGGAACAGCAACAAAATAGAGCTACGAGTAGTTGCAAGGACGAGGTGACAAGAGAGTAGTTCCAGGTTGAGAGGTGAGAGCCCGAACTGCAGATGGTGGAGTGATTGAGTCATCCGGAGCTGTCCCTGACAGACGGACTTGTAGCCATGTGAGCCAACAATGGGCGCCAAGGGGAAAGGGCCCGCCTCGGTGCCAGTTGATCATCACCCCCCACTGCGTAATAATTCACCGACCACACGAGGTAGAAGCAACTCCGCGCTTGGATGGTATCCATGATCTGTTGGGCCTCAGGCACCAAGTCCACCCACAGAGCGGACAAGCTGAATTCAAGCTACGACACACACAGCTACGGGAGGAATATTCTGCTCTGTGGCACAACAAACTGTACGAAGAATGTGTTGTCTCGAGAGGTGCCCAAAGTAGAGGTATGCCTTGGGTCATTGGTCATAATTAGGCAGGCCTCGGAGAGTGTGTCCACCTGGCACAGGTTCCCGGAGCCCCGAATGGATAGCCCTAAGTGTGAGAGATAGGCGGTAAGAACAGACCCACTACCAACTACCAACATGGTTCGGTTCCTACCTACCTAGGTACTGTCTGGGTAGGTCCCAAGGCTCCGAGGGAGGGTTTGTCCTACAAGACTGAGGACTCGGTACTCGATGGAGGACAAGGTTATGTGGCCTTCGATGGTCCTTTGTCTTGTATCGAGCGAGGTTCTGTTGGCCCGATGGGACCAGACCGTGGTACCAGAGACAAGGCAATGTCAGTGGACATGTCGAGGATTATGAGTGACTCGTTTGCTGGTCCAACCTAGTACCTACCTAGTTATTTAGTATGAGGCACGCCAACTCCGCAAAATTCACATGGATGATTCCATCCCACCGATTATTTTTCCGCAGCGTCCCACACCTCATAACCTCAACCAAATCGCATTCTTCCACTGCGTTTTATCCTTACCCGAACACGCTTTTCTAGGATTGACCAAACACGATGAGTGTCAAACGACCTAGCGATGATACGGCTGCCGGTGCGAAGGAACCCGACAAGAAGAAACGCAAAGGATTCTCTGTCGGACCAGCCAATCTTCCTGATGGCACATACAGGCGTAAAAGTAATGCTTCCGCCGAATATACTGTGCTTCCGTGCTGATATCTGCCAGCACAAAAAATCAAGAACGACCTCATCCAGAAGGCAAAGGTGAAAAAGGCCTACGCGAAAGTCAAGGCTCGAGAGGAGGCCGCACGAATAGCACAAACCGCTACGCAATCCGAGATTGAGCGCAACCCGACTGATAGCCCTCTTAACAATACTTCCAGAAGCCTTGACTTACACCCAGATCGACAAGCAATGCTCAAGAGACCAGCGGCAGGCGACGGACAAACGCAAGTAGTTGAAGACATCGCTCAAAACGAGAATACAAACTTTTACAACCCTTCGAGAAAGCGGGCCCCGAAACAATCACGGTATAAGAAAGAAATAGAGCTTGCAGCTCAAAACAAAGCAAAAATTGAGGCTAAAAGGAAAGCTAGAGAGGCTCGGGAGAAAGAGCACAAAGCCATGGCAAAGGCGAAAAGACCTGGCAAGGATGGAAAAATCAAGCTCGGGCGTCAGGGAACCGCATTGTTGAATCGGGTTCGGAGGTTGACCGAGGAGGGCAAGATATGAAGCGGAAGCTCCAGCTACCGTCAAAAGAAAGCGCCCGTGCTATGGAAGCGAACCCCCCAAAGGCTCGGTTCAGGTCCGTCGACCTGCTGTCATAAAGACGATTGTGAATAAAGCAGACCCTGAGAACGGGCTTTCAATGGAGCCGCACCACAAGAGTCAGCCTGCAATGCAGCCGTTGTTACAGGAGGAGCTAATATGACAAAGACCGTTGAACGAACAAAAAAGATCAATGCTTCAAAGGACAGAGTTTATATCACGCCTTGGACCATCAACCGTTTCTCGATTCCACAACGTACACTTCTCTCACAAATGATCGGTCCATGAACAGAGAGCTATAGACGATCACAAGAATAATCATTTTCTAATCTCTCGCGGTACACATTCTTTACAAACTTTCGATCTGCAGAATGCACCAAAGCTTCGATTCGGCATTGAAATGTCATAACTGCAGTCATGACACCAGTTTTGCTTGCAGTAATAGAGACACGACTCCAGACAATCTTGACCATGCGAAGAACTATTATACTATGCTGGTAAAGAACCATGCGTACAATCATTTCTATTACAGCAACATGGAACCTGGAGAAAGCTTGAAACAACAGGCTGAACAGTCTTTTTTTGATCCCTCGGATGACTGGGAAGCATTCATCGACGTTTGCACCCCCGAAATGGCTGCTCGTACACAATTTGCCATACTTATCGGTTGTCTTAGCGCCCACCGTGATCGCCTTCCAGGATTTTTCAGTCCACGCTTGGAATCAACTCTCGTCTGTTGGGCCTTGGATCATATGGGAAGTCCGATGTCCGACTTCCTCAGGTGGTCATTGGGCCGAGAAGAGGGAGCGCCAGAATACTGGACGATCGATATTCTAGACGAGCATCTGACCCTCTGGAGCAATGTCTTTGAGAGTACACCGGCAAAGCACTACGAGGAACATGTCATACGCTTGACTTCGTCGCTGCACCCCTATCAGAACGCCACGAATGGGCCCAGTATTGCCCATGCCCTTTCCTCTGATCCGAAACACCGAAGGTGGGCATATCAGTTGTGGAAAGTATTTTGGCTGAAACATTTTGAACGTGTCGCCAAGTCACATCAACTTAATGATGCGGAAATGTCAGACACGCTATACCAACGGTAAGTGATTCTGCAGAGTTGTCATGATGTGGAGTGGTTTGATCGCTTCCGATATTGCTTTTGAGGATGTGGAGTGTTATTTTCGTTACCTTTAGAACGGGTGGCTGGTTTAGATCTTCTAGGTAAGTCCTTTACAATTGCTATTTAGACGAGCGTAAGTGCAGTCCTATTTTGCATCGATTCCTTTTGTCCCAATCAATTCATCGTTGGCTGTACTGATATTCATTGCATGACCACTGGTGCCACTTCTCCAAACACCTAGGCTCTCTGGCCGCCTTGTTTCTTTTACAGAATTGCCCGCAATATATCTTCGGGGAAAGGCTTACGGTCACTAGTAGCGACTTAGTCGACTGAAAGCACATCAATGTCTGACTGAATGGAGTATTTATGTCGACGATTCCCCGACATTAATGCTTGTCCTGCTGTTCACTGCATTCAGATGTCAATGTAACGGTTAAAGATAACGAGCACGAAAAACGCAACTTGATCCAAGGCCGTTATTCAGCCGACTTGATCCCCACTACTCAGTTCTTGCAAGTCCTTGTACATGCTGTTCGAAGTACACGGCCGGTGTGATCCCTTTCGTAGCCTAAACCACAGTGCCGCCAGAGTATATCTCGATATCTTATTAATGCGGCGGCATTTGGAGAAGGTAGATATCTATACGTCCGTATTGAAGCCAGAATAGACCCTAATGCGTCTGTCTATACTCTCATACCACGTATCTGCATCGCGTATACAGAGTCGTTCCCAACTTATGCAGACAAGGCTGCGAGTATGGGGCTTTCGGCGCAACGTTTATCCATCTCCGTAAAGGGACCCCTTGGCGTTTTCTGGCGCGTCTCTTCAAGGCCTTCCCAAATTCAGCCAGAACCTCATTATTGAGAAGCGAACTAAAGCTATTCCGTCTGGAGGGGCAAGGGCAAACACGTATTTTGTGACTCAATGACACGCGCCTGAGTTGAATCCGTTCTTGCGCATCAAGCTCAGACCACAATGGCAACTACGTTGACCTCTAGAGATGAACCCAAAGCCGCAGAGTACGCTGGAGGTATGATACAAAGTCCACAAACATTGCCCAATATGCCATCACCATTTTATGCCTGCCTAGCTTTCGCTAATGCTAAGGGAATGCGCAGACGAAGTCGCTGCCTTGGTGCTCGACCCGGGCTATTCCAGCGTCCGCGCCGGCTTTGCGGGCGAAGACACCCCAAAGTCGATTGTTCCTACATTCTACGCCTCAACCGGTTCAGAACGTTTCTTCGGAGACCATGCGATCGATGTGCCTCGTGAAGATGTCGAGATAAAGAATCCCATGGGAAGAGATGGCATCGTGGAGGACTGGGATGCGGCCGAAGCGCTGTGGAAGTTTTCTTTTGCGCACAAACTCACGGGCGTGCGACCCAATCGGGCGCTCCAAGAGTGGCTCAATGATCCCAAGTCGGTACCAGACCTCCAGAAGGCAATGGCAGATGCGGTAGACACGGAGCGGTGCCTGGAAGATCATCCTCTCTTCATGACTGAACCCTCGTGGAATCCCACAAAAGCCCGCGAGAAGTGCGTGGAGATTGCGCTGGAGTCCTGGGCCGCGCCTGCGTTCTATCTGGGAAGGGCTGGCGTTATGGGCGCCTTCGCTGCAGGTAGGCCTACCGCGCTGGTGTTGGATTTTGGGGCGTCTCAGGTTTCAGTGACACCGGTGCACGATGGCATGATTTTGAAGAAGGGTATCATGCGGTCCAACATCGGAGGAAACTTCCTGTCGTCGCAGGTGCGCAACATGCTCGCCGCAAACGAGCCAGACCCGATAACCATCACACCCCATTATCTTGTTCAATCGAAACAGCCTGTGGATGCTGGACAGCCTGCCAATGCGGTGTTGAAGCAATTCCCAGAAGGGTTTCAACCGCCGCGACCATCGTTCCGCCGTTACCAGGAAGAGAAAGTCATTCTTGAATTCAAGGAGATCGCACTACAGGCATGGACGAATCCAACCACGCCATTTCGGGGGCAGGGTGAAATGATAGCGCGGGAGCAACAATACGCGCATCCGTTCGAATTTCCAGACGGGTATAACCAAACGTTCTCGTCGGAACGGTTCAGATTGGTGGAGTCTATCTTCGACCCACAGTGCTGCTATGCACCTCCGTCCGAGTCTGAGGAAGCTCAACTGTACCCAGTACCCGACGCTCAGGGTACGGTGACAGGGTTGATCAAGGCCAGCCTTAACCAAGTGGACGTGGACATCCGACCGTTCTTGCTTGGCAACGTGGTCATCACGGGGGCAGCGTCGCTCATCCGGGGGTTGCCAGACCGGATTCAACAGGAGTTAAGCAAGCAATATCCCAGCACACGGGTACGAATACAAGCATCCGGAATGTCAGTGGAGCGGAAGTTTGGCAGCTGGATTGGAGGCAGCATCGTGGCCAGTCTAGGCACATTCCATCAGATGTGGATATCCAAGAAGGAGTATGAAGAACATGGAGCCAGCATTGTGGAAAAGCGCTGCAAGTGAGAAGGATGGACTGGGGCACGCGGAAGGACAGGTCTGTTGGGTAGCTAATCCGTGTTGGACGAGCCCGACCAAAGCAGCCAGGTGCATGAAACTACTGATTCAGGCTCGGAGAATTGAGTTTCTCAACCTGCGGAGTGACTGACTGGGGAAGTTCACAGCACAATTTGAGATCACGGGGCTACGAGACCATTACGGAAATACTGTGGAAGCGAGGGGAGGGAAAAAGTAAACAAACCAGATGGAAAAGCGTGGGGGAAATATGCAAAGAGCGGCACCGGTCGCTGAAAGGATTGCCAGCGTTCTCCAGAGCGGATGCACGGCACATGATAAGACGAGAGCGAGGCACCGAGGGTAGGGAGAGGACCATGGTTCAGGCACCAAAACGGGGATCAGCGATATGACCCAGGGCGAAGGAATTGGGAACGAAGCCGGGTCGAACCAACCGGATGAAGAAGCGAGGGCGGTGAAGGGGAGGGGGAGACGATGTTGGCGCTGGTGAAGAGAACCAGAAGAACGGCACCGCATTGGAAGCGAAGACAGACGAAGCAATCGGGCTGGACAGACCTAACAGGCAATGAATGAGCGGCCGCGGAGTGAGCGATTGTGTAACCTGTCTTGCCTGTCTGTGGCCGTCAGCATGTGCGGCATTTGCGGCATATGCACCACCTGCAGGCCGTCTGCACCTGAACCAGAAACTCGGGTCGCCGAAGGAAACGAAAATAAGTAGCTAGTTAAATGCAAAGGATCCACGAAACGATGGAACGAGGAGAAGAGATGCAGGAAGCTGTCACCAGACACGTACTGATAGTACCTAAATGCATACATAGTACCGAGCACAGACCTTACTAACGGAGGTAACTCACGCTTCGAGTAGTAGTAGTTGTTGTTAGGGGTTGAGGAAGGGCTCACTAGGCCTACCAGTTACAAGGATGGTAGCCTATTACTGGGCACTGATCGACAAGGAGAGCCCACTACAGGTAGGTAGAAGGCGGGGGTGATGGAGGTGAGGACCCAGTACCGGTAAATAGGGATTGTCGTTAGTTAAACTCGGGAGGAACGGATGATGATCCAGTTTGCCCAGTGCCCAGTATTTAACCAGTTTCCAGTGCCTGGGCATCTACCTAGGTGCTAGGGTATGCTAGGTAAGGAACAGCGAGGGGTCCCAAGGGGTCCAAGGGTTCACCCGTCCATAGGCGCTATTGCGCAACTGATAAACCACCTGATGGTGCCTATACTGTACCTAGGCACTACCTAGGGACTAGATACTCAGGTACTGTATCTACTACCTTAGGTCGGTAGGTAGATATCTAGATAGTGTAACCATCTGCACATGGTTCTTTTGCCGGCCTCCCAAGGCTCCTCTCCTTGTCACTTGGTCTTGTCGCTATCCCATCCACCCATCCACCTTTCCACCTTCAACCATCCCATCTCCACACTTTTCTTTCTCATCAAAACTCAACTGAACATTTTGTCTCGGTGGATCCTCCTGCAACATTCCCTTTGGTGTCCTTTGTCACAGGCCAGGCCCTCGACTCGTGAGCTTGTGGAACTCTCCTTGACTCGACTCGTGGTGCTCGTGGTCTGGTCGGTTTTCACTTTATCGGTTTTTTCCGCCGTCTCCCCCCTCCCGGCCAATCTTTGGATGCTTCCAATGCTCATCCACCTGGATCCAACTCGAACCTCTAAAACAAAGTCAACTACCCTTCCTGAGTGCTGGTGGTATGATTTACTTGGACAGGTATTATTCAGCTCCTACAGCCAAACTCTCTCGTCCCTTTGTTCTCACAGCATTTTCTCACAGATCCCCTTGCGGTCCCACGTCTTTGCACTCCTCAGACTATCCACCGAGTATCTCTCCGATCGAATCGCCCAGACCATTTCCTCGTGGGATTCTCTACCACTTCCTTCCCATCGAAAAGCTTCTTCTGGAATGTCTTGCCTCCCAGCCTACTGCACAAAATCCCTAAACTGAAGTTGCCACTTGGCCATCGTCTGCATCAGCCTTTGCCCGGCGTCTTGGATCCGTCCGCACCCACCCTGAGACCCCGTTAATACGAACAAACCCTTTACCAGAGTCGACCGAGAATCCACCCACCCTCCCGGTCGCCCTATTCCCAACCTTAATTCCATCCCGCCACGATACCCACGCACCACGATACCACAAAGTTTTGGGAATCCTTTTGCAGGCTCTGATGACACCGAGTCAGGTGCATTAAGGTTCTTCCTCTGTTGAGCCTATGGCTGGTTGGCAGAATCATCTCAAGTCGTACCTCGCTCCGTTATGTCGTCTTCGGCGAGCCCTGTCCCCTCAACCACCCCCATTCAAACCATGGATTCTCCTCTAGTACCAGATTCTGAATCGACACATTCCTCGAGCGGGTATGCTCACTTGGATACGCGCTCCTTGACTGCCAGTATAACCGACTATCCCGTTCACTGGGGCCGAAGATACCATCGATATAAGGAAGGCGCCTATCTATTTCCCAACGATGAAAACGAACAGATTCGACTCGATGAACAGCACGAGATATTGAATCGACTCCATGGCCGCTTGTTCTTTGCACCTCTGGACCCGGATATTGTCCACACCGTGTTGGATATAGGCACGGGCACGTAAGTTCTTTATACCCTGCTGTTAATTCTCTGTACTTCGCTAATGACACGACTTGTCAGTGGGATATGGCCGATCCAACTTGCCGACTCCAATGTGCTCCCCCATGCCACCATTACAGGCGTGGATCTGTCGGCTGTTCAGCCTGACGATGTGCCATCAAACGTCTACTTTGAGATTCAAGACTGTGCCGAGGAGGATTGGATACGGCCACTCGACAGTGTTGATTATTGCCACGTTCGCTTCATGGCTGGATCCCTTACCTCGTATGAAGACTTGGTTCAGACGGCAAAGAAGTATCTTCGTCCCGGTACCGGATGGTTGGAGTGTCACGAAATCCACCCCCAGCCTGTATCCGACGACAATACTATTCCCGAAGGTTGGGCGATGAAGACCTGGGAAGAGCATCTTAACTATGCCGCCACCAAAGCTCTCAAGCCGCCGCGACCTGTTCGGGTGGCAGCGGACATCAAAACCTGGATGGAGGAAGCGGGCTATGTGGATATCCACGAGCACATCTCCAAAATCCCCATGGGTCCCTGGCCACGAGATTCACGCCTCAAGAACATCGGCAGCTGGTGGCTTGCCAATTGGCTCGCGGGGTTGCAGGGCTTTACGTATAAGCTCTTCAGTAATGACGGGCTCAAGTGGTCTCGGGACGAGATCGAAGTGCATCTGGCCGAAGTCCGCAAAGCAGCCGTCATGAAATCAGTTCATTCCTATCAGAGACATTATGTGGTATATGGACGAAGGCCGTCCAAGGAAGAGGAGCAAATTCTGAGCCTGTATGGTCATGGGTGAAAGACAAGACCCCGAGTTATTCTGATTGCTTGAGCAGTTGAAAACGATTTCTCCTACCGGACCATAAAATGTCTGGTTCTAACGACCGCCACGAGACCGAGCGCCTAACGAACAGACGACAAGTACTCACGAGAGGTCAGTACCGTGATTTACGGTGCGCGATATATAAGGTGTTCCGTATCTACGGAGAGTCAAGGATTTCGCCCCTCTTGTGTTATGCTTGAGTGCTGTCGAAACGTCCAGTGCTTTCCTGGTCAACTAGCACTCCAGAGGCATCGGCTACGGCCATTGGCGGACATGTTCACAACGCAGTGCCTGCTGGCGACGACGGACGAGGCGGTGAGTGCTCAAATTGGGCAGAGATCTGTGCCGTTTTGGAGTGTATAAGCAATGAGCGTCAAGGGTCTAATTGCAGGGAAGGCTTGGTTTGGATCTATACCCAAGGTTGGATCGGGAAAGGAAAAGGGTAAAGGGAAAATCTCCTCGTTTGTGACATCAAAAGAACATTGTCCTCTTGCATTATCGTTCTCGTCATCATCAATCGTGCCTGGTATTTGTTCCTGTCTAGCAATCGCCGCGATGTCTCCTGGCTCGGCCCGACTTCCGGGGCATGCGAAACTTGTTGATCTGGGAGAGGCTATCAAGATCTTTACGCTCCGCCGCTGTAAAGCAAACTTTTTCTCTACTCAGATTTGCCGTCGTGTGGGGGAGTCAGTTGTTGTTGGGAGAGTTTTGTTCAAATCGTTGGAGAGGCGATAAACCCCAGTCCACGTCCCCTTGGGCAGCCATGCAGCCGCGCACCCAAGTCATGCTGTCATCTATGCAGGCGTGCATGCATGATACGAGGTGGCTTCGGTGCGTGGATCGGTGGGGGCAAACCGACCGATCGAGTCGACCTCAGACTCGGAACTTACAAGGGGACTGATTGACGATCCAGGATCGGCTGGTGTGTGTGTAGGCAGGTGTTTTGCTTTCTCTTCCTCTTCCTCTTCCTCTTCTCCTCTCTGTTTCTTGGCTTGCTTGTGTACGTGATTGGCTTGATGGATGGGTAGTAAGTGACTAGATACATCTGGTGGCACTGGTCATGGTCCTGAACCTGGTCCTACTGGTGGGTGGATATGTCCAGACATCCCAGTCCCGGTCCTTGGGTCTGTAATATTACTAGGTGGATTTTTGCACGCATTCGGGGCTCCTTCCGCCTCGCCTCCCACGCGAACCCGGGCATGATTCTTGGACTTTTTGGGGGTGTTCGGAGGAGTATATCGTGCTCAGACTCGGTCTCGGACTCGGACATGGGCTAGGACTCGGACGGGAGGACGAGATGGAGCCGAATAAGGATGGCCACGACTCGGCACGGCGCTCGCGACACAATGGCGCAGGCTTGGTAGGCTGGTAGGTGGTAGGGTAAGGCATATTTAGGTGTCGCATCTGTACCTTAGCGAGTACCGAGTACTGGGGTTTAGGAATAGGCGTTTACTCGTAGGTAGGTGTTTGGGGACTTGTGGCAAAAAGGACCTGATCTCACAGTATCTAGTACGAGTAGGTCTGTTAGGGACTCCTTGGTACCAAATACAAACAAGTACCGAGTACCGAGAACTGACAAGGACTTGGTAGTTGGGGGTGTACTCGGTAGGTGTTGGTTATCGGGGATCAGGTCGACTACCTACCAAGGAAAAGACCGTTGGTGAGAAGACTAACTGAACCTACGAAGGAAGTCAGTACGAGTCGTTGTAACTACGGACCTAGGTAGGCTGGTAGGTACCTCCAGTAGGTACCTAGGTACCCACGAGTAGTGGTGGCAGGCACTACCAGGACCTATTACACCTAGTACCTACCTAGGTACCTACCCTCGCTACATGCTTGTACTCGTAGGGAACGTGGGTGTTTGTGCATCGCCAAGATACGAGTGCCGTTAGTGCCGTTATTGGTTTCTCTCCCGAGCTCCCGCCCGCCCGTCTCTTTTGCCTTTCTGTCCACCTTGTTGGGTTTGACCAGTCCATTCATTCCACTCGCTATCAGACTTGGAACTCTGCCAGTGATTAGATGCGATTGCAGCGATTGCAGATCAGACACGCTACACGATACACGCTACAGACTCGTACTCGTTTAGATGCATGGCCCTACAACCACTACTACTGCTTCTGATGCTGATGCTGATCCAGATCCTGAGGGAAAGGGAAGAAGAACCCTTGGTACAAACCCAACACTATCCAACCTACCTACCTCACCCTCTCACTATTTCCTTTGACATTCTCTAGCACCTGGCTGGCTAACCAGCTGTACCTCTGGTTCTCGTTTCGTGCACAGAGAGATGTGCTGGGGCTGTTATACCTCTCGTTCTGGGGGTGAAGGGAGTATTGCATGATGTGTGACGTCCAACTCCCCCTGGTTTTTCCCTGACTATCTTTCAAGGCAACCAGCCTCACACACACTCCCCCCACTACAAAGCATGCGAGACAGGAACTCGGGGTGAATCCATGCCGACTTCTTGCTTCATGACTCGCTTGAAGACCGCGGACCAAATAATCGGAGCCTGTATTGTCCCGACGTTCCCTAGAAACATAGGGGTGAGAGACGGAGAGAAAAGACCCTAGCAGAGCTTGATACAATGGTACATTGGTATCAAAGGTACTAATTTGTATGGACTCAATACTCGAAACTTACACCCACATGTACCTGATGCCTCGACGGTCCACACCCATCTACCCCTACAAGGACATCCCCGGGTCAAACTCCCGGACACTGTGGGGAGGAATGGAGAGAAGCACCGACAACAAAGGCTGGACGGGTGTGACGGATGAGATGCTTCAGAAGCGAGCGAGATGCAGGTAAGAGCAGAAGAAGAAGCTTGACCGGACACCAGCGCCGTCCTCGTTGCACCCCCAGGATTTGGAATTTTTGTTTCTCACCCCGTCAAACGTCTGTCGTTGTTTGCTGGCGCCCTACCAGGGGCCTTCGAGACAAATGTACGAATACATGCATATGTACCTTAACCGATAGTCCCAAACCTACACGGCTACTTTCCGGTGAATTCGGCGGGGGGCTTTTGTCTCGGCAAGGTGATGGGAGGTGCTCACTAAGAACGTGCCTCGTGCATGCTTGTGGAGGTTTGCGTACCCGGCTGCATGAGTGTCGACGAGAGTGATGGCGTCTTGTAAGAAGGGAAGTTGGGGCGAAGCAAGACGGGACACGGCGAGTTCAAGCTTTAACAGAGTTCTTTAGCTACGAGAGTCGAAGAACCGTTGCGACTGCTCAATGTTGGATGACATATCGATATGTCCCCTTGTTTTGGTCTTCAGTTCAAGGCATGCAATATGCCGTTCGAGTCTTTGACGGGTACTGCTCACTCGGTATTTTCTCTGACCTGACCCAGAAAAGTGACTGAGAGACCGAGCGTGAAAGGAGACTCGAGGATGTGGTGTTGGAGAAAGAGAAAGAGATGCATTGATACGATACACCTCCCCTTTCTTCTCGGGCTCGACCAGATATTCTCACTCACTTGCACATAACTCTCGCTCGACCCACGCTCTTACACCTCTCTCAAGCTGACATGTCATGTACTGCATTATACCTACATGTATGGTCCTTTCTTTTCGTCCCTTGCCGTCCTATCCTGATCTATCCAGCCTGTCCGGGGATACCGTATGTCCAGGACCAGGAGCGCGAAGAGAAAAGCCAGGCTATCCATCCATCCGGCCAGACACAGACACATACTCCCAACATATTCCTATTTAGGTATGTGTGTATGTGTATCCATGTGAGTGGGGGTTTCCCCCTTATCCCCCTGTCCGGGGGAGGAATGATATCGGCCCGTGTGTGGGTACCCAGGTATCCTCCACCTTCCAACAAAGGGGGACAAAAGGATTCTCCCTGCATATACTCGCGTGTTCCACGGTAGGTACTCGCTACACGTACATCTGCGTGAGCGTGGGTGTGAGCGTGCCCTGCGAGGAGAAAAAGGATCAGGATCACCACCAGGACAAGGGCCAGGACCAGGATCGAATTGCAGTAGGAGGTGGATTGTGGAGGTACTGGGATTAGGGATTAGTGATGAAAGTATTGGAAATAGATCACTTGTCTATCTACATATGTACAGACGCTATGTACCTACCTATTGAAGCCATCGATATCACATATCACACATCACCATGTCATATTACATATCATGCTGTATACATCCCTACTGAGTTACCTCGTCCATCGCTCGCTTACCGCCGCCAGCACCAGTGCCGGTCCCCAAACCCCGTCCTGTCCCGTCCCATCCTATCCTCCCTCTCCTCTCTCCTTTCTTACAGTGATTATCTCGTCGGTGCGTTTCACGGGCAGAATCCGACCTCTCCCTCTGCTCTTTAACCATGCATGCATACATACATACATACATACATACATACATACATACATACATACATACATCCAAACACCTATCTTGTCGAGGTGTAATAGCGCCTCATTATATCTATTAGCGGTAGTGGTGGTGGTGGTGTGGTAGGTTGTAGTCATGGAAGAAATACATGTACTTTCGAGATATCACGAGTAACTCGCAAGACTAACTAAGATACTAGGTATCTACCTCGTACCTATGTACTCGTCCCCCGCGGGTTTTATACTCGATACTCATACACGTGGTTACGAGGAGTAAATATACAAGACCTCCCCCCCTTCGGGAAGCCTCTGGTGTCCCCGATCCCCAATCGGCCAGCCTTGCTCGTACCAACTAGCCCAACACAGCTAATGGCAGAACCGACTCAGAGGCGGGGGTCGATGGACTAACAATTTGTGATCCACGAGTATCTCTGCAGTACATACGACGAGGTACATACCAAGTACGAGGCCGACTTGAAAAACACCGGAAACATCCCCGACGATAACATCCACAGCATAAACTTGGAGCAAAACTTGTAGGACAATGCATGTTGGATTGGTTGTCACTCAATTACATTACAGCATCGCCCAGAGACAATAGCTCGGAAAGCTCATGCTCTCACCCTCCACGCTCTTCTATGTCTTCTGTCACCCATCCAGCTCTAAGCTCAAAGCAGAACCCAGCTGACACCAAATATTGGATATCAATAGTCATCTCCCGGCCCGAGAAACATACGCCAAAAGCGCCATGCACTATGTGTCCCCATGTCGCTCGCTCTGAAAAATGACCCGAAACAAACGTACAGTCGCCCACAACATGACATTAGTGCGGAATAGTCCAGTTGTCCACCCTTCTATCAACAAAAATACCGTGCTTTTGGGGAGACTGGACCCAGGTAATTCGCTCAGAACTTCTGGGTGAAGAAATAACGCCGGGCTGAAATCAGCAGTCGTCAATAAGAAAAGAAATTTCATGGGTATCGTGGCATCATCATCTCCTTTGTCATCACGTTTCCACTCTTCACACCGCAGGTACTCCAGTCTTCGTTCCGAGATTGCCCAGCAGGGCTTCTGGAGGCACCCGGTGGATGTTGGAATGTTTGTCCGTGTACGGGACACTGGGCACGCTCTTGTACCCAGCCCGCTTTCGTTGGATGTAGTTGAGGATGATGCCGATTAAAATTATCAGAAAGATGGTGCCTAATGCGGCACAGAGGGCGACGAGAATCACGATGCCAAGGGAGTGGCCTCCTTCTGTTGTCAAAGGGTCAGTCAAAATCGTTTTCACCAGGGAAAAGTTTACTCACCACTCGATCGGAGAACATTGGTCTGCGACGAGAAGACCTGACTTATGCTGCCAGGACTTCCGTCCGCTGTAGAAGCTAATATCAAAGGCTCCATGTGCGTGCCATTGAACAATGCTGCTGCGGCAGTTCCGAAGCCATTGATGTTCAGTTGACCCGTAACCAGCAAGGCATAGTCGTTGTCCAGGAATGCGGTCGACCCATGGTCTCGGGTCAAGGGCATGATTTGCAGACCGCGGATTGTAGTGCCGTCATCAAAAGCATCAACGACTGGTCTCACGTTGTCTCCATCAATCTCGACCAAAAAGGTCGAGCCGTTGGTCGCTGTACCTGCAACCCACATGTGATCCGCATCCGTGGTGGCAGGGCAGAATGCCGTTACTGGTCCAGGAATACCGGCGACTGGATAAACAGACCACGTCTGACTGTCAGTGCTGTAGGTCGCCAGTGACGTCTGATTGCCTTGTACCCTCAGATCACCTGCTGCCAGAAGATTCGATTTAGTCATCCAGAAAAGAGACGAAACGGTGCCTCCCAATTCAGTCCCAACCGTATTCCATTGACTCGTCGCCGTGTCGTACATGCAAACCACGGGACAAGATAGCTCTTGAGATGTCCGGTCAAACGATCCACCAACATACACGGCTGTTGAACCTGACTGTGGAGCTATCGCGTTAACCGTCACGTTGTTCCCTTGTAATGATGCTGGTTGGATTGCTCGGTATGCCGCGGTGCTCATATCGTACAAAACCAGACCATTGATGTCTGTATTCTCAACACGTCCGGAAATGGTACCACCAGCAAAGAGGATATTGTCTGAAAGGGCCAGAGCCAGCACGGTGGAACTGGCATCGAGACCGGTCGGGGGACCCGTCACTTGGTCGTTGTTGGACCCGTTCATGAACATGAGATTCTCGATGGTGGATCCACCGCTCGCAGTTGCTGTAAAGTGTCCTCCCAGGACGGTCACATTCTGTCCATGAGCGGTGTAATAGAGCCCTGTGTTGACACCAGTCACATTCTGCGTGGCTTGGACAGCTCGTTTTCTGGTAGCAGACTGAACGTCACTGGGGGTGATGTTGATGGGTAGTCGCGAAAGCGCGACTTGACCACCAGACTCAGACTGAAGGCCAGCAGCACCACTAATAGCTAGTCCGAGTGAGTTTATTGTCCCAGCCCCGAGCCAAGTGTTGTTCGGTAGAAATGTCGCGGCGTACAGTCGACCAACTAAGGCTTCCTTCGGTACGTCGAGGTTCGCCAGCCAGCCCTTCTGTGATGGAACCCAGATTGCCAATCCGTCCACCCGAGACACGGCTGTGGAGCCAGACGCGAGGATCCGCGTGAAAGCGCCGCTGAAAGCGATCACAGTTTCTGGGCCCCCGCTCTGGGAGATGTTAAGCTGCATCGGTTCAACCGCTTCCACCGGCCCGTCCAGTCCAGCACCCAGTGGCACCCAAGCGTTTTTGGAATACTGATAGGCAGCAACGTTGCTTAATCCATCCACATTGGCCTGGGCAGTGTTGGTGAAATTGCCTCCCACGTATAAAAAGTCGTCCAAGCTGTAAAGGTCGTTCACCGCGTCATTGAGGCCTCCATCAGGCAAAGAGGACGCATTGTTATTGCGGAAAGCCATGATATTCTCGAAGACGTCGTCGGAGAATCGACCCGCCGCGTAAATGGTGTCATCGCGCGTTGCCAGTGCCAGAACATTTGCGTTGGGTTTTAGCGTGGTGCCGGCGTTGTTGATGGCAGACTTGGAGAAGTCGGCGGTGGCATAGTTAACGGTTTGGTTGTCAGGATCATAGTCGAACAAACCATTGAGACCTCCGGTTGTCGACGTGAAGCCGAACTTGACTCGAGACGCGACAACCAATTGTGCATCCTGCTGTCCGGATGGCCTGAGAGTCACCGCAGGCCGAAAAGATGAGGTGCTGGCATCCACATGTCCTTGATACACGATGTCGTACTTGTCAAAATCGTTGGTTTGAAAGATCGTGGTGCCGAAAGATTGTTTTCCGTCCTGCGTCAGGCTGCCAGTGACGTTAACAATGGCGCGTGCTGAGCACGAGCTATCCTGCAGACAGCCAGGGGTATAGACAATGATGGAGTAGTTTCCGCTCTGCGGCACATTGGGTTCGAAAACTATCAGTGTGCTGTCAACGGTTGTGGGACCCACCACGACAGTGAGATAGTCCGACACACTTTCTCTCGACGGAGTCGTATACCAAGGCCCAGTAGCAGTGGCGTCGGATCGGATACTGGTGGTTTCGCAGGTGGGCTCGTTAAAGGCCTCAATGGCGTAAGAGAAGATGTCGTTCTGAAACAGTTCAATCCCCCCGAGGCCACCTCCACTGCCGTACCAGGCCGAAATGTCAATGGTGAAGCTGTTCATCCCCACCAGATTAACGAAGAAAAAGTCTTGATACGGCTGTGACGCGTTGTACTCTGCGAGTGGGCATGCTGCCGAGCACGAAATCAGATCTCCAGTGGTAGGGTCGGTAGTGGTGAAGTTGAGGATGCCATTGAGCGGGTGCGCCGTAAAGCGCCATGTCTTTGTACCTTTTCCACTTTGACTTGTCTGCCACAGTCGGAGCTTAGTAGGCTCGAAACCGAAAGCCAGATCGGCTCGCCAACTACCAGCAGTGTTGTCGGCCAGTAAAAAGTTGGACGAAGCATCGGTGCCATTCGATGGACAAACAATGTTCTTTGGATCTCCTAAGCCCGCGGTACTCGTGTTGCCCCGGGAAGTGAGATTGGCGGTCGAGAGGTTGATCACCTGGATCTCGGGATTGTTCAGGGAACTCGACGATATATTGCCCAGACCAGTAAAAGAACCCCCAAAGATGATGTGGCCGTCGGGGGCTTTGGTGATGGAGCTGACTGGGCCATCGAAACCGGCGAAGGGTAGACTCGACCAGCCGCCCGCTGCCCATCCAATTGCATTTGTTGAATTGCCCGCGTCAAAGGCACCACCAACGTAGAGAATTCCATTGTCCTGATCACAATAGAGAGCCGATACTGTTCCTTGCACCCCACCAATTGCCTGGATTTCCAGAGATGTTGCATTCATCCATGCTAGAGATCGCGCTGCGACTCCTCCAACACTGGTGAAATTGCCTCCGACCACGATCCCCATGAGTGTGTTATTAACCACCAACGGACAGAGGGCTTCGATGCTTGCATCGGTAGAGGACAGAATGTCGAACGCTCCGTTTGGTAACCGGGACAATATTGACTGTGTGCCATTGCCACTCAATCCTTCTCGTTGCCCAATTGACGTGTAAACAGAAATTGCGTCGAAGTCGCCTGCGAGGGTGACCTGCCCGAGGGACTTGATGTCGAGATTAGGTGAAGGTACTGTCTGTGAAACCGCGTGTGTGGCCAGTAGCAATAAAGCGGTCGACACCTTGGAGCCGAACCGTGACAGCAGATGCATGGTTTCGTGTGATCTGTGCCTGCGCCGTAGCGACGAGACGGAGGAGGGAGGAGCTACAACGGCGATATTCGTAGAGGCATGCTCAGTCGGTAACGACGCGGACCAGAGGCTCGGTGACAGAGAGCTTCTAAAACTGGTAACTCGGAGTTGGGCGTGGTCGAGTGCGGTCGAGCGCGATGGATTTAAACTGATGACAGGAGACGAATACGCGTAGGCAAGGACTGCGAAGGAGCAGGGATGGATTGAAACGGAGTGGTGTTCTGGTAGTAGTGGAGCACTTGAATTAAGAGGAGGACAGAGGGTTTGTTGATGTTTTCTTGTCAACCGAAACCCAAATCCAAATCCAAACCCTATGGGATGGTATTCTGGGTCAAGCGGTAGAGAGGGGGTATGACGGAAAAAAAAAGGACGACGGACAGGAAGGAGTGACAGTCGTGAGCTTGAGGATATGTTGGTTTGCGAGGTTGTGCAGGGAACGGGAAGGTCAAGATGAAGATCCTTGGAAAAGAAGCTGCCAGTGACGAAAGGAGATTGTCCGTAGCGGAAAAAGTGAACAATTGGCGATGTGTAGGGCGATTGAGGATTGTGAGGAGAGCAAGCCACAGACTCGCTCGAGGCCAGCCCTGGGAAAGTTCTGGGGCAGGAAAACAAGGCCAAGTGAGTAGTGGAGCTGTCGGCGTGGGCTTTGTACCACCTGCACAAGTGCGACTAGAAGGGGAACAGTGTCAGAAGCTCCTAAGCAAGAGAAGGTCTAAGAGTGGTCAAGCTGCCACGATAGGCCCACGGAGCCCAGGAACAATCCTGCAAGAAGCTTTTGGGGCACTCGCGGTTGCTGCAGAGTCGGATGTCCAAATGCCCGGCGTCACCCCGTCATCCAGTCAGGCCCCATGGAATGCCTGTAGCCCGCCGAAGCCACCTATAAGCTGCTCCAGGCCTCTCTAAGCCCCTCCATCCATCTCCGCAGCCTCAATCTGGGCCACAAATTGCTGCCACCAATTACTGTCGAGAAATGCACATCAACAGCACATCTTCTCCGATCGACTGGACAACGGAACGGCCACAGAATCTTCTACTCTTCTCGAATGAAATCACCAGAGATGACTGTAGTCGTGTCCGTGTACGAGAGATCCAACACCTTTTCAGACATCCTAGACATCCCAAGATGTCCAGCTCTGACCCGGTCCTCTGCCACAACTCAAAATCTGACGCTGCGGCGAGCGCAATTTCCCTGAAGGAGCCGGTCACAGAGGGGAGAGAGAGAGGACCCGTGGATCTCCTCATAAGCCACGATTTGATTTGACCTGTGCTTCAGCTTGATTCCGTCCTCCGTGCAGAGTGACATTGAGCAACGTTTCCATCTCCTCTCGTGCGCGATCAATCGATAGCATCAAACGATCGAAACGGACAATGTGCGAGAAGAACCAGAGTGTAGCAAAAATCAGGGACTGTACACTTCGGTTGTTGGAACACAAGTCGTCATCAGCCAGGGAACCCCATGCTTCGAAGCCGTCGGACTTGGATGAGTATTCCGAGCGCCGAGCCATCTTGCGCTGGTGCTTTCTACCTGCACAAATACGGTGGTGTGTACATCCTCGTACATCTACACAAGAGGTTCCGAGTACCGGGACAGGAGAGACACGCTCACGCTTACACTCACGCACACGCGCTCACGTTCACACGTGCCACTGAAACATCCTTGGTCACGGTCCCCATTGGGTAGTCCGTGATCAACACCCGTGTTTCGACATCTCGACACCCTGGATCTTAGTGATAATACTGGTGAACACGGGTCGAAGTTTCATCATTATCTACGTCGTCGCCGCTTGACCCTTTCACTTAAAGTTGTCGTTACCTCTTCTTCAACCTTCATTTCGGTCTTGAACCCGTCTTGCTCAGGCCCCCGCTTAAGGGATACTCGTTGTGCAGTCCTTTTCCTTACAACCTTCGACTGCCCTTCACTTCCCTTTTCCCCTTCCTCTCCTTCCCCTTTCTCGACTTTGACTTCCACCTTGGTTGTGAGTTTCTCAGCAAACGTCCTCAAGTCTGCCGTGAACAACACGCTATGCGCCCACCCTGCTTCCTTACCCCATATCTTCCGAAAATGGTTCGCCACCGCATCGTATGTCCCCTTGGTCATACTACTATTCCTCCCCTTTCCCAACTTGTAGTCTCTCTGCGCAATCTGCCACACGTGTGTGTCTACCGGCACCGCCTCCCCCCAACCCAACCCCATCAGACAAACACAATCGGCCACTTTAGGGCCCACGCCTTGTAACTCGAGGAGTTTCTCATGTGCGGCACGATAGCCGTCACGACCTTCAGGTTTCATTTCGCCGGCAGGGAACGGCTTGGTGGTGCGGTATGCAGGAGACTCGGGGTTGCGAAGAGTGTCGAGCCAGCCGGATTCTCGATCCTCGGCGATCATTTTCGCGGTCTGATATATGTATTTTGCACGGTAGCCGAACCCCAGCTCCCTCAAGTGGCTCTCGACGTTCTTGCCCGTCAACGATTTTGGCGCTGGGAAGTCGTGGTATGGTCGACCCTCCAGCGTGCCAATGTAGGTTCCGTAGTGGGTGCACAGCTTGTCCACCATCTGCGATATCCGTATGATATTGTTGTTGCTGCTGCATATGAAACCTACCAAGGCCTCCCATGCATCCTGCCGCAGTATCCTCACCCCCGTAAATTTGGGCGCCTTCTTGCGAAAGTTGGCGTCTGACGCAGACCATTGGGCGTAAAGGGCTTCGAGATTCGGCTCCAGGTTGAGGTAGTGCTGGATCAGGCATCTCGTATCGTCATCGCCCTCAGTTGCGGCACTGTTGCAGTCCTCGTCTGAGACGGTGGTCGGTGGGACGGACGAGGGTGGCGTCAGAGGCGCCTCAAAGGACGGTGTAGCGGTCGCAGATGCGGGCCATATCGAGCGATACTGGATGTGCAATTTGTCGGGTTGGGAAAGTTGGACAATGCGACCACGAAGTGTACAGGCCCAGGTCTGGTCGTCGCATTGTCGCCAGCGAAAGGACTGCCCGCAGCGAAGGGTGGTTGCCAGGCACAGTTCATTAAGGGAGACGGGGAGCCCGCGCCATTCGCTGATTCGAGTCATTTCGACGACCTTGACGGCTGGATGGATGGTGGGAAGAGATCAACTAACAGCACGAAGCAGTTGTGAGCCCCTCATGCCTGACCAACGTTTCGTAGAGCGCAAACCTATTTGGCGACTAAATCGTAGGGCAGAATAGGGGGCAGGGGGGCAGTCAAAGCCACTAGGCTCCGTTCTTTAAGCAAAACGCGATCGTGAAGGGATCGCGTTCCCCGCGTAGCACCGAGGCATTGAACGAAATTATCCCTAGCCCCGGCACCACAGGCATACTCGTATTAAGTAGTAAAACATGTTTTGGCCTGCTTGTATGCCCACGATTGGGGCCGCTGCTAGGTAGAAGGCATTCTCCCCTTCAAAGTCTCCATATTTACGAGCTTTTTATACCGACAATATGCCATGTCCTCGATCCTCGTGAGTACCAGTCATCCAACTTTGTATCCCATTAAAAATCATCAGTGCCATCGGAATAAATCGAGGCCGAAACTCCAGACAACCCCCTTCGCTCAAAATTGATAATGTGCACGCTTGTCCAAAACCTGCTCTTTTCCCAATATACACAAATTCCCTAGAGATCGAGTCTCTTTTCGGGCTGAGATTGTCCAAAAGTGGCGGCAGCATCCCGGCCAGTGACGACAGCCTCTCCGTGAATAACAACGTTGTCGTCGAGGATGGAGTTGCTGAATATCAAGTATTCGTGTCGGCCTTTCCAGAACCAGTACACTCCACCAAAGACGACGACCCCAGCAAGGATGACAATTGCCCAATTCATGTTCGCTATCTCACCCACGACAGGAACATACTGGGGAAAGACATAGAAAAGAACCACGATGATACTCCATAGCAATCCCGCGATATTGACAGCGTAACCCCATCGACCGAGATCGAAGTGCGGTCGCGGTGGCAAGTGTTGACGGCCTCGCAGAACCACGCAAAGGATCGGGATGCAGTAGGAGACCTGCAAAGCAACGCCGCCTCCCGAAATTATCGCGTAGAAGGCTAGCGAACTGCCCAGCACAAGGAGACCTGTGAGGAGGTTCAAAACGATAAAACCCATCATGGCTCGGAGGGGCATCTGGAATCGCTTGTTGACCTGGGCAAAATAGTCGGAATAGGGGAAAGCTCTGTCACGAGCCATCGACCATGCAAGACGTGAACCGGCGGTGTTCATGTTGACAATGATCAAATACTGTTCACCGTCAGCTGTCTCGTTACCAGCAAACCGTCCTCGAGCAAATCACATACGTTCAGGCCCATCATCATGATGGCAACCCATATTCCCCCTCCATACGTCGAGTCCAGCACCTCTATGAACCATTCCTGAAGACTCGTTAGCCGGTTGGTACAACGGCATGCGTCTTGTTGGGCCGTACCACGTAGGAGGAGGTGGCTTGAAGGTAATCTTCCCAGTTGGGGCCTACTGTATAGCACATAACGATGGCTGAGAGCCAGGCAGTTACGCCAGCCCACACCATGGACCACACCATGACTCGCTATGCTGTGGTTAGTAATGCGAAGCCAAAGCGCTGGGGCAATCACTTACAGGAGCGTCGCGTGAGGCGTTCTTCATTTCCTCGACCAAGTGCATTACACCATCGCTGCCATAGAGGCCGTAGATGGGAACATACATGCTCAGAATGAAGACCCAGCCCTTTGACGTCCAGCCTGACGTGTTGAGAAACTCGGTGAATACAAATTTTGAGCTGTTCTTGTCGGCTAAGACCAGGAAAACGATTGTCCAGATGAGCGCATTCGAGATGTTGAAGAATGCACCAAATAGTTGCAAGGCTGGAAGATACTTTGGGAGCAGATTCGACAGCGCAGGAGCAACAAGAAAGCCTGTATAGATAAGCCAGGTCATGTAAGGCTGTGAATGATTTAGTGGGTGCAACAGTGGTTGGACAGCCTGACAACTCCTACCTTCCAGTCAACGTTTGGATGGATGATCTCAACGAGAGCCGCCACAATTTCTGCGCTGTTCAACGCGCAGGAGCTAGCTGTCGAAATTTCTCCCACCAGAACACACCAGCCGACAAGATACGAGAGGAAGCGCCGTGAGCTCTCGGGGGCGACAACCTAGAAGGTCAGTCAACAATTGTCCATCTCAGCTGATAGGGCACATACCTGTGTATAGAACTGCTGGCCTCCTGCAGTAGGCCAGATCGAGCAGTATTCAGCCAGTGAAGCCATGACAAGGAGTTGCCCAATCGTGACTACGACACTAGGATTTGCATCCATTAAAGATGTTCCTCCACAGACTCTTGGAGACCTGACTCACGTTCCCCAGACCAGACACACCGGCCCCCCGAGCGTAAATATGTAGTAGAACATGACAATATTGCAACTCCATGAGCATAGAATGGTGGTCTGGTATGCCATCACTGCCCCAGCACTTATTAGCCTTGAAAATCACCGGCTGGCATTTTTTTGGTCACGCTTACAGCTCCAGAAATTGTATGTTCGCTTCAGCTCTGGCTTGTGGCCCAGGCTGAGGAGTTGACTCTCATCGCTACTCAGGCCCACTGTATCATCTTTGATCACGTCCATATCGAAGCGACAACAATGGTCAGGGTCCTTCGAGCGGACAGCTGAGTGTGAGGAAGCAGGCGGAAGGGTATGAATGTACTCATGGGGTTGAGCACAATGTACCGTCTCTTTCGCGTAGAGATAAATATCAATCGAAGAGATCCAGAGCGTCAAATGGCTGAAGTTTAAAAGAACCGCGTACACGTGGGAACTCGTCTCTTCCCCTTTCACTCTACTGCGGTCTCGTTTTTTTCACCAAAGAGAGCCTAGCTGGGTGGACTTGTCCAAAATTGTTATCTTTCTGCCGAGCACCCGATGGTGTAGGGATATCATGAGATAAGAGGGAACCGGACTGCTGTGGAATGAACATGATAACTTTGGGGTATGGAGAAAGCTCTTGATGAGGTTCGACAGATTCTGCTGGGTGCAGATGGAAGGGCCCCCGGGGTGCCTAAAGAGGTTGGTTTGCAACGGCCAGCTCCTTTCAGCCCCATCAATGAGGAGCTGGACAAATCAAGGTCGGCGCGGTGATCAAGGTGGAATTTAGACGAACGGGAACAACCGGGGGGACCAGGCGTGCCAGGGCATTTCTCTCGTCAATATCCCGATGAAGTGTTAGCCTTTATTGCTTTCCGGTTTCCGCGTGGCTCCTAGTTGCAGAGGTGATCAGCGTCAGCTGCGATACAATACCATGAAGTGCTAACGAACAAGAATTCTCTAGAAGACAAGCAAGACGGAAAGACGGATCTGTAGCCACCCTTCCCCAGATCTCGGTGGGTATCATCAGATTACTTCCTCCCAGTACCGAGTATGCTTATTGTCTCCAGAACATAAGGGATTCGTCCGTAATATGGGGGGGCTTTGGTGAATGTGTTTGTGCACGCGCACTGACCGGTGTTGGACCAGATTGAAATAACTGCGTACTCGATACCGAATCAATGACAATATCTCATGATGGAACTTTTGTTGATGGAACTGCGGGGGTGTTTTGAATCGTGCCCTGTGAGACCGGCACGACTGGATTGACTGCGGACTCATTGACCTGTTGGCCCGTGTCACGTGCTGCGCATGTCGGCTGCCCACTCTTCCCCCCCCCCCAAATGGCACATGTTCAGCCGCAACCGATAAGCTCATTGCACACACCTCGAGTTCAACCTCCTTCATTCAGTCTGGGTCCCTTTTTGCCGAAAGCATATTGTATCCGGTGACACCATGAGACCTACTGCTGGTTCCATCCAACCCATCTGATAGTCCAGAATGAGCCGCAACGTGGTTCACAAGCCCTGATCACTGCCGAGAGCTCGCCATGAATACCCTTCCCAGCGACGATGTGAGGGCTGCAAGTCAGGCTTCAAGTTCGAGCCCGCCCACCACCGGGCCACAAGGTGCATCCTTGCAACCTCCTCTGTCCTTGAGTCGGAGGAGAAAGTGGAAGTTGCCCATCAGGAGGCTGACTGTTGCAAAGATTGTCCAACCTGTGTCAGAAGACGAATTCGCTGCGACAGATCACTCCCCAAATGCATCAAATGCTCGAAGAAAGGATTGGTCTGCCCTGGTTACGGCCCTCGATTGAGATGGGCCAATGGTATAGCCGTTCGTGGACACCTCAAAGGGCGAACCACGCCACACGTTGACAAACCGCCTCCTAAACCCAGCAGCGCGGCACTCAAGGACTCGACCTCTCCCAAGTCCACCAAATCCCCCGAACAAAACATCAATGTTCGCCCTGCCCTGATCGTGGAGCCTCTAGCAACCACTTTTCCCGGCTTTCCAGACCCGGCCACCAGATCGCGACTACTGGAGCATTATGACAAACAGATTGCAGGCTTGATGGTGTGGATAGACTCGGAAAGGAACGAATACCGCCGGCTGGTCCTCCCCTTGGCTGACCAGCAACCCGTGCTTCTCCTCGCCATCCTAGCCATCTCTGCCCAGCATCTCGCTGTTACCACGGGCAAGGAATTGAGCTTTCCCGCTCGTGCCCGTGATGCAGCAGTCACCTTGATATCAAAACAGATTCAGCAGGTGACCGGCCAGTTGGCCGCAGGCTTTGACCTGGGCAGCCAGATAGACCCGGATACTGCAGTGTGGATGCTGGCCTCAATGCTCACTCTGGCTAACTATGAAATGACAGAGACGGAGACCGGCGCGGCCGCAGCTGACTCGCACCGTCAAGCTGCCAGGACGTTGGTGAACGCGCTCGCAACAACGAACCGGGAGAACAACGCTCTGTTCCACTTTCTCCGGAACCAGCTTTCCATATACGATATCTTGGCCTGCACCACCATTTTCGGACCCTTGAGCACTGTAGAAGTGATCCTTCCAGCGCCCGATCATTCCAACCTGATCTTTTCCGAATTCCTGTCCCTCCTACACAAGGTGACAGTATGGTCACGAGAACGACATGAGAAGGAGTCTTCTGGAAACTTCAACCCTGCTGACCTCCCAATAACCTCTACCGATGCACGAGCGGGGTTCGAGCAGGCCCGAGGGTCGACTTTGATGGCTGCCGGTCTCCTCGAACTGCCACGAGACGCCAGACGGCGGGACTTTGTGCGCATCGTCGACATATACCACCATGCTGCCCTTCTTTACACTTACAGAGTTCTTTTCCTTTGCCAGGTGGAACCGCTCGAGGTCAGCGCCTCCACAATGGTTTTGTTTGAAAGGTTGCATCAACTTGAAGACACACCGTCATGCCTGCAAAATCTCCCGTGGCCTGTGTTCATTGCCGGCACCGAATGCTCCGATGATCTGGAGCGCCAGGCATTTGTAGCAAAAATGTACACAGACATCGCTCAAGATATGGGCTTCAAGTACTATCTGGGCATCCTGCGCTTTTTGCAAGATCTGTGGTCCAACAAGGAAACCACTTGGACCGAGTTGGCGCGCCATTACGAGGCAAGTGGAAAGAAAATTGTTGCTGTTTGAGGATGATGTTGTGATTTTGTCGATGACGCAGACGATGTGGCCCTGGTGGCCTCGATCGCCTCTCGTTCTGCTCTGCCGACCACTCAACTATGCATCAGGGGTTTGACCCTCAGCCCAATTCGTGATTTTCGACTCCTGCAGGATGGTGCTGGAGGGTGACACGTCAAGGTGCAACAATTTGAAACGTGTCGAGAAGTCAAGGGTGCTTATGAAGAGCATCAGTTGCTCTGCAAGTTTGGTGGCATGTACGTCGCAAGCCATATCCACAACATGGACTATGCATTGTGACCGCAGATGCAACTTCATCTTATTTCGGTTAGTGAGTTGACTCCATCCACCTGCTCTCCAAGGATTGACAAAGTTGGTAGCAAACTCGAGAACCATACCTTAGGCCCACGGCCGGTCGGACCATATCCGCATTGAAGAGTCTCTCTGTGGCTTTTACATCTGCCGACACTGTAGCGAGCTCCCTGGTCGTCCCCAGCAGCCCATGTTCCGGCACGTTGTCGTTTCCAACATCTTCATGAGAACGCAGGGACTGGGTGACTGGTATCTGGGGCGTATGATAACGTACATTCTCTGGACGACACCACCCAGGCAAACCCATGATCAACCTACTCGCACCGGACTGATTCCTGTATCGGACGAGATATACTTCCGCTCGAGCACCAGAACCCGTTCAATAATGCGATTGAGACGAGCATGGGATTGACGAGAACGGTTCTTTCTCCCTCGCATGCGACAATTGACACTATTTGTCAGCCGTGGGCCTGGCCTGTATCAGGACCGCAATATGGAATTCGAGGCTGGTCCCTAGGTATCTCCCGTTTCGCAAATCTGAGGCGCGACACCAAGATCGTGAGTAGCAAGTGTGACAGAGTGCACGAAAGCGATAGACGAGTCAAGTTGGACCACCACCTCTTACGCTGCCTTGGTCCCGACTCCCTCGCATCGGGTGTGGGCTTTGCTTTCGTTAGGCTGATATTGCCCTGTAAGCTTGCGGGAGGATCCATCGCACGGCCAAGTGGTGCCCGGGTTACCCTATTCAAAAGTACTTGCGGAGTCCGTGCCTTGTTGAGCCCTGCAAGGCGCATCCTTCCAATATCTGAACCCTCATCTTCGCCTGAAATCAAAGAAACAGGCACATCTTTTGGGGAGTCTGAGGCCGAAAACACAGTGTTAGACCGAGCAAAGAAAGGTCTTGATATCTGGGGCGAGATCCATCTCTGCGGCTCCTATCAACGCCTATTTCCATAACATAATTTATATACCGTCCAGATGCTGAGATATTGCACCAATCATAGGAGAAGGAAAATATGCGACACTAGACCCCAAACAGGCGTTCGGTAGAGAAATGTCGTCCACCAAGGCCCTACACGAGGTGGATTGCCTACAGCGAGTGTTTGCTACCACGCCGGTCACCTGCTGAATTGGGCATCTGATGAGAGAGAGGCTCGAGGCTCGGACGAAGTCAGATTCTCAAACAGGTTGTCGGTCGACGCTGGGTCTTGTCTGTGCTACATTTCCCTAGTATGGTATGGTTCTCGAATTGCCCCCCCCCCCCCCCCCCCCAAAACCCGGCCTTGTTCAGTCGTTATCGATACTCCACAGTTTGCCATCCTGACGCCGAGTCCGAGATTTTGTCTATTATTGCGTGAGCTTGGGGGAGGTGGGACGCAGAGAGGCAAAGCGGACATATCAGTCAACGAGTTCCCAATTATTCCTTCGCAACAACAACCCGCACAGCGACTAGAGGACGGCGACTTTCCTGAACACGACTCCTTCGTTTGTGTTTTATCACCGTCACCAGAAAGCCCCCGCCTTTCCAATAAAAGCTCGACGCCTGACACTCGTTGTGATCTTGATACTACCCAGGAACTTCCAGTAGCCTTCGTTGCCCTTTGGATCTTCTCGGAGTCAGGCTTCCTCCCAAGATGGTCTTAAAAAGATTTCTTCACCAGCCTCCTGTCATGCATCCTCAGAGACGGCAGGATATCACTCACAAGAATGTCCAGCAACTCTTCCGCACACAAAGTTTTCAAAACGCTGTGGCAAGACGCCTAGCCGAGTCAGTCAGAATTCCAACGGTGACTTATGATGGTATGGGTCACGTTGGAGAAGATCCTCGGTGGGAGATTTTCTTCCAGTTTTCGAATTATCTGAAGGAGGCATTCCCAAGAGTGTGAGCATGTTGTTCTGGTCGCGGGGCTTCATATCCTAATTGTCTGCGCCAGATATGAAGAACTGACATTGGAAACCATTAATCAACATGGCCTCTTATTTACATGGGCTGGTTCAAACAGTGCTATGAAGCCCCTCCTGTTCATGGCTCATTCAGACGTGGGTGTTGTACATGGCACTGCTCGAAAATTACCATTCATTTGACACTGCTCAGGTCGTCCCCGCAGGCGAATCAACTTCTGAGGAATGGACCTATCCACCTTATTCTGGCCATTACGATGGAGAGTATATCTGGGGGCGAGGCTCCGAAGACGACAAATCGAATCTCATTGCAATGTTGACAGCCATCGACTGCTTACTCGCATGTGACTTCGTACCAGACCGGACGGTGATCGTCTCGGTCGGCTTCGACGAGGAGGGTGGAGCCGAACAGAGTTATGGCGCTAGGTGCCTCGCGGAGACACTCTTGGAGAGATATGGCAAGGACGGTATCGAATTGATTGTGTGTTTGATTCAACGCCGTGCTGGACCCCTGCTGACCTCGCGTGCCAGTTCGACGAGGGCATCGCGGGTATTGAGAATCGTTTCGGAACGGACTTCGCACTACCTGCCACGGCCGAAAAGGGATATATCGATGTCGCTGTGACTGTCAATGTTCCGGGAGGCCACTCCTCTACCCCGCCTGACCATACAGCTAGTTTGTCTCCCTTGACTCGCTGCGGAGGGCGAGAAATGTTCTGACTTCGAGACAGTTGGGTTTTTGGCCCAGATCATTCGTTTGATTGAGGACCACCCATTTCAATCACAGCTGGTTCGAAACAATCCGACTTTGACGTACCTTCGACAAGCTGCTTTATATGCCAAACAGATGCCCGAAGATCTGCGCGAAGCAATCCTCGGCGCGCAGAGCTCTGAAAGGCTCCTCGAATATATGGATAGCGACCGCGAGAGACGTGCTATGATTAGAACATCCACAGCGGTTGACGTGATTCAAGGCGGAGACAAGGGTAGGTGGCTCAATGCTTGCTGGGCGGCGACACTGTCGAGTCCAGCACATGTGCTGTGAATAGCAGTGCTAACCGATTGTATAGTAAACTCGCTCCCAGAGAATGCCAGCGTTCTCGTCAATCATCGCATCGCAATCCAAGATTCGGTCCAGGCTGTGAAGAGCCACTACGTTGATCTGCTGGCGCCTTGGGCGCAGGAACGAGGTTTCAAACTTCACGCTTTTGGTGAAAAGGCTCAATGTGAAAACAACAATGTGACACGACCAGGTAACAACACTGCCGATTGTGGTGACCTCACTCTTTCCGCACATTACGAGCTCGAGTCGTCGCCGGTCTCATGTGCAGAGGATGCCCGATTCAGACTACTTGCAGGTACCATCAAAGGCGTGTTTGGGGATGACGTGGTTGTTGCGCCTGAACTGTTGACTGGTAGGTTGGATTGGCGAGAGAGTCCTTCTTCGTGGATACATGCTAAGGATTGCAGGGAATACTGACACTAGATACTACTGGGACCTTTCGCCGCAGATATACCGTATGTCTCCATGGCGAGCGAGCCATGACCCCCGAGGGACTCGGATGCACACGGTGGATGAGAGGATGCCCATCAAAGGCCTCATGGAGATGGTACACTTTTACCACGAGTTCATCCGTGTAGTGGACGAGGTCCCCGTCCAGAATCCCCGGGACATCCAGAAGCAAACTCGACACGAAAGCATGATTTGACATTCCTTTCGCAGCCGGGTGTGCGTCAAACGAGCAAAACGAGGACAAACCTGGCAAAGTGGCGGTTGCCAATACCAGCGTGAGGCGGCGATGCTGTCCGAGACGGTCAACTTGCCAGAAGGGGATCAGGCTGCCAACCAGGGTTCAAATGCTTGTTGGAAGATGTACCTTGGACGAGTGATTGCATAGGCATTGAAATGTCAGGACGACCGTGGGCACAACATTTCTGGAGGGACCGAAACCAAACGCGAATTCTCTTAGCTGGGGAACTGGCCGAATTTCTGGGGTAACTTCTGCAGCACATGGTGATCGAGTAACAGGGCCACCCACGGGTCAAACATCACTTCATCTGCTGCAGTGCGACAGTGTCCAGACCTTTCTTCGAAACGACATCCCTCTGTTGTGGCTCTTGCAGAGTGATCGAGTCGGTTGAATCCTTGAGGAGCGGGCATGTGGCGCGGGCATGGGCAAGCACATGGACCATGGACAACTACATGTTGATGGAGCCGACTGGTCTATCGAGTCGAATCTGGTTCTGGCGGCGACAGTGACAGTGGAAGCTCTTGGTCAACCATTGTTCGCCATGGAGGGTCACTTTGACCTGAGTTGCCTCAACCAAAACAGCGGGAGAGATGAACACGACTAACCTTGGGTACTGCAAGAACGCAGAGGGAGAAAAGAGGTCATTATCTACCACTACCAAACACGCCAGGTACTCGCTCTAGCTCTCAGAACTAGATACCATCTCGCCGTTTCGAGTGGAGCCTTGGACCTGGGACATGGTGGCTGCTCGTATTCGGACTATTATATTATATCCAGTTAAGTCGCGTGGCAATGGGATGAGGTGGGTTTGACGCTTTGGGCACGGGGAGGCAGAGAGGCGAGCGCGGAAACTCGGAAATGTGTCCTGGTAAAAGAGGCTTCGACCCAGCAATGGGGGTAATGACTAAGTTGTGTGCATGTCCCTGGTGCTAATAAATATTCTTAAGACCCTTTTGGGTGCTTGCGGATGATGCGTTGATGAGGTGATGAAATGATGAAGGTGGTTGTTTGGTTACTTGCAAGTTCCCTCGTACAGCAAGGGAAGGGAACCCTGGACAGATATGTCTGGACTGGAATTCACCTCCGTACAGATGTAGGGACTTGAATCTTGGATTACATACTCCCAGTCCAAGTCATGACGGAGGTGGTGTTCACTCACAGTATACAGGGGAGTCCGTTAACCACTACTATGTACTACTTGTATGAGCCTTTCGAGTGAACTCGGAGCAATACTGTACTGGTGGTAAGAAGTATGTAGTACAACATGATCAGTTGCTTGATTAGTTGATTAGTTGACGAAGTCTCTCTGCGCATGGTTTGCATGGTCTACCTCTTCTGGTTCTCAGGTAGTTGTTGCTGCGGTGTGGCCCTCCAATTGCGGGTCGAAAGAAGGGTGGTTGAATGAGGTGTGGAGGGTGTCTTTCCAGCGTCGTATTCTGGAATGCAACTCGTCCAGGTCACTCACTGGTCACTGGAGTATTTCCTTTCCCCGGGCCACAAGAGTTGGGTTCCAGACCACCCGTTTCCCCTCTCTTTTCCCACTCTTTGCCCGTTCATGCATTCATGCATCCCTACCATCCTCACCTAGAAGTGGATATGTGGGTGTGGTCTGGTGTGGCCTGGTGCCCCGGATCTCCTCTTCTGGCTCGCTCGTGCCGCTCGTATTTCTCTTACGACTACTCGCACGACAGCAGGCAGGGTGGGAGCGTGGCTTGAGGCTATAAAAGGTTGATGACCTGCCATGACATCTACCCTCTGCACCACTTTTCGGGGATGGGAAGAAAAGCTTGTCGTTGCTTAATAAAAGCCCGTCCGCCTTTCTTAATTACCCCAGAGTGTCTAGCTGTCCAGCATCTTACAGACAGTATACAAGTGTAAAAGTATACAAGTTTACCACGTTTCCAGAAACCAATATTGGTTTGGTTTTGGGATCCAGCACCGAGTAGGCGAAACACGATAACACGATACACGATACTTATTTGTTGGCTACCTACCGACTCTCTTTGAGCTTCTGGGCACTCCGTCGACCTCTTACTTCCCAACCTCGAATCACTTCCCCACCAAAAAAAAAAAAAAAAAAAGGGAAAAAAACCCATTTTCCTTCCCCTCCCCCCCCCGCCCACGCCACCCGGCCCCCCAGTCACTCCTGCTCCGTGTTGCTCCCGCCCGCCCCCCACCGCCCGCCACGCGCCACGGCTGAACACCCATGCACCACTCTGCCACATATCCCCCCTTCCACACCCCCCACACAGCCCGTACCCACT